AATCGTTGGTGCAGTTGGCCATAATAATAAATGTTTCAATTACACCAATCGCATTCTCGTCATAAAAGCAGATCACTACAAATGTATGTATTTATTCAATTATGCAAAAATTTCCAGATATGTTTTTAACGTGCTCTGATAGTAGCGATTAAACTGGCGTTTGTATGTAGAAAAACATCGTGGGCATATGTGAATGTACTGCATGAAAATTATAAACAAGGTGTGCGATTGTTTGCAAACCTTTTATTGCTTCACATGAACACTAAAAGTTTACATTAACATTCATCAACAAAGAGATCACGGTTGAGAACCACAAAATTTCTTTTGTTTTATTTTAGGATATTGAAAACCAAGTAAAAGAATGTTGTGAAACTACTGCTGACTTATTAAATACTAGCTGGGAAAGACAAAATCAAATATTAAATGCAAATCAATCTGATGAAGTAAGTTGTAGATTATATTCGAAATATGATAGGTTGGTATTATGTGATTGTTAACATTATTTGATTCCTGTTTAGTAACCATCATTTTGTCTCCTGTAGTCCTGAATAATCATTATGTTTTATAGATTATACATTGATGTATATATTCATCAAAGCAAATTTACTAGTGAATTTGTCGTCTTAATGGCTGTCTTCCTTTAAACTATGAGATGAAAATCGCTTCATATCTTTCTTTCTACGAACTAATTCTTTCTTCCTGTACTATGTTCTTATATGCAATCTTTCTTTTATATATCGCCACCACTGAATTAACTACTTCTTGTTGTGCTAATGGGGTATGACAACTTGGACCGATGCACATATGTGCCTGGTCCTGCTTTATAGCTGACTGACTGGCTGACATGTGAATCCATACAAACTCGAGAAGGTAGTTATTCAGGATGGACCAAAAACAATTAATCTCTATGGTTTTTGAAACATAATCTTCAAATCTTGTGTTTTAGATGCAACTCCTTGTCTTCAGGTCAAGTTAATCTTGACTTACAATATGTTTGTTCTCAGGAAGTGTATAGACTTGAAATAATTGCCCTGATTTTGAAGAAAAAAACTGATTTCATATCAGATAGTTGATACAAAACTGTAATTTTATAGAATTATTATCCTGGAAATCTTACGTAATACCACATTTACTTGCGAAATACCGAAACCAAATAACAAGATATATCTGAAACTATAGCTTTATTATGGGAATCAAATTGACCATTGTAAATTTATGAATCTCTAACTGTTGATTGTACGTTGGTGTTAGATGCTCCCCAGAACCACAAACAGTCGAAAACGACAATACACTGTTTAGATAATTAAACAAGGATTAATTTACAAGTGAGAATATCACCTATTGGTTTAAATGAATTAAGCACTTTATTTGGAAGTGATATGCAGTTGATCGAATTAAGGTTCAATTAAACGCTAAGCGTGGACAGATTACTAACCATTTAATATGTGATTCATTTCCAATTATTGGTTTGTACCCTGGACTTATTGAGTTCAGTCTGCTTGTAATTGTATTGGGTAAAGTATTATCTAGTCTCTATTCTAGTTTTCTATTTTTGATCACGAGTCGTGTATCCTATATGACGTGATTCAGTCCATGTATAGCGTATCGATTGAATATCCAATCTAGTGATAGGAGAATTTCAGAATATAGTTCTATAATCATATTACAGTAATATATTACGAAAATAAGAAAGTGTTTTAATTCTTTTGTTATACCAGGAATAAAGTTAGCCTTTTAAACTGAACAAGACTCTAACTATTAGCATACATAATAAAGATCAAATGATAAAGAAAGTATTAGATTAATCATGGAAAATCGAAAGTTAGCAGAGGGATTTTGATATCCATTTCAATCTTGTTTCATATTTGATGGAGTTTTGTTCTCTGAGCTGGATGGTTTGGTCGTGGAGCTTTCATTGTTCTTCTGAACAATATCATCAGTACAAACGTCTACCTTCTCTACGACCAAACCATCCAGTTCAAAGAACAAAACTCTGTCAAAATCCTCCACCTGAGATACAGATCTTTTCCACCATCTCAAAATCTTGTCTCAACCACCAACCAATGAGAATTGTTAAGACGATCAAGATTAACGAATAAAAGAATGAAATTATGAAGAGATAGATGGAAGATAGCGAATATAATCCAGAATTGCACAAATAACTAAAAATACGTAATCAAGACTAGTTTATCATAAAAGTGACAGTTAAATTTAGAACAAACATCCAGGAAGAATTATTTCAATTGAAGGAGTTCCTCTGGTTTTTGTAAAGAACGATGAAGAAAGCTATAGCACGATTGAGACTGGCTTAAATTTCCGGTGTTTTGTATTGTCTCTAGGACCCCAATCAGGAAGTCTTAATGCACTAGCAAACGTTAATCTAATGCAACTTTCTTTATACTCCGCATTCATGTCATAGATTAATTACCTCTTCACTTTTTCCGCTCATTCATTGACGTAGATCAGAATTTACATTGATCTGTTCCAACTTGTCATTTTAAACGTCTTCGTATCCTTTTTCGATGTACAATTAAAAGGAAAACCATTTCACTTTATTCATTCACGTTTTATGTTTCATTTTGAAATGATGGAGAAGATTTGTACTTCAGCTGGTTTCTTTTATTGTATTATCTAATTTGAATACCTTCCACTGTAAAAACTTTCATTGTTATTCTGCATAACACTATCAGCGTCTATACACTAATTTAATGCTTTACTTCTAAGCAACAATGAAAGCGGTAACATAAGCTCAGTAATTTTAAACCACCAAATTAAAAGAGTGTAGCACTTATCAAATAAGTGCCATATGCATTTCTTAGTGAAATATCCTTTGTATCAGTTTTTTCTTAAATCACATTTGAGTTGGTACATTTGGAAAGTTTATCATATGTATTATTTCATACACATAGAGTTCCCTTGATCGTTTTGAAAAGAGCAAGAACAAAGATTCTTGCAGAATAGTATGAATTCATCCGATTTCGTCGGTTCTCATCAGCTGCTTACAATCTGTGATATTTAAGAACCTACTTACATGAAAGTGTTTAGTTGGAAGTTATGTTAAAGGCATATTAGTATAGTATAGCAAGGCTGTAAATAAATTTATTAAACTGAATATTGTAAATATATATACCTACCAGTCTGGCGAGCGAACGCTTAATCTCTAGACCACTGAGCCGGCATCCGACAGTGTTAATGTCTAACTTCAACCAATCCAGTAAATTGAGCTACACATCCACCATTGTCGTCAATGAGTTACTATCTCACAATAGACCCGGTTGAACTCCACTGGTCACTGCTTCTCACTAAAACTCCTGGAAATACCTCTCGAATCCAGTCACTAGTGAGCATATGTTGATTAGTATGAGAAGGGGTTTTTGTGGATTGTAAAGTAATTTCGATGGTTGAGATCATCAGTCAATTGAAGCTAGACCACCATGGAAAACCTGGAAGCACTAAACGACTGTTTCATCCTATTGTGGAACTCCTCGGCAGTGCGCATCCGCGATCCCGCTTCGCGAGATTCGAACGCAGGACCTATATTAATTGTAGTAGAATAGCATGAATTTATCTAATTTTGTTTGGTTCTCATCAGCTGCTTACAATCTGTGATATTTAGGAACTTAATTACGTAGTGGGTTTAAATTACTTACATGAAAGTGTGTAGTTGGAAGTTATGTTAAAGACAAATTAGTATAGTGTAGGAAGGGTGTAAATAAATTTATTAAATTGAATATTGTAAATATATACATACCTTATGTGGGAGAGCATTCTACAACATTGATTGTGACAACAGTTCAAACGGCCAGAATACAAGTGATTACATAATGAGTAAACAGTGATGGGAATAAAATGAGTAAAGCTCAGTGAATAAAATAAGATTACTAATGTGGAAGAGTAAAAACGATGTTTAAGATGCAACGAAGGAATATTTGTCACCAAAGGCAAGGAAAGAATAATAACCATTTCCTTTTGAACACACTAATCAGGATTTTGATGCCTGATAGCAACGGCTTCAAAAGGTTGAAGTTTGGCTGCCTACTAATCACCTTGAAATATTGCAAGTTATCTATCTGATGTCCTGTATCCAGGAGATATTTGGTAATTACACTGTTTAAACTCTTTCTTTCTCTTGTTCTGAGGCTTTTTGGAACATTCTCAAAAAATTTAAGATATACCCTTCTTTCTGTTCGGCCAGTGTACCTGCTTTGGCAGGTGCATGTAAATTCATGAGTACAGTTGGCGGTAATATGAAAGGGCTGCTTGTCAACCTTTGATTAAGTTATTAAACATGTTGTTTTATACAGAATTAATAGTTTGACTGCCGGGTAAGTTCTGGCTAGTGCAGTGTTCAGCCTCCTGCTGATTGTGTTTGCGACATCATCATCTTTAAAGTTGAGATTTATAGATGTTGGTTTTTTATTGACCGTAATCACTTCCGTCTTGTTTTCTTTAGGTTTTTTATATTTGTCAATAAATTTCTGTGGGTAACAATTGTCTCTTAAGCATTTCTCAGAGTTCATCAATTCTTCTTCCAGTTTGTTGGTGGTACATATCCTTTCTACCCTATAAAATTATGTTTTAACCAATGCTTTCTTGTAACTGATTGGACAAAAACTATTGAAATTCAGGTAAAGGCCATTCCAATTACTTTTTCGATAAACTAAACGTTGAACTGTCCCCTCTCCCCTACGTTTTATGGCAAAATGAAGAATGTGGAACATGCCATTCTGTTCGTGTTCCATAGTAAACTGTATATTAAGAGTTCTAACCGGTGAATTGTATTCTGTTTATTCTTACAGACAATAAACATGTTATCAACATATGTAGAGTATTCCGCTGTCTCACCTTACCACTCGTTTAAGTACCGTGTATCTGCCATAAATGGATCTAATAGACTACCTATTGTTAAGCCACCCAACGTAATATAATGAATTGATGATATTCTGCTAGGAATCTTTGTTCGTGCTCTTTTCAATATGTATTATTTATTATTATTTCAGCATTTATTGAACTTGGAAATATCTGATTTAGACTGTAAATGGAATCAAGTTGATCATGAATATATTCAACGTAGAAATGAAATTAATCATTTAGAAAATCAATTATATTCAATTGAAAATAAACGGATTAATCAAGTTGAGTGAGATATAATTATTAATAATAATGATGTATTTTACTACTACTATTACTACTACTACTACTACTACTATATAGATATATTTCAGTAGTATATTCTTTTACTTTATTATGAAGTGATAATTTAAACATGTCTTTTAACCAATTACAATTGATTAACTATGATTTGAGTAGATTGATAATATGTCAGAAAGAGAAGAGATAGGGAAATCATAAAGCTTGAAAATCAGTTTGTATAATCATCTACCTATAGTCAATTTGTAGTGTAAACTAGAAAAATACTTATTTGACAGTTAGTTGGTTCATGATATTTTTCTGTAACTAAGTGAATAAAGCACAGAATAAATGGAATGTGGTCAGTAGTGGAATCTAGGACGAGTGTTTCCTTCCATTTAAGATTCATCATCTTGATCTATCTTCGTCCTAGTGAATTGATGCTACCTTCGGGACTTGAACCCAGTGTTTTTCTCATCAAACACCCGTTGTACAAGTAAGTGGTTGTTTAGAATCAGTAACTGGGTGAATAATTTGTTAAGGTCCAAGTCCTAGATTGAGTATCAACTCGCTCTTGGATGCAGGTTGATCCACTTGACGAATCCTAAATAGAACGAAATGACGCATATTCTGGATTCCACTGCTGACCATATCCTATCTATTTCATATGAACTTCTGTCATAGCGATTATATGGAAGCGATCCGCACAGGATGTACATATTCCAAATAATAATGATTAAATTTCAGTCAAAATATAAACAACCGGATAATTTGAACCGTTACCAATAAAGTTAATTTACCAATAGCTGTATTATTCAGCTTCATGTTACAGTGTTATGGAAAAGGTGTTTGATGAACTAGTTTTATATGATCAAAATGAGTGAATACTATCCCGATCAATTAATGACTATACTATGATACATTGTGACTGAATGATAACTACTCACAATACCAGATTATTGATTCTAACTCTGGAATAGACGGTAATCAAAGACAAAATCCTTAATCAAAAGATCAAGCTTTCTTACATAATAAAATAACACTCTGATATACAACCTGTTAACAGAAAAGTGAAAATGATTTGATGTTACAGGCTGTTGTAGGCCATTTGCTTACCAATGAATTAAGACTATTAAACATAATTCTTACTCATTGTATCACCTCCTCTTCAGTAAGTAATATGTAAAGTAGCACCTGAGATATATGTACACTGGTCCTAGTTACCACAATTTATTAGCACAGCGACAAGAGATTGATAAAATAAATACTAGAATAGTAGAAGAAGACAGAGATAGATATGATTTGAGAAAAATGGTTTCGTAGAGACAATTTCGATATCCAGGTTTTGAGGAAAGATGAAGAGTTGGTAGAGAAGATTTCTAGTTCAGGTACCTAGAGTATGTGCTGATGATGTCGTTCAGGAGAACGATCAAACCTCTACGACCAAACCATTCAGCTCAGAGAAAAAAAACTCCATCAAAATAAATAACTTTCCAGCAACATTCATAAACAACATTTCACTCTTAACGAAACTGAAATCTACGAGTTAAGACTCTGTTCTACAACACTTAACACATCGCGATATAAGTTATTACTTACCTACACGTAATACCCCTCGTAGACGAGCATAGGCTGACCACCAGCTGTATGAATGCTGCACTTACTTTCCAATCCATGTCTTTACGTCTGCATCCAATCCTCTTTGTTCATCGATGATGCTGTTCTGGTACGTGAAAGTTTCCACCTCTTTCAAAGTTTCTCTATCAAGTGTGATTGAGTTGGTGTTGTTCGTGTTACAATTGAAGATATTGCTTTTTCTATTGTGCACGTTGAAGTCTGCTGCTGCAGAGGCTTCTGCTACACTAGTTGTCTTGATTTGCAGTTGTTGTTGTGTATGGGATAGAAGGGCATGGCCATTTGATAAGTCCAGATCGTCTATCCGCATCCAAGCCGTCGATTGTATTCTGTGCTTCAACTCATATATGGAGGTCTTCATAATCCAGTCGACTATCAGAAGAAAGAGAAAGAGCGAGAGTAAGCAGCCTTGTCAGACTCCGGCCCTCGCTTGGAATGTATCTGTCAACTGTCATCCATGCATCACTTCGCAATGTAGTGGTTTGTACTAATGATGTCGATAAATATCAGTAGTATGTATAATCAATAGAATGTGAAATGTCTAGCGGTAGAACGTTAAGAAGTTTGAAGAAAAGAGAACCAGAACACAGAATGATTGGTGTGGAAACAAAACAACAATGAAGTCTGAGACAATTGATTGACATTTTACAAATGAAGTGTTTATTGTATGGTTCTCAGATTCTGTAATTTCTTATTCAAATACATTCGACTGTCCCCTTCCTGTGTCCTCGTTCACTACCATACCAATACCGTTATCATTATATCTTAGTATAACTGGTTTCTTCAATGTTTTCTCTTTGTTTTTCTGTTGTTGTTCTTGTTCAGGTAAAACAGGAATTTCATGAATTGACAGATTATTTAAGTAAATATTCACATTTAACACCAAATGAATTACAAATTGTATTACAGAAAGAAATATTTGTGAGTTTGTTGTTAGGCATTGAATTACGTAATAAGTATAATTTGTTACTATATAATATCAAGTTAAACATTGAAAGTTTGTATGTATATGATGTAAGAGTTCGAATCTCATTGAGGATTATGTCAAGCTCTGTAGGAATAAAAATATAGTTTGTTGACACTAATCTACAGAGATAGAACATCAACATTTATGAATATGGTTTAAGTATATGTAGATATTTTCAATAGTTGAGATTATGAGTTAATTGAAAATAGACCACCATGGAAAACCTAGAAGTACTGGACAACTGCTTCGACCCAGTATGGAACTCTTCAACAGTGCACATCCACAATCCTGCACCAAATGGACTGGAATCCAGGTCTTTCAGTCTCACGCGCGTCCTGGGTTTGAATTCTGCGGAGCGGGATCGTGGATGCGCGCTGCTAAAGAGTTCCACAATAGGACGAAACAGCGGTCCAGTGCTTCCAGGCTTTCAATGGTGATCTAACATCAATCAATTGATGATCACAATCACTAATTAGCTAGTGATTTATGAATAATCAAATTGAATCTGAATATCAATAGGATATGTCTATTTAGTAATTTGATAAGCTGCATTCTACAACATTTACTTCACAACTACTTCTTAACTCGTAGGCAATTTCCACTCTTGAACTCAGAACATGAAAATAAAATTTAGAAAGAATAGATTAAGTTGATCACTAAGGTGATCAATTACTCTTTTTTGAAATCAATTTTTCGTATGACTTTTCGTTATTTCTGATTGATTCTCATTGGTTTTAATTCATTTATTTCATGTAAACTTTGAAAGGAGTTATTGATAAGTCTTGCAAATTGAACGCTATATTCGTCTCCTAAGCTACTCTCGTAACCCACAAGCTAGAACTATACAGCGACCTGAACACGAGAGAGAGAAGGCGCAAAATACGCGAGAAGCACTTTACTGCAAGGTTCATTTCAATACAGAAAATATAGGGTTTTTATAATATTTTAAATGTCTTTGGGTTGCTAGAAGATTCTGGAATGCTATTAAACATAGTAGCAGTGTAACCATCAGCCAATCAGAACCTCTGCATCTGACGTTTCGCCCCCTTGATATTTCTAGCTAAAGCTTCAAGTGAACGCTGATTGAGCGAAACGCTTCTTAGTGTTTCCTGATCCTTGCTTGACCTTTGAGAGGAATTTTATGGGTCGCCCCAACAATTATATCATTTTGTTTTACTCGACGTGTTCTGTTTTGAATATATATCAAGTTTTCCTTATAGTTCATCTTCTTGATATGTTAATGATCGAATGTTGTATGGTGTCTTTTATTATTGATTGCATTAGGGTAGTTGAACTCTCTCTATATTTGTAATCATCATTCGTTCATAGTAAACCTTAATTATCAAAATTTAACAATACAAAAAATGAGGGTATTTATAGGACCGTGTGTGACCTTGGTGTGCGCCACACAAGTCAGTTGATTTGTGTGAGTGCTGTGATACTGTACGAGTGCCCAAAACGAAGCAGGTGGTTTTCTTAGGGGGCCACACTCGGAGCCTTTGATCTAAAGGTTTAGTCCACAAGGCAGTGGAGCAACGTAGGAAGATGCAATTCCATGACCAACAATAGGTTCATACGTCATTTGTATCTTTAGGATCCTGGAGCCCATGTGAACCATTGGTTTGGAATGAGGGTTTTCCAACTCCCCCAGGTGGGTCCACCATATTTATCAACCCGGTTAAAGCGCTGGACATTCTAGAAGCTTTTAGAATGCATGCTAAAATTCATAACAAATTTGATCATTGCTTAATCAGGATAACGAAAACATGATCAGTGATTTTCCATATTTATTATGGAAGTTTCTCGAAAACAAACAACGAGGAGCTTTCTTGTCGAGACTCTAATTTATGGACGACCTTTGAACGAATCTTAAGTGACCTTGAGAAATATAAGCCAATCATCAAACAGCCAGTATTGAGTAAAAATACATTATACAAAATCCAAGAAAGAAAGTGGATACACTACTTATACGTGGTTCAAAAACCTGTCAAGGTTGGAAAGAGGTTCAAAGATTCTAAAATCGTAATGTATGCAACAGAGGAAATCATCCATACGGCGGCTACAGAATAGTCGGCCTCTGGAGCAATGATAAAGTCTCAAAAACTCTTTCAGCCTCGACCACATAGCTTCACTATTGTTTATGTGCACTCCGGTTGTTGAGTGCACAAAATGCTACTTTCGGATAACGACATGATGCACATAACCAACCCTATGTAGGAGTCTGTACGCTCTCCAGTCATCCGTATATATTGTAGTACCTGGATGCAGCCAGTGTTACTGGTGCTTTTATTATCCAGTTCGCAATAATTGTCGTAATTTGCCTTAGTTAGGAATTAAATATAGGGTTTTCATCACGAACTGACATCACTATAGTGCCAGGAATTTATTTGGTCAAATGGATGAAAGACTTTCGCGTTAAAATCCGAGATCTATTATCTTATGCCTGATTGATTCGGCCACAAATTATAGTCTCGCTGTTTTATTTATTATAGCCGCTCAATTATCACGTTTTGTACAAAATTCCCTATGAACCGATCGTACATTAGCATTCAGCACTGAAGTTGGCGCTGTAACATTGAAATCTCTAAACCGCTTCTGATTGGCTCATCCATAAATTACAGTCTCGCCGTTTTCTTTTAACAAGTGAACTTGTTCGAGTCCTAAATGAATGTGACCTATTGTGGAATCTTATACTAAGACGTAAAGACCATCCAGTTCTTCCATGTTTTAGATTAGATCATTTCATGAATTTAATATATAAATATTTACTTTTTTAATTATTGTCAATTCAATTCAATATTTAGACAATTGATATTGAATTATTGGAAAATCGTCGTGAATTAGCTAATCTAATTAAAAATCTTCATCTTGCTGAATTAATGCATCATCGTTTTACTAATCTTACATGGTCTGAACAACGTAATCGTTGGCAAATCATAAATATCAATAAAGCTGTACATAATTTTCGGTAAAATGATGATAATTATCCATTTTTTCTGTTGTTATTGTTGTTGATGATGATGATATTCTTGTTGAAATGATAGGTAATAATTGTAGTTGAAAAGTAGGGATTTTGGATATGTTGTTATGTGGTGTGTGCTACTTATATTGACATAAGTAGTAGATGATGTTAGTCGTGAACACAATGTCTGGCAGTAGAGAGACAAGAGGATCGAATAGTAAAGAATGGAAACAGAATGCAATTTGTATGAAAATGCAAGAACAATGAAGTCTTAGTCATTATGAGACAACTGATGGACTAGATGGTGGTTGGAGGTAGTCGACAGAAAACCCTGGACCCGGGTTTCCTGTGGACTACCTCCAACCACCATCTAATCTCAATATATAGTGCCCGCAGTGTCGAGTCACCTAGACTGGTGGCCACATTGCAACATGTTCGATAGCATTCGATCTGCATTATTAAGGACTAGACACGCATGACATTGATCACCACCCAGTGATCAATCAATTGTGATTACAATTGATGGACATTTCGGAAATTACGTATTTATTATTTGATTGTTAGATTTTATTAACAAGTCCTGTAATTTTGTGTCAAATACATTCGATTGTCCCCACTGGTGTTTGTGTTCACTACAGTTATATGTACTGTAAGTTCACTAGTTTTGTTATGAAACTAATGGTATTTTTTGGAAAAAACAAACAACAAAACTTCATGATTAAATCATTCATCTCAATGAATACAATGTCCATTCAAAACAATATGCATGTTAATAATTACTGGTAAGCGATTTTTTACATCCACGATCCCGCCCAGCGAGATTCGAACCCAGGACCTATAGGTTTCACACACGAACGCTTAACATCTAGACCACTGAGCAGGCATCTAACGGTATTAATGTCTAACTTCAGCGATAGGTCCTGGGTTCGAATCCCGCGGGGTGGGATCGTGGATGTGCACTGCTGAAGAGTACCATGCTGGAACCAAACGGCCATCCAGTGCTTCCAGATTTTTTATTGTGGTCTAGCTTCAAATGACCCATGAATTCAACTATTAAAATTGCTATAATATCCACAACAAACCCCTTCTCATACTAATCAACATATGCTCACTATTGACTGGCTTCAAGAGGTATTACCCGGAATTCTAGTGAGAAGCAGTGACCAGTGGATATCAACCAGGTATGTTAGTTCCTTGGGCGAGTCGCTACATGTATTGTCTGTAGTTGAACATTGATTATATGTCGAATACATTTCATTCAATTTGGGACTTGAACAAATTAGTTGATATGATTTTGGATCTTGATCTATGTACTACTCCTCTGGTTGACATAGGCGTATATTGAAAGAAAGCTAGGAGCGGCTAAATCGAAATATGGCATCAATCTGTGAAATCATCGATTGTTCATCTGACCTAATATTGGTAAATGCAGTCAACCGGTTTAAGATTTGTATGATTATTGTGACAAACGGTTCGTCAACCTTAGGTGATATATCTCAAGATTTAAGAGGTACTTTAGGTTTGATGTATAGTCAGGTCATAGATTCATTCTACTGAAGTTTCTCACACTAGGATGAAAGAGCGATACAGTATTGTTTAGTTTCCTAAATTACCCTGATTAAGATTAGTTTGTGATGAATACCATCCACAAATAATTATTAGTGTTATTATTTCATTATTGTTATTATTATTATTATACAGAATTTGTCTTAATGATGAGAAATTCCGGTATCCTAATGATGTCAAAATAAAGATAAATGATTTAACAACAAACATAACTGAATTTGAAAAGCGAAAAGATAATCTGATCAATGAATTATGGTAAGTATCTTATTTTGTGAAATATTTAAATATTTGCTTATGCTATATGTTTGAAGCGATTATGAGTTCACCTAGTCTGTGAACGGAACAAAGACTCTGTGACTAAAGACCAATAAACTAGCTATTCTTATGCGTCCCAGCCTCGAAAACTAGGGAGAGAAGTCTAAGATTGGAATGGGGAAATATATTCTGCAAGCAGCCAGAAGCACGAGCATTAACAACAGGCACAAATCAAACGTATATATATAAAGCATAAAATTGTCATTGGGAAGTGTTAGCGGGACATAGACTAGATTAAAGCATGCTCAATGCATGATTGCTTTGGTGCACGCTGGTTGGCTAATTCTTATCCAATCAGCACTAGTCGATAGTTGGAGAATACTCTGGAATCTTATGTAAAAACCATAAATATACTGACGTTTTTCCCTGTTGTGCTTCTGACTTGCTTCTTGCTTCCATCTTACCTTGTTATTTGGAATATAATCTCTTCCCTGTTCAACCGTGTTCTGATTTGGGGACTTGTCGAGTGAATCGGTGTCCAAGAATACTAAGCAATAGGAATAGCTGGGTCATTACCGTAAGAAATCAGAGTTATAACAGGAAGCGTTACAAAATAGCGTACTAAAAAATACAACGAACCAATAGAGTTTGAGATTCTTCCAAGTGGGAAATACGACATAAAGGTGAAAGTGAACGCTTTTGGCGCAAAAAAAAGAAATTCAAATTTTTAAAATAAAATTACAAAAATAAGGTATTTACCAAGTGAGTTCTGGGGATCTAACATCCTCAACAGACTACAGGTTATAATTATCCATCATTTCATCTTCAAATGATAATTATATCTAGCTGTGGTAATGGGGTATTGGGAAATTCAGTCGATGTACATATGTGTCATGTTCTATGTTGTGTTTGACTAACTGATTGACTAAATATGTCATCAGACATCATAAAAGACGATCATATTCAAAACTAAATACTGTTATATCTTGAAGCTTTATGTTCCATTAATATATAAACGTAATGATACTGCCAATTAGAGAACAGTAATTTATCGACCGGAACAATGACGCATAAAACCGTATCAGCAGTCTAGAGTACTTATCGGTCTTGCTTCCCGCCTAGCCCTAACTGTTAAGTCCAGAACACAAATCTCAGCCCCTACGATATGAACCACGTATTTTAGACAAACTGGGTTTATATTTGAAAGAAACAGACCATATAGTACCACAAAATAGAAAATACACATATGTACAAGATTTAGCCAAAAGTGGCTGTGAATGTGGTAGACTGTAATTAATAGAGTAAGCATAACTCTCGAACGGTAAATCGTATAATCATAGTGTATAGATCGATATAAAGCTTATAATAAGAGGAACAAGAATATGAATAGTCTACCTATTTAACAATTATACAACAAGAATGTATGTATAGCATTAGTCTAGAAATGGATCCCAACAGTTACCATTCATTATTCTCGTTGGGATATAACAAATACGTGAATAGTTTTATTAATACAATTTATAAAGCTTCATTCATAAGAAGAATATCAGGTAGTACAGAGGTGTCATTCATATTTACTTAAGCACATATTTCTACATTCTGGTTTTGTTATAAATACAGTGACGTCATTAGAACTCCAGGAAATACGTCTTGGAGACTGTCACTAGTGAGTATATGATGATTATAATCAGAGAGGATTTTAAGATATTACAGTAATTTAATTTGGATGCACACTGGTGAGAAGTCCTACAATAGGACGAAACCGCCGTCCAGTGCTTCCAGATTTTCCATGGTGGTCTAGCTTCAATCGACTCATGATTTCAACTGTTGAAATTACTACAATCTCCACAAAACCCCTTCTGATACTAATTAACATATGCTCACTAGTGACTGGCTTCAAGATATATATCTTGGAGTTTTAGTGAGAAATAGTGACCAGTGGAGTTCAACCGGGTCAGTTGTGTGGTAGTAACTCACTGATGACAATGGTGGATTTGTCGCTCAATTTCGTGGGTTAGTTGAAGTTAGACATTAACACCATTGAATGCCGTCTCAGTGGTCTAGCTGGTTAAGCGCCTAGCGCGAGACTGGTAGGTCCTGGGTTCGAGTCCCGCGAGGCGGGGTCGTGGATGCGTAGTGCTGGGGGGTCCCACAACAGGACGAAACGGCCGTCCAGTGCTTCCAGGTTTTCTATGGTGGTGTAGCTTCAATTGGCTCATGAATTCAACTATTGAAATTACTACAATCTCCATGAAACCCTCTTTCTGATTAAAATTATTTGTTATTGCTAATCATCTTACAGATTATTAAATATTTTCAATAATTTTCTATCTAGTGAAAATTTGGTACCATCAAATAATATGGAAGAATTTCTAGAAAATTGGGATATTAAAATTAAACAGTTATTTACTGAATGGGGTATGTTACCTTTCAAGTCCTTCTTAGTTCTCATTGAATTTTATCGATCAAATTACAATATAGTTATTAGTTTAAGTGACTCAACATATCATGCAGTATGTTAAGATGTAAGGTAGTAATTGGAGATAATCGACAAGAAATCCTGCTCGATCTAAATTTCATAGTATTTGCCACTCATCAGTAAAGTGTCATTGTGATTTTAAAGGTGTTGATGATCTCTGGTGAATTTGATACTAGACTTGACAAACATGACAGTGGTCACCAAATAGAGATTGGTCAATTGTGAAAAATTATTTCTAAAGGAGGTCAGTCACGGTCCAAATAGCTCAGCGATAATGTTTCAGGCTGTGAAGCTGAGTGACACAGGATCAAGTTTGCTAGAGAGAGCCAATTCTCTCAAGATTATAGGTATACCTTAATGATGAATGCCGAAATAGCACAAAACAAGGGTTCGGAGTTTCTTGTCGGTTACCTCAAACCACTTTAAAGAACTGAATTTAGTTAGATAACTGTTAAAAACCAACATACAAATATTTACATGGTTGAGAATTACCGCAAATTGACTAGGATTAGAGATGTAAATCATTGAAAGTCAACCAAATGGTCTGTAGATTAAGTACTGCTCTCAAGATCTGCCAGCCCTAGGTTTGACCCCCCCCCAGTGAAGCCACTCAATAGCTGTTTCATTTTAATTTTGGGATTCCTCAACTGTACAAACCTGTAATTGGACCTGAAGGCTAATAACTTCAAACTGAAGGAAATAATGTCATCGTAAGTAATACATAAAACTACTGTGTGACAAACTAATAAAATGTGTGTCGATTAGTTTGTCTCGATACGATTAAACCAAGTGAAATCAAGTGACATTTAACTATGTTTGAATAAGTGGTCAACTATGATATTTTGAAATAGATGGTCTTGTGTCTAGCAAGTGTGGTATGGACGACGTTGGTTGATCGGACTCAGATGATTGATGTTAGTAGTTAGTGGAAACATCATTCAATCATTGGCGACACCTGTTGAAAAGAGACGTGTGAATTCAAGGCATTGAGGTAATACACCATACAATCGAAGTATTGAATGAGAAGGGGTTTTGTGGAGATTGTAGTAATTTCAACAGTTGAAATCATGAGTCAGTTGAAGCTAGACCACCATGGAGAACCTGGAAGCACTGGACGGCGGTTTCGTCCTATTGTGGGACTCCTCAGCAGTGCGCGTCCGCGAGGCGGGGTCTCATGATCTCAACTGTTGATATTGAATGAGAGTTGAGCTGCAAATGATAGAAAAGTGAGGAAAGTTAGTAAAAGATATCGAATGAGAATGGACGATGTAAGTGAAGATCTTTTTAAATGACACAGAATATTTAGTTTATGAAAAGTATGAACTAAACTAAACTACCTTTATTATTTATTCTATAGATGAAATGAATCAAAACGCTTTGAATTCCATATACAAAGCTTATGAAGATAATTCACAACAATGTATCGATCAAATCCAACAGATGAAAGTAAGCTATCAAGGCTTTTGTTTTCCTATAGAAACTTCAGAACATTTCAAATTTTTCAAAGGATAACATTAGGTTGCGATTGATTTTCTGTTGATCTACTTAACATGCAACTTTAGGTTTCTTATGATGTATGATAGTGTGGTGTATACTACTTATGTTGACATAAGTAGTATAGAAGACTGATCAAAAGTGAAATGCCTTAGAAGTAGAAGGTTGGGAAGATCAAATCGAAGAGAACAGGAATAGAGAGCATTTGCTGTGGTAATGAAGGAACGATGAAGTTTGAGACAACTGATAGGGAATTTTCAAATGAAGTATTAAATGTATGGTTTTCATATTTCATGAAAGAACTCTGTAATTTAATGTTAAAATACAATTGGTTATCCCCATCTGTGTTCTCGTTCATCACAACAGTACCTTTAGACTCTGTTATCTTGAAGTCTACAGTGTTTCTTTCTAGTTAAAGAGACTATTCATTCCATTTTTGGCATTTTTTTGAAGTAAGAATATTCCTATCCTGCTTATGAGACATTTTTTCAGGAGTTTACTGAATTGTATGAATTTGAAGACTTCGTCTGAAGCCTTTCTAGGGGTACTGCCGGTTCTGAACCAGGATAAAGTGATAAGGGTTGAGAATAGGGTTAGTAACCCTATCCCATAAAAAAGAATCTTGTTAGAAAAAAACGCTAATCAGGAAAATTATTCATTTAAACCATTGAAAGTCGAATGCTTTGAGGCTTAAGGAATTTATTTATATGCATACGGATGTTTAGGACAGCAATTGATCAGTCTATTCTGGCTTATGTTTGTTCTATACGGATTGCTTTAATATTGTCATTAAATCACAAGCATTTTAAGCAGAGATAGATGGTAGCTAGTAGTGGAATCAAGGACACTCGTTTCGTCTTTTTTAGGACTCGTCCTTAGTTGAGTGTAACTGCACCCCAGAGTGACTTAATATTAACTCTTGGACTCGAACGTAGTACGGTTTGATTCAAATGCTCACTGCACAAGTGAGTGGCTGTGTTCTGATTTATCTTAACTGACCAGTAATGCGTAATAACTGCCTAATTATTGAAGCGCTCCTATAGGAAGTTTACAACCTGTCATGAAGGGAATTATTTTGTGTATTTTGGCGGTAGGACTCTAATTTATGGACGAACCAATCAGAAGCGTCTAAGGAGTTTCAAGGTCACGGCGCTAAGTTCAATGCCAGATGCTCACATTCGATCGTTCTACAGCAGATTTTAGAGAATAGGTGATCGTTGAGAGACTACAGCAGATGGGACTATTAAGAAGCTCCTGTGTCTGTGACTGCGGCAATTAATTGACCGCAGCACGATGTGCAGACTGCCGCGATGACATTGTATTTCGTTGTACTATATGTTGTAGAAAAAAATCTGCTCGAACTGGCACTTTTTTTGCCCGGTCACGGCTAAGGCTAAGACAAACCATGATAATCGTAGCAAATTGTGTCATAAAGTCTCCAGTAACATTAGCTGCGGCTATACCGATGATTGGAAAGCGTATAGATGCCTCTCGAGACTTGGTTTTGTGCATCATGTTGTGGTGCACAAACGTCATTTTGTTGACCTAACGACGGGGGTCCATACAAACAATATTGATTGCATGTGGTCTAGGCTGAAGTATTTTTTAGGTTCCTACCACGGCTCCAGAGGACGATTATTATGGAGTCATACGGACGAGTTCTTATACCGCATCCACTATGATTTCAAAACTTCTGAACCTATATCAAACCTCAACAAGTTCTTAAATAATGTAAAAGAAGAATATCCATTGTAATTCATCACTTTTTTATAGTATATTTTTACTTTATACTAACTCTCTTCTGATTGGCCAATGTTCTCAAGGTCACTTAAAAATTCGTTCAAAGGTCGTCCATAAAGAAGAGTTTCACTATTTTGGCATTTGTTTCAATGATATCATGAACCGATTGATATTAGACTAACATTAAAAACCTGAAAGCATTAGACGTGCGTTTCGTCCCTGTGTGGGACTCCTCAGTGGTCTGCAACAATGACCCCGCACGCCAGAATTAGATCCAGGATCTTCGGTCTCGCTTGCGAATTCTTGACATCCAGACCACTGAGCAGATATTTAACGGTGTTATTATCGTACATCATTCAATCCACGACATTGTGCATTTATCTTTACTGAGAAATATTTAACATTCGTATTCGCTCTAGGGAAATGAGAAGTAATTGTATTGGATTTCATACAACAAATATATAGTATGAGATAATTTGTGTTATAACAGCAAACGATTAAAAAATGCCTGCGTATGAAAACGAATGACAGTTAGTTGCTATGGCTTAAAACTTAAATCTATATCACGTGCTAAATTTAGTAATCATAATTCTGATTAGAAATTTTTCTATCCCGCGTCTACGACTTCTTTTGTTGCTTAGTGTCCCAGACTTGACCAATTATACATTCTGACCAGTACAGTTAATCCTGTACCAATTCAGGCTGTACTCCGATTAGTCGACCACATGGAGACTTTCCTCTATTCCCTGCCTTGGGCTCGAAGATGAGTCATGTCAGTATATACAACATACATATTCCAACTATCCAATCGAACCAACTGACACAGTCAGCTATTATAGCCTGCAACTAATCCAAACACCAATGAACAAAGATTAATTGCGATGCTGTGAACTTGTGCTGAGAATTCTACACTGTAATTAATAATTCGAACCTGCAATCGCTGAACGATTGAACTACAACTCATTGAATGAAAGGTTGTACACTATTAATGAGACCTGAACATATCTAGTTTGAATTCTATCTAGATTTAAGTGTGTGTGCTTTGAGTTCGAAGCTATCATTATTTCATTGACGTTTTTATTACATCCTTCACCTGTCTACTCACTAATATACAGAAGACAATTTGTCTCAACCTAGATCAAGGCCTTGATACGATAGACTGACTGGATAAATTTGAGGCTAGAAACGCGTAAGTTCGAAATGAGACTAACTGCCTTCAATGAAGGAACAAAAACTATTCCATCACCTGATTGGTTGACATCCACGCGATCGAGAGAGAAAGACGAAACGACTGGAACACTACTCGATTTATTCTCAATCCCGATTCACACATCGATTCGGTTCCGATTCAGATTAGTGCAAAAAGATACATGAGTAGTATAGATGATTAACATGACCACAACACGCAAACAATTAGAAAAATACAATTATGTGCAAAACTGGGGATTACTCACTTACTTATTTATGCCTGTTCCCACTAACACTCTCCATCCAACCCTGTCCTGGGAAATCCTTTCCAGCTCTTTCCAGTTGTTATTCTTCCTTTTCTTATCTGCTTCCATCTCTCAACGTAGTGTGTTCTTCGACCTTCTTCTTTTCCTCTTCCCTTTACGATTCCAAGTTAGGGCTTGCCTCGTGATATGCTTTGATGATTTCCTAAATATATGTCCTTTCCACTTCTAATGTCTTTTCCTAGTTTCCTCTTCAGCTGGAAGCTGGTTTGTTCACTTCCATAGAAGTCTGCTACTGATGGTATCCGGCCAATGGATATTGATTAAGTTAAGAAAATAGAGTACTAAATGTTACATCTAAACTACAATAGACTTGGAACAGAAATTAATATGACAATGAACCATATATCAAACGAAAGCCTATGATCTGTAGAATAGATTAAGAACAAAAAGTCAATGTTACTGTTTGCCATGGTTTGATCCAGATGAAATAAGGTCCCCCCTCATTGTGTTTACCATAACTTCATTGTTTCTCTGTTCTCATTCATTTCCTTTCAATCGTTATTTTGTTTTCTTTTATTATAAATTTCTCTTTATTATTCGTAAATAGAATCAATTGTTACATCGTAAATTGATCAACTCAATGGATGAAATTGAAAATTTAATTAAAGAAAATTGTATCACCATTTTAGGTGAATTACAAAGTCAATTTGAAAATAATTTAAATTATCTTGATGTAAGTAATGCTTTATCATATAATTCAATGACCACAATGGAAAACCTGGAAGCATTGGACGGCCGTTTCGTCCTAGTATGGGACTCCTCGGCAGTGCGTATCCACGATCCCGCACCCCCGCGAAATTCGAACTCAGGACCTAACAGTCTTGCGTCAGGCGCTTAACCAACGAAACGGCCGTCCAGTGCTTCCAGGTTTTTCATGGTGGTCTAGCTTCAATTGATTCATGATTTCAATCAGTGAAGTTTCTAAAATCTCCACAAAAACCCCTTCTGATAATTATTATCAGTAGGAGTTTTTAATGGAGATGTTGGATACTGACTCAGTGATCTAGATGTTAAGTGTTCATGTGTGAAATCGATAGGTCCTGGGTTTGAATCCTGTGGATGGGATGATAGATGAGTACTATTGAAGAGTTCTATACTAGGATGAAATAGTTATTCAGTACTTTTAGGTTTTCAATGGTGTTCCGGCTATAATTGATTCATGAATTCAATGATTAAATTAATTTATTATCTCCTTATGCATATATACATTTTATCAGCCTATGATTTTGTGGAGATTACAGTTTTTTTAGTTATAAATCATGAACAGATTTTAGCTAAACCAGAAGATATTAGATAGCTGTTTTTCCCTTGTATAGAACTTTTTAGGAGTGCATATCAATGACTTCACATCCTAGAATTGAACCTAATACCTTTAGTCTCACGTGTGAACACTCAATCTTTCGATCATTGAACCAGGACCCAATAGTGTTAATGTCCGATTTCAATCGGTTCATAACGTTGCGTAAATATCTTCCGTTGCCTCAGGTGGGTAACGGTTTCACATCCAATGTGGTTGATGTATAGTTAGATGGATTTGATACTTTGGACCCTAAGTATAAATAAAATATCGTAAGATTGTAAAATACCTGAATACCTTTATGATGTTGGTTTATCGTCAATGAATTGACGTTAGAATCCAATTTTATATATGAACGAATATACATTAATGAACTGTACTAAATTGACTTAGTGTGTGGTGTGCTTGACTTTCAATCTCAATCTGTGTGTTGTATCAATTTAGCTTATGTCATCTGTACTTGTACAAGTTGTTATAACTTGTGAACTCAGTGCCCTGTTAATGGATAAGTAATAATACCGCCAAATACGGAGCAGTGACTTGTCGATCGGACCAAGGATGCGGAAACACGTGCGAGCGGCCTAGAGTTTTGATTGACCCTGCTTTCCGCCTAGCCCAGCCAGTTGAGTCCAGAACACCAATCTCAGCCTTTGCGATATGAAGTGTACATTTCAAACATATACCAACCAGACAGATCGCAACGTAGCATAAAATAGAAAATAACATTTGTACAAACTTTGGCCAAATGTGGCTGTGAATGTGAGAGGCACTGACTAATAGACAGGGCATAATTCAAGAATGGTAAAACGTATAATAATGCTTCATAGGTCAAAATAAGGCTCATAATAAGAGGAAAATGAATAGTTTAGTTAATTAACAATTATACGTTAAAAGTATACGTATAGTATTGGTCTATAAATGGATCCCAAAAGTAACCATTCATTATGCTTATCGTGACCTAACACAAGTGTACTAGTTATTACTTGTATAACCCAATTCCTCATATGTACTAATGAAGTAAAATTACACCGATATGCATATGTTAATCTATGAGCACTGGATGGCCGTTTCGTCCTAGTATGGTACTCCTCAGCAGCGCGCGTACACGACTCCGCCTCGTGGGATTCGAACCCTGGACCTATCAGTTATATATTTACAATGAACTTTTTTTATAATAATATTCAATATACTCACTAATAGAACTTCTTTTATCCTTTTCTCCTTATTAGCATTGTTTCTCATGGTGTTTATCTATATGGTTAAATGAATGTATTCCATCATTATTAAAATTTAGTCAAATCCTAATTCAATTATGGCAATTCTATGCTCATCTACCTATTGTTCATTTAAAAAATGAATTAAATTTTAATTTACTTAATATAAAACAAGTAGTATATGATGAAATTTTAAAAAAAGATGAATTGATTAATTCATTAATTGATTTATTAAGACAAAGTTCAACAGAACAAATAATTAATGAAAAATTACAAGAAGTAATTAATTTATTCAATGAAATTAGTGTAAAGTGAGTATGTTGTTTTTATGTGTGTGTGTGTGTGTGTGTGTGTGTAGGTGTGTGGATATTATAGTAATATTTTAAGAGTTGAATATATATGAGTCAATTGAAGGTAGAACATCATGGGATAGCTGGAAGCATTGGACGAGCGTTTCGTTCTAATATGGAACTACTTAGCAGTGCTCATCCACAATCACGGCCTGCGAGATTCAAACCCAGAAACTATAATTCTCACGTGCGAACGCTTAACCACTATACTATTGAGCTAGCTGGTATCCAACGGTGTTAATGTCTAACTTGAACTAATCCACGAAATTGAGCGACACATCCATCATTGGGTTCAGTGAGTTACTACCTCATAACAGACCCAAATGAACTTCACTGATCACTGCTTCTCACTAGAACTCCAGGAAATACCTCTTGGAGACCGTTGCTACTGAGTATATGATGATTACAATCAGAGAGGGATTTTGTGGATATTATATTAATTTTAATAGTTGAATTCATGAGTCAATTAAAGCTAGATCACTATGAAAAATCTTGTATGAGACTGTTCTCAGCAATGTGTATCCACGGCGACGGTGTAATTTAATGGATCGAATGAAGTTAGACATCGACACTGTTGGATACCGAACGGCTCAGTGGTCTGGAGGTTGAACGTTCGCTTGAGAGACCTATAAGTCCTGGGTTCGAGCTTCATGAGGCGGTATCGTGGATGCGCATTGCTGAGTCTCATACTAGGACGAAATGGCCGTCCAATACTTTCAGGTTTTCAATGGTGGTCTAACTAAATTTTTTTGATACTTGATTTTCAATAAATCTCAAATAGAATATGATTATTGAGTAAATTTCTGAAGGTGGATAACAGTGGATTCATCAGTTGGAAGATCCTATATTATATTATTGATCTACCCGTTTGAATTCAAATTAAGTGTCTTTCTTTCCAATCGAAAAAGCATTACTCACTGAGCTATTAACTTCACATAAGCACTGACTTGTGTACGGTTTTTATTTCATTTATTTCATAGTGTATACATCAACACTGGGTTGCAGGTATTTATTTGTTTATTTAAACACATAAACATTGATAGAAGAAGGCACCAAATACATATGCGCAACATAAATCATTCGGTTTGTGTTAGGGCTGTCATAGTGCCCGAGTGCACAAACCGGAACAGGTGGTTTTCTTAGAGGGCCACACTCGGAGCCTTTGACCTATAGGTGTGATCTACAAGGTAGTGGAGCAATGTCTGGAGATGTAGTCCGATGTTAACCAGTTTTCAACAGTAGGTTTGTACGTCATTTGTTCCCTCAGGATCCTGGAGCCAATGTGAACTGTTGCTTGGAATGAGGGTTTTTCGACTCCCTTAAATGGTCCTCCATATCTACCATCCGGATAGAAGCTCCTGACATTCGCTTTTCTTCCTCTTAATATCGTAAACAAAGCTCGTAGTGCGAGAATGCAGTGGGTAGTACTGCCCTTGTAGTGGTTATATTCACGTGGCCATATGAGAGCTGATTCTCCCCACCTTCGGCCGTACCGGGCGAAATGCTGGTCCTGAATTCTACTCCCAGCCACAATTCATCTATTCTTAAACAACTTGTGACAAAATGACTCAGTCAGTCAGCTACGACGTAGGAACAGACATATGTATGCATCAGTCCAAGTTGCCACACCTCATTAGCACAAGATGAACAGCGAATTCATTGAAGTAGTTACTTCAGTGGTAGTAAAAAAAGACATTTTGTACAAGGATACGATACAGTAAGAAAGAATCAATTCGTAAAAAGTAAGACACAAAGTAATTTTAGTCTCACGATTTAAGGGAAGACAGAGAGTGTATACACTGACGCCATTGTGATCGATTCTGAGTCATATCACCTTTAGTTTCCTACCATTGATTAAAATAGTCGCGTGAACTCCAACCAAGTAGTCTGAATCTACTAACATGGCTCAGACCAGAAGTTAGTGACTTCAAGGGCTGATTCCACGTTTTGATCAGTTTGGCCACCCCTAACTTTCTTTCAACTATCCCCAACACTAGTCAAGATGACTAAATCGAAACAATTCTTCAGGATACACAGATATCCTTGTTTCAGTTCTTATAATTAACAACGGGCAGATTTAAACTCCTAAAAATGAATTAGAATAGTGATTCGTTTAAATATCACCAAATAAATGTTCAATGTACCCAAATGAAATCCCACCTGAATCCTTTCTAGAACGCCTAATAAAACGACATAGTTCAGCCAATATAAAAACACCAAAACAAATTACTTCATTGATACAAATTAAAACGATATAAACTGAATCGTTAGATAAGATACATTTCACTATTTCACATTTTGAATTGCTCATTCCATTTTAACATAGTTAAGAGTAGATATTTTACACTATTAACCTATTACTTCTCAATTAATGACAAATCTAGAAATTAGGTTATGTTTATACATTTATGAACGTAAGGTGGTTGAATGTAGTTAACAGGAAACTTTACTTGATCTAGATTTCACGCTAGTTAGAACTTGTCAGAAAGACGTACCTGTAATTTTCAGGGAACTGATGTTTCCTATCGGATATAAACTTTCATCATCCAGCTTCTCAATCTTCAACGTTACCACTGAGCTATACAAACCGCGAATGATAATTTTTAAATGATTTACCTGCATTATTGAATCAATTCATTATACAGTCCACTATGACACGTTTACTTTGTCCAAATCAAAACAACAATCTACACTTGATTAGTTACACTGTAAATAATGACCGAGATTTTAACATCTTTTAATCCAAGGGGTACTCTTACCCAAAGATCCAATCAAAAGACGGTGACAATAATAAAAAAAACTTAACTATTTATTGGTCTCATTTTGTTTCTACTGCTTTTGACTCAAAAACTCATAGGGATTATATTTACTGGATTCTTGATTACAATAAACCACAAATTAGAGATCATAACATGTATACAACCGAACTGTAAGTAGCCAATACGTTCATGATAATTTAAGAACGGTAGAACACATAATGGCTTACTTACTTACTTATTTACGCCTGTTACCCCTTGTAGAGGAGCATAGGCCATCCACTAGCACTCTTCAATAACATCAACCAAATTAAACAGAACACATAATTACAGTTAATTTAAGATAATGAAAGTATGCATCATGTATAGATGATTACACAGAACCATTTATTAATTGAATATTTCTTTCCTTCTTTCTGTTTTTTCCCGAATGTATAAAGTTACAAATCACTATATGATAAACAATTACAATTTATAGATACATATGTAAAACAAATAACCACGGTTATCGATTTATGCGAAACTGCTATTTGCCGATTTTTCGGTGTAACCCATTGTACAAAACAACAATCTTTACATTTGGAAGTAAGTATTATTAGTTATTATTATTATTATTATTTTCTTTATTGATAATATTCAATTATTTATATTTATGTAATGCATACTACTTATGCTAACAAATATAAGTAGTGCGCATCCACGATTCCGCTTGCGGGATTCGAACCCAGTGCCGTCGGTCTCGCACGCGAACGCTTAACCTACTGGACCACTAAGCCGGCATCCAATGGTGATAGTGTCTAAAATTAACTAGTCCACGAAATTGCGCGACCGTCTTCCATTTTACTGAGGTAGATACCTGTCTTTACGCGACATGGATTAGCTCCACTGGTCACGGCTTCTCACTAGAACGCTGAGAATTCCCTCACGAAGTTAGTCACTACTGAGCACATGTTAATCACTAGTACAGGGGTTGTGAAGATTATTAAGTTTTTGATCGAGATCACGAACTGATTGATGTTAAACCACCTTTGGAAACCTGGAAACACTAGACGGCCGTTTGTGGGACTCCTCAGCAGTGCGCATACCACATCCCCTATACTAGTAAATATAAGCAGTATGTAAAGGTGATCGGAATTTGAATGCTTATCAGTAGAAGATTGAATTGAAAAGAATAGAAGAGGAAGCAGAGAACAATTGTAACAACCATAGAAGGGAAAACTATAGGAAGATATGTAATTAATGTATGATTTTCATATTTTATAAAACTACTCTGTAGTGTTTGGATTGATCTTCCCCATCTGAGTTCCCGTTCACTACATATACATTGATAATAATATATTCATAAAGACGAATAGATCAAGATATGATATCATTCCATTTGTATAAGCTATATTGATAGATGGATAGTACCTAGTCTAGACCGACTTTGAAATCAGATAATATGACTTTTAATTGGAGAAATGAAGTTGACTTCTACTTCTAGATTTCGAATAGAGTTATATCTTTTAAAAAATTTTTCTATTTCTGGAATTCATATCTGTTCCCAGAATTATATGCTTTGTTTCTAAGGTTTTTTTGTGTACTGTCCCTGATACTTTAGAGAATAAGAACATAGGCAGGGGACAATCGAATGTATCTGAATACAAAAATCTAAGAACCACATAGTAAATAGTTCATATGCAAAATATCCATCGATTGTTTCAGACTTGATTGTTCTTTCGTTTTAACACTAATCATTCTCTGTTCTGCTTCTCTTTTCCTCAATGTTTATAACCTTCTACCGTTAGGCATTTCACTTTGAATTGTTAATACATACTACTTATATCTATTGACATCAGTAACATACACTGCAGTATCATAATCAGGATTGGGAATGTGACTGTTCGGTTTCCGCGTAAAATCCAACAAAGTAGTAAAATGATCTCTACATATTGTACCTGATATCACTTGGTGATTAAAATGTCAACTGAAAAAAAAACTCCTAATGTTTAATTCATTAATGGATATTTAGAGATCTGATTGAACCCTCTTTAAGAATTCCAGAATATGGACAATTTATATTCATTAGAATAAGTTGATACCTTTCTTTACTTTTCAAGGAGACTATTATAGATTTATCAAATATGTACAATTTGTTAACACTTGGTAATATTATTATTTTCGTTTTAATAAACTACACATTTTTATGAAAGATGCTTTCCGATTGGCTAAGAACTGATATAAATATCATGGGGGTAAATGTGAAAATGCAACACCGACAATCTACTATAATGAAAATAATGATCATGACATTTTTATAGACTCGAGGATATGGAAAGCAAGACAATCACTGAGACTCAAGAACAGAGGAACAGATGAGCAAAACACTTTGAGGAACTCTTTAAAAACCCACTGGACATCGAGGCAGCACACACAGACCTTCTTATAGATTTTAGTCAACCAATGATAGAAGAAATCAGGATGGCCATCAGACAAATCAAGAATGGGAAAGCAACAGTTCCTGACAATATACCAACTGAAGCACTGAAGGCAGACATAGAAGCGAATGCAAACATGTTTCATACTCTATTCAAGAAGATTTAGGAAGAAGAACAATGGCCATAAACATACTGGAAAGAAGGACACTTCATCAAGATACCAAAGAAAAGAGATCTGAGGAATGTGAGAACTACACAGGCATCGCACTACTGTCAGTATCAGGAAAATGTTGCAACAATGTTGCTGAACAGGATGAAAGATTTTATAAAAGGTACTTTCTATTTGGCTACTAATACTACTATACTACTTATATCTATCGGCATCGATAACACACACACACCACAAAATGATATTAGACTATTTTGGTAAATTAACTCATAATCCCTTTGTTTCTCTTTTTTTGTTTCTTATTAATTCTAGAAAAAAATAAATCGTCAAACACCAATCAATAACATAGTTACACTTGGATTTGAAAAATATATTTGTATACAACAACCACAACCACCATCACCATTACCACCACAGCAACAACCATCACCATCACCACCACCACCACAACAACAACAACAACAACAATTCGATGGAAATATTTCTAAATTCAATCATATTTTCTATTATATAAAACATCATGATATTTCTATAGATGATTTAATTAAATTTTTACAATCAGAAATGAAATCTAATTCTACATTGAATATATTTATTGATTATTTAATTAAAAATATTCAATTAACCGGTATTATCACTGGTAATGAAATGAATTATTTGAATGAAATCAATAATAATTTATCAATTAAATTCATTAAAAAATCAATAAAATCAGAGAATACAAAAACTAATGATACTCAATTATTGATTATCAATAATAATAATAATAATAATAATAATGAAAATAAACCAATTACTGTAAATAATTATGTAACCGATTATATTCAACCAATTAAAATTGAAAAATGTTTAAATCTAATCAAACATGTTAAAACAATCGTTCGTATAGTAAGTGAATTTCTATTAGTTTTTTTGTATAAAAACAAATGTGATTTAATCATTTCAATAGTTGAAATCATGAATCACTTGAAGCTAGACCACCATGGAAAATCTGGAAGTATTGGAAAATCGTTTTTGTCTTAATATGGAACACTTCAGCAGTACGCATCCACGATCCCACCGCCTCGCGTGATTCGAACCAAGGACATATCAGTTTTGCGCGCGAGCACTTAACCATTAGACTACTGAGCCGGCATTCTGAGTTCGAGGCGGGACCGTGGATGCGTACTTTTGAGGAGTCCCATATTAGGATGAAACGGCCATCTAGTGTTTCCAGGTTTTTCATAGTGGTCTAGCTTCAATTGACCCCTGATTTCAACTGTTTAAATTACTAAAATCTCCACAAAACCCTTTCTGATTTAATTATTTGTTGAATTGATAAGTTGCCTGAAGTCACTAACTTCTAGTCTGAGCCACGTTGGTAGATGCAGACTACTTGGTTGGGGTCCGCGTGACTTTCGTAACCAATGGTTGGAGACTCTTGGTGACATGGCTCAGAATCGATCACAGTGGCGTCGGTGTATACACTCCCTGTCTTCCCTTAAACTAAGAGACTAACATCACTTCATTCTTTCTGTCTACGAACTAATTCTTTCTTCCTATACTATATCCTTATTGCAACCTTTGACCTAACCACTCCTATGAATCCGGTGTTCATCTTGCTGTGCTAATGAGGTATGGCAACCTGGACCGATGCACATATGTGCCTGGTCCTACGTTGTAGCTGACTGACTAACTTACTTGGCGCTGGGGTTCAGAGTGATCAGGAATGTGTCTGATCCCGGGGTGTAGGTTCACTATTGTATCTTGGTGGGTTAAAATTCAGGATGGACCGTAATCGGGTGAATACGGGTGTGTAGCTTAGTCAGTAATAAAAATTTGTAAATTAGACCATTAATAAAAATCTGGAAAAACTAAATGAACGTTTTGTCCTAATATGGGACTATTCATCAGTGCGTATCTACGATCCCGCATACGGGACTCCAATCCAGGATATATCGGTCTCGCACATGAACACTTAACCTATAGACCATTAAGCCGGCATCCTATGGTGTTATTGTCTAAATTCAATCAGTTCACGATATTGCACGACTATCTTCAATTGTCTGAGGTAGATACCTGTCTCTACCCAACACGGATTGGACTCTGCTGGTCATGGCTTCTCACTAGAACTCCACAAAATCCATCTTGAAGCCAGTCACTATTGAGCACATGATAATTATTAATAAAATGGGGATTTGTGGGAATTGTAGTGAGTTTAATTGTCGAGTAAAGACAAGTGTCTATCTCAGACAATGGGTGAATTGTTGTGCAAGATCATGGGTCGATTGAATTTAGACAGTGACACTACCTGATGCAGGCTCAGTAGTCTATAGGTTAGGCGTTCGCATGCGGGATCGTAGACGCACACTGCTGACGAGTTCAATGCTTGGACGAAATGGTCATCCAATACTTCCAGGTTCTCAATGATGGTCTAGCTTACATCGACTCATGAAGTCAACTATTAAAATCACTACAATCTTCACAAATCCCCATTCTAATTTATTCATTTGTCAAGCAATCTCGATATGTTCATTTGAATCAAAGGCATCTGATTATAGTGTCCGGTTATTGGTGATTCACCTTATACCAATCTGACCAATAGCACAGTGATCAAGAAAAATAGCCGAAGGCTTCAATACCTATTTGTTCATACATCATATTTGCCCTCTGTGATCAGTCACAATTCAAAGTCAACAAGTAGATCTACCTTGTATTATTGGATTTACATAGTGAACAGACCATAACACACTAAATATAAGAAATCATAAGTTGTGTGCAGCAAAGCCATAAGGAATATAAAATGACGTAATAAATGAATGATTATTTAAGGAGCGATCAATTTCTACGTAGAATACTTTTGAAAGTTCCATCTGTCCCATGTATTTAGTCTGATCTAACAAAGTGTACAGCTATTTTGTCTTATTTTATAGAACTCTTCAATAATAGTCACAAGCATAGCCTACAGAACCAGTGGCATGTATAACACTTTTAGGTCACTGTGTTGGAATACAACTTCAAATCAATTTGCATCAAGCCCTATGTCTGATTTAAGATCGTGAACTCAAATCCCTAGTTTTCCCGTTACAATATGTGTACATATACATATAGTCTATTTTACTAATTACCCAATGATATTGATATGCATCAGTAAAGATAAGAAGTGATTGACTAACAAGCGTAGACAAACACTCAATTTACTAAATATTATGATAATATAATGCCGTGAATTCTTTTCTATTAGTGATTCGTATTCCAATTTCATTGCGAACTTGTGTTGTGTGGTTTCTGATTCTGATATTGATATATAAGCTTCCTAAAAACAAGCGAAACCGCTTTCTTGAATGAGAAGGGAGCTTTTCTGGGTAAACCAAACTGAGAAATATATGCACATTTATATATCTATCCCTTAGAATGTTAAATGACATATTCAACCATTGGTTGGTTTCTGGTTTATTAAGAAAGCCTTGGCTAATTGAGTAAGCTTTTTTTTTTATGGATACATGAATGGCTAAACGTAGAGGAATTCTATTCGTTATATGAACTAGTAGTAATTGTGTTAAGTAAACTATTATGTGGTTGCCAATTTTTGATCATAAATCCTGTATGTGTATAACTTGATCCAGCCTGTGCTTAGTGTATCGAGTCGTAGTATTATACACCCATCATTCTATAGTCGTGGAATGCAAAAATATTATACTTGTTTGTTTCTTGAAATCATGAACCGATCATTGTTAGAACACCATTGAGAACCTGACAGCACTGAATGGTCATTTTGTCGTAGTATGGGTTTTGTCAGCATCGCACATCCATGACGCTGCACGTGGTAGTCTAACCCGGGACCTTCTGTTCTATTCACATACGCTTGACGTTAAGACTAGTAAACCAGCTAGTGCTAGTGTTTAACTTCAATCAGCCCACGAAATTCATCGACTATCTTCGATTGTTTTTTGGCAGGTAATTGCTTTACACCAGACATGGTCGAATTCCACTATTCATGTCTTCTCACTAGAACTCGGGAAATTTTCTCTCGAATCTAGTGACCATTATTTTTGTTTATGTTTTTTTGTAATAGAAAATATTAGAATATTTGGAACAATGGAAGAATACAACCATATTAGCCGTAAAAGAGGAAGTTATAGTTAGAAAAACTGAAATAGACGATGAATATCAACTGCAACTCAAACTGCATGAACCACGTATTCGTCGGGTGAAGGAAGTAAGTCAACTTTTAAAAGAAAATCAACTAATAAATGTGTTTTTCTATACATTAATAGCACGATCAGTATCCCTACTGATTTACTTACTTATGTCTGATACCCTTTGAATAGCATAGGCCACCGACTAGGATTCTACAACCTACTCTGTCCTGAGTTCCCCTTTACAGTTTTTTTTAAAGTACTGTCCATATCTTTTGATATCGCAAAGCCCACCCAAGGATATTATGTGAGCTTTCAATTTCCCGTAATCACCTACAGTCTACATTATAAATTCGCAAATTGCTTACCAGGAAGGTTCGCCTGTGAGAACACTTAGTACCGCAGATTACACACATTTTGATCATTAAGACGTTTACCATAAGAATGGTGAGCGAAATTCTTAATGTGGAAGGAAGCCGTACCACATATGAGCAGTGGCCGCACAGTTTCAAACTCAGCATCCGTTAACCTGCGCATCCATGAATTATTTTGGTACCTCAAGGAATGGCACTCGTGATTGTGATGCACATTCCCACGCACAACAGTCCAGTACCCGTCTATAATCTTACAAAACATGAATGCCGGACATTGCGTGTTCATGGAAGCCCTTCGTGAAAAAAATTATAATTACATTAACCAAATTACCTCCTCCGTCTAATCCTCTGTGACGAACCGCTAAACCTTATACGCCCATTTCTCCAACACATAAATTTAATATACGAATTCTGATCTCTGCCCGTATGCGAATCTCTCATTACATAATGATTGTAAGTCGATCTTTTGAAAGTTGCGATAGCGGCCTTTAACGCTTCAACTGATGGGAACGCAACGAAAAACAATGTTGTCAAAAACACTTCCTCCGTTTCCGTGACGTCAGAAACACCAGCGCTTGTACTTGATAAGTTACTCTCCTCCATAATGACGATTAAAATGTACTTCGTCGACAAGTACTGATATTTTATAACAATTTTCAAGACATAACTAACCAACTAAAACGAATTTTTAAACTAGCCATTTCATTGGACGAAAAAAGGGATGAAAAATATTGTAATTTGGGGGTGGAAAAAATTTTTCAGTGGGGTGGGGGGAATTTTAAAAAAGAATTTTCAAAAATTGCCGGGTGGATAATAAAAATCATCTGCCTCAATTTCTGGAGCACTGTGTTCTTTAGTCTGCTTCATTTCCAGTCACTATGATGATTCCAAGTTAGGGCTTGCTTTGTGGTTCATTTTGATTATTTCAGCGATGTGTGTTCTATCCACTTCGTCTTTATTGACTACTCTACGAATGTTTGTGAGTAGTATTGTTTTTTTTTTAACTGGCGTGATTAAGGTATCAATTTTGGTGTGTTATTACACAATAAACTATTGTAGTGAACGAGAATACAAGTTGAGACAATCGAATGTGTTCGAATACGAAATTAGTAAAATCTGAGGACCATATATAGTAAATACTTTATTTGCAAAATGTCAGTCAATCGTCTTAGACTTCATTGTTCTTTCGTTTCTACATTAATCATTCTCTGTTCTCGGTCGTCTCTTTTCTTTAATCTTCTTAATCTTCTGCCTCCAGGCATTTCACTTTCAAATGATGATATATACTCCTTATATCTGCCGACATCAGTAGCACACATCACATTATGATTGTATATAATGCAGATAATTAGCTCTGATCAAGTTGTGTAAAGTCTCGGCTTCTAACCAATAAGTTTCGTGTTCGAATCCTGTCATACGTATTCTAGTTTAGGCAACTAGATATTACTATTAATCCTCATACAATTAGAAAGATCATCAAAGTCCTACTACCCTCATGATTTGATGTGATTCTATTTGATGCATAAGTTACACATGAATTAAAAATGGTGTTACAAATGAAAATGTCACAATCAGGTTACTCGTGTATTGAGTAGTGACATGAGACTGAATCTTTTAGAAAATCTCAATTTTTAAAAGGCTATAAATAACACTTAGTACTGAGTACTGATCACCACAAAACGTAGGCTCATTATATCCTCATGATCGCTTACAACCATATACATATAGAAAGAGACTGTAAGTAATGCAATAGATAATACAATGAAGGCTTTTTACTCAAATACTATTAGTCAACTGAGAGCTTGTGGTGATCTGTTCATCTAAGTTATCAACAAAAATAGGTAGTAGTAGTAGTAATAATAATAATAATAGTGATACTAATTCTAAAACATGTTCCGAAAGTTTTAGCTTTTACAATATTCGTCTTGTTTTAACACAAATGACTTATTGACTGACTAAAATAGAACTCCAATTTAGTTTTTGATACTCAGCTATACACAATAGTGAGATTAAGATAGTGTTATAAGAAGATAAAGATCGTCAGGACTATGCGAACGTGTACCGAAATGGATGGTGGCTAGCAGTGGAACCTAGAACGCACGTTTTGTTCTGTTTGTGACTCATCAGCTAAATGTATCTTCATCTCAAAACTCGAACCCAGTACAGTTCGCTTCAAATGCCATCACATTATATACTTAGTTACTGAGTCTAGATAGCCACTAACTTGTACAATCGGGTGAAGTTAAGTTCTCTATTTATAATACTTGTGACTTAAGACAATATCATGGCCAATAAGATACTGACCATTGGTTATAAATATACATAGAATCAAATGACTTAATAAGAGTAGAAAATATAGATACATCATCCTCTATTGCTAAACACATCGTTGAAACAGGTTATAAGATTGATCTTATCTCAACTGTTGTGGTTTTGTACAAAAAAATGTTTTAATGGCGTATATACTAAGGTTTATTGTAGCCTTGACCCTATGAAAATTGAAAACCTTTTCTATATTGTAGTGGCCCGATATCTGACCCCAATTAGATCGTATGATGATTGTTGTCTAAATATACATGTCACCAACCCTCGTATATATAATTTATCGACTTAATTTGTGTTAGAGAATAATGGAATAAAATAAATGAAATACGAGAATGAAGTTTGATTACGTATTTTACGTACATTCGTTGATCTGAACGGATAATCAGGGAAACGAAGCGAATAATGCGAAGAGGAGAGGGCGAAGCGAAACGAAATGATGCGCAGTGGAGAAGACGATTGAGCCAACTCTATTTAATCAAGTGTGCCTCAATATTTATATTCAAACAAGTATAAGTTACAAATACCCGATGAAAAGGGTAAGTAATTAACACAAATACGATCACATAAAAGCAGTCAGGGTTAATTGGCAAATAAGTGACAGGGTAAAAATATGGCTTGAGAAGAGTGAATAGATTGGTCTGTCCAGAGGTTAGAATAACCTATGTAGGCTTGGCATAGTACCATCCACTACAATATGTTCAAAAAACAGTTTGTTCTCACCATCAACTTACCTTGATAATATTGTTCTATTATCCAGCGTGGTAAGTTTCACAAATATATTCTTTATCATCTTTGTTTTCTTTCACCTTTCATTTGTCTAGTTGACCTTTCTTGGATAAATGATATTAACATGTATGTGTGTGACCAATTGTTTGAAATGTATTCCGCTAATCTAACATCACATTGTTCTGATAAACTTTATCTTCTTATATTGCACTATTCAAATTTATCAATTGAATTAATTGTTTTCAATGGTGATATCGATCTATCAACTTTTATCAGTATAAGGTAGTAAAGTTTGTCGAGTTTTATTTGTAATAATAAACGGAACGATATTAGACCACCATTGAAAACCACGTGAGAGATCATGGATGCGCATTACTGAGGAGTCCCACACTAGGACGAAACGACCGTCCAGTCAGTCAGTCAGTCAGCTACAACGTACGAGCAGGCACATATATGCATCGGTCCAAGTTGCAATACTTCACTCATTACCACAACAAGGTAAACATCATAGAAGTAGTTAATTCGCTGGTGGTAATATATAAATGAAAGATTGCATTTAAGGATATAGTACAGGAAGAAAAATTAGTTCGTAGAAAGAAAGGTGTAAAGTAATTTTAAGCTCACGATTTAAGGGAAGTCAAAGAGTGTATACACCTACACCATTGTGATTGATTCTGAGCCATGTCACTCAGAGTCTTCACTCATTGGTTAGAATAGTCGCGCGGGCCCCAACCAAGTAGTGTGCATCTACCAACACGGCTCAGACCAGAAGTGACTTCAAGCACTAATTCCACGTTTTGGTTTGGCCGCCCCTAACTTTCTTCCAACCATCTGCAACACTTGTCAGCACTGCGCGTCGTGGTAATCGGTGTTCAGACATACGAAAGACGTGAACCAACCATCTCAGTCGATGAAGATTCACAACCTCATCAACTGATTTACCATCATCATTCCCTAATACCCTGATTCTAACCTCACTATTATTTGCCCGGTGATCCCATCAGATGCGAGCAATGTTTCTAAGACATTTGTGGTCAAATACTAGTAGCTTATGAATATCTCCTACTCTTAATGGCCACGTTTCGTAGCCGTAAATTAGAACAGAGCGAACTGCAGCTCAGTCTACTCGTCCATTAATTGATAGACGGATATCTCGCCTTCTTCATAGATGACGTAAGTTGGCAAAAGCCAAACAAGCTTTTCGAATCCGTGCTGAGATTTCGTCAGACATCAATCCATTAGGGCTGATCTAACTTCAAAGATAAGTGAAATTGTCGACGCGTTCAACTGCTTCACTCCAATGCTTCCAAGTTTTAAATGATGGTGTCTAATATCGATTCATTCATGATACAATCTTTTCTTATATTGAATATTTTATCTTTTTTTTCTTCTTTATAGGATGTAGCAAATGTAAGATTAACTGAATTAGTTTTTCATCAAACACGTATTGAACGACATATAACCTCAGTGAATTTAATATTGAATGAAATGAAAATTAATTCAACAAAAAGTTTAATTGAAACAATAAATAAATCTGAAGAACAAATGAATGAAGCAATTCAACAATCGATTGATTCAACCATTAGTAAAGCAACAAAATCATCAACGTAAGTAGTAAATTCAATCATAATTAATTGGGTTTTTTATCCCAGAAGAGGAAAAAGAAATTGGATTAAAGATGGTCTTAGTGACCTGAGAGTGTGACTGCAGTGCTCAAGGGACAACTGCTTGAGATCAGTCACATACAACCTTTTTGTGAGTAATTTTCATGTTAGCTCCATACTTGTTGAGACCTTACCGCCGGTGACGGGTATCCGTGCGATAAGGCGAGGTGTTCAGTTTTAGAGTCGACCTTTTCTAAACCCACCCCTCCTTATGGGAAGGCAGCATCACTGTTATGCTGGTTGTCTGAAGGAAACACCTTACTGCTGTCACACCTCAGTACAGTCAGCAGTACGACTTCGCCTTCGGACCTTAGGTTTGTTGCTTTTAGTTTTACTGTTCTTCAATCGACCTGTCTAGCATGGTAGAACCTTGAGGAACGATTGTTGCAGCCAGTATAGCTCTATTGGTTCATCAGGGTGGTCAAGTCCGACCACCACGTCAAGGTCGGGTTTTTCCCCCAATCAGTTCAATTGTATACGTCTTGATTTTAAAGAAAACATAGAAATTAAACTATGTCATTTGTATCATGACTTATAGCTAATCTTATGTGATAAAACCACTGCTGAGTTAACAAATGACACATTAACCAGTACTAGTGTCCTTGATTCCCTTCTAAGTCATCTTCTTGCTCTAATTGTCGAGTCCAGAATAGAATAATCAGTCCCCACTATACGGATATTATATTTCAGATCATACATGGTTTATGTATAGACATACCTGACCACATCATTATGGTAAAATGAAAAACAATAATTTTACAAGATCAAACTGAAAGTGGCTATGAATAGGGGAGTTTGTAACTTGTAGTGGCTCTGCTTCGTTAACCAATCACCCTCGTAACCGTTATTATATAAACCTCAATGGTGTTTGAAATCAGAAGGCAAAGAGCAAAGGCAACTACAGTTTATTAGCGGATATCTCAGACCACAAAACTATGAGCACATCGAACGAATTTGAAGCAGAGCGGAGAATATGTGTGTGTGTGATCAAATACAGAGGTGAGTTTCTAGTTAAATCGAATAAGGTGCAGTTAGGCAAGGCGAAGGTTAATAGTAGGATTTGCGATCATATATACATGAGGAAGAGAATGAATCATGAAGTGCTATTTAAGCATTCAACACTTAAGCTCGAGTTTATCAGGTGATCTAGTGATCATAATGGTACAAAGACATATGCGAATTGTTTCTATTCAAATGACATTGTCTGTTAAGTAAGTTAATAAAAGGTCTTAACCAAAATTAGCCATAATCGAAATTGGTTGTAAGATAGTTACTATAAGCTAATAGATGGGGAATATAATAATAATAATAATAATAATAATTAATGAGTCAAATGAAAGCAGTTTATGATAAATAGGGTCATAAAAATATGATAATCTGGTTGCTGAATAATTGTGAATAAGAATATATATCAGAATAGTCCATAAAATCGTTCCGGAAGTGACTATTCCTTTAGTTTTTGTCTGGTGTAGTTTCATTCTTTGAGTTGGATAGTTTGGTTGTGGAGCTTATATTGCTCATCTGAACAAAACAATCATCAGCATAAACTCCAGATCAAAGAATGAAACTTTATTTAATGAGTTAGTTTACTACAAGATGGTATAGTTAACCCCCATGCTTAACCGTCCTCCTTTATCTGAGCTTGGGATCAGCAGTATCCCCATAGGGGCTCCATATGGTGTTAGGTTACATTATTAATCATAACAAATTTTCCATTGGATTTGATCATATTAACCTAATTCACTTTATTCATTAATAATGTTGTTTTTTTTAATTATAAATAACAATCAAAATTAATTGATAAACTTGATTATTCTTGCTTTCCCTATTGTCCACCATTTGGAAACACTTCAAGATTATTATTATTAAGAAAACGTATAGAAAGCTTCGCTGAATCTCATACTCAATGTGTACGTCATGCATTGAAAGAGTTTCGTCAAAATTTTGAAAATCAAATACAAACTTTAAACAATTCCAATTTAAAATTGATTGAATCATTAGAGTAAGATTTAATGAATGAACTATTGAATCATTATAACTATTATTATTATTAATGGTTGAGATCATGAGTCAGTTGAAACTAGATCACCATGGAAAACTTGGAAGCGCTGGAAGACTGTTTCGTCCTACTGTGGAACTCCTCAGTAGTACGCATCTACGATCTCAACTATTAAAATTACTATAATATCCATAAAACCCCTTCTGATGTTATTATTATTTAAAGCATGTTTATCTGAAAATATTTATATATATATATATTGGATGGTGGTTGGAGGTAGTCAACAGGAAACCCTGGACCCGGGTTTCGTGCTACTTGGCACTCGTCAGCAAGGTGTACCTGTAATCTTGAGGGAACTGGTGCTCCCTGGCGGATTCGATCTCGTGTCATCCAGCTTCACAGTCAGAGACGTTACCACTGAGCTATCCGGGCCGGGTCCAGAGTTCCCTGTCGACTACCTCCAACCACCATATAATCTCACAATAGTGCACGCAGTGTCGAGTCACCAAGAGTGGTGGCCACATTGCAACATGGTAGATAGCATTCGATCTGCACTAATAATGAGGACTTGGCACATATGACATTGGTCACCACTTAATGATCAATCAATTATGATATATATATACATATCACGATTAGATTTTAGCAGGAAAATCTCAAAAAAATCAAGAAGGAAAGTACAGCTGTGTCATAATAATGGACTTATAAAAACTTGAAAGAAATGTAACTAAGAACATTTCGGCCTCGAAGTTACTACCTTTAGACCTATAAAGTTGAATTCTGAAGTTGTCTGAATTTAATCTATTGTGTATTTGTTATGTAATCTCATTTGTCATACGTCTACTCTAGTTGATCTCCGACAGTGATGGTTTCTCTCTGGCATTTCATAAATTCTCAAGCCTAGAGCTTTAGATTCTTAATATGCTGTGTATAACTTGAGCACTCGAACGCTAGAACCCTCCCAAGTCGCAAATGAGAAAACAGAAGACAAGTGAAAAGAATTTTATTCCACATAGTGTCAATTATGATACAAAAAAAAATGTCAGCTATTTATAATTTTTAGTAAAAAGGAAATCATCATTATAGTCATCCAATCTGCATACTTACTTACTTACTTACGCCAGTCACTCCTCGTGAAGGAGCATAGGCCGCTCACCAGCATTCTCCATCCAACCCTGTCCTGAGCAATCCTTTCGAGCTCCGTCCAGTTGTAATTCATCGTTTTCATATCTGCTTCTATTATCCGACGTAATGTGTTCTTTGGCCTTTCTCTTTTACGCTTCCCTTCAGGATTCCAAGTTAGGGCTTGCCTTGTGATGCAGTTTAACGATTTGCGTAATGTATGTCCTATCCATTTCCATTGTCTTTTCCTAATTTCTTCTTCAGCTGGAAGTTGGTTTGTTCTCTTCCACAGAAGGCTATTACTGATGGTATCCGGCCAATGGATGTTGAGTATCTTGCGTAGACAGCTATTTATAAATACTTGTACTTTCTTGATTGTGGTTGTTGTAGTTCTCCAAGTTTCAGCTCCATACAGTAGAACTGCCTTGACGTTCGTATTGAAGATTCTCACTTTGATATTGGTTGAAAGTTGTTTTGAGTTCCATATGTTCTTCAATTGTAGGAATGCGACCCTTGCTTTGCCAATCCTTGCCTTTACGTCTGCATCGGATCCTCCTTGTTCATCGATGATGCTTCCCAGGTATGTGAAAGACTCTACATCTTCCAGAGTTTCGCCATCAAGTGTGACTGGATTGCTGTTCTCCGCTTTGAATTTGAGGACCTTAGTTTTCCCTTTGTGTATGCTGAGGCCTACTGATGCAGAGACTGCTGCTACACTGGCTGTCTTCATCTGCATTTGTTCGTGTGTACGTGATAGGAGGGCTAGGTCATCTGCGAAGTCCAAATCGTCCAATTGGTTCTGAGCTGTCTATTGTATTCCGTGTTTTCCTTCAGATGTCGAGGTCTTCATAATCCAGTCGACCACCAGAAGAAAGAGGAAGGGAGAGATTAAACAGCCTTGTCTGACTCCGGTCCTTACTTGGAATGCATCTGTCAGCTGTCCTCCATGCACTACTTTGCACTGTAGTCCGTCGTATGAGTTCCGGATAATATTGACATTCTTCTCAGGAACTCCGTAGTGTCGAAGAAGTTTCCATAATGTCCTCCTATCCACACTGTCGAATGCCTTTTCATAATCAATGAAGTTGATGTATAGTGATGAGTTCCACTCAACTGATTGTTCGACGATGATCCGTAGTGTTGCAATTTGGTCTGTGCACGACCGATCCTTACGGAATCCAGCTTGTTGATCTCGAAGTTGGGCGTCTACTGCATCCTTCATCCGGTTCAGAAACAATCTGTTGAAGACTTTCCCTGGTATTGACAGTAGTGTAATGCCTCTGTAGTTTTCACATTTGCTCAGATCTCCTTTCTTTGGAATCTTGACGAGGTGTCCTTCTTTCCAGTCCATCGGCACTTGTTCCTCCTCCCAAATGTTTTTGAATAGAAGATAAAGCATGCTTGTGGTTGCTTCGATGTCTGATTTCAGTGCTTCAGCTGGTATGTTGTCGGGTCCTGCTGCTTCCTCGTTCTTGATTTGTCTGACGGCCATTCTAATTTCTTCCGTAGTTGGTGGATTGACATCTATAGGAAGATCTATGTGTGCTGCTTCGATGTCCAGTGGATTCATTGGAGCCGGCCTATTCAGGAGTTCCTCGAAGTATTCTACCCATCTGTTACGCTGTTGTTGAATTTCGGTGATTTTCCTGTCTTCTTTGTCTTTGACCGGCCTCTCTGGTTTACTGTATTTGCCTGCTAGTTTCTTCGTTGTATCGTGAAGCTGTTTCATATTTCCTTCTCTAGCAGCTTTTTCTGCCGTCGTTGCTATTTCTTCAACGTATTTCTTCTTGTCGGCTCTAATGCTCCTCTTCACTTGTTTGTTTGCTTCTATGTATTCAGCTTGTGCTTGGACTTTCTTTGCTCGTGTTCGGCTGTTGTTTATTGCTGCCTTCTTGTTCTTCCTTTCTTTGATCTTGTCGAGTGTTTCTACAGAGATCCATTCCTTATGATGGTATTTCTTTAGACCGAGAACCTCTTGACAAGTTGATGTTAATGCTTCCTTGATGCCTTTCCAGTTGTCCTCCATAGTAATTTCTTCTTCTTTCAGTAGATCTCGTAAGGCTTGGAACCTGTTGTTGAGAGCTATCTTGAATTCATTGAGTTTGTCAGTATCTCGAAGGAAGGCTGTATTGAACCTTTGTATTGCTGTTTGTCCACTTGTCCAGTTCTTTTTTAGCTTCAGTTTCAAATTGGCTACAACTAGGTGGTGATCTGAAGCTACGTCAGCACCTCTCCTGGTTCTCACATCTTCCATTGTCCTTCGGAATTTTTTGTTGATGCAAATATGATCTATTTGGTTCTCTGTAGTGTGGTCCGGTGAGATCCATGTAGCCTTGTGTATACGCTTGTGTGGAAATATTGTGCCTCCTATGACCAATTTGTTGAATGCACATAGACTTGCAAATCTTTCTCCATTTTCGTTTCTTTCTCCCAGTCCATGTCGTCCCATAATATCTTCATATCCAGTGTTGTCTATTCCGACTTTGGCATATAGATCTCCCATTAGAATGATGAGGTCCTTTCTTGGGCATTTCTCAATGATTGACTGCAGCCGCTCGAAGAACTGATCTTTGATTTCGTCGTTGCTATCATTGGTGGGTGCATAACATTGGATAATATTCATTGTGATCCCCTCCTTCCTTGTTTTGAATGATGCTTTGATGATTCTGGATCCGTGAGATTCCCATCCTACAAGTGCATTTCGTGCTACTTTGGACAGCATTAGAGCAACTCCCTGAGTGTGTGGAGCATTGTCCTCTTCGTGACCGGAGTATAGCAGCATCTCTCCCGTAGCTAGCCTTTTCTGTCCAGCTTGGGTCCAGTGGGTTTCGCTGATTCCCAGTACTGCTAAGTTGTATCTCCTCATTTCCATTGCTATTTGACTGGTCTTCCGGGTTTCCCACATTGTTCGAACGTTCCATGTACCTATAAAAATTTTTGCTCTGGTTGTTAGAAGGGGCATTGGCCTCGTGGCTTCCGAAGGAGCTCGGCTTTCACCATGAAGCGTCATAATTCTTCTAAATGAAGACCTTCTAACTCCCAGGGCAGAGTTAAAATGGTTTGGATTATTTTTCCTGGTGAGCGTTTTTTTAGCGAGTTAGTTTTCTACGGGATGGGGACGCTAACCCCATGCCCAACCCTCCTCCTTTACACGGGCTTGGGACCGGCAGTAACCCTATGAGAGCTACAGGCGGGGTTATTAGACATTTTTCCAATAGGGAAGCCATACGAAGTGATTCTGGAATATTCTTCCAAAAGATGATTGGATGGTATATTTTCAGCTCTTTCTAAGCTTCTTAGACCTTCATCGAGTTCACAGATACTAATTGAAAGCGAACTTAACCGATGGAGCCGCATTACGATTGTATGATATCATGAATTGATTTGGGTTGGGAATATGAACAATTAATTTCTGTCTCCATAGTACAGAGGTAACTCTCGCACAGTGAAATGTGAGAATTCTAGATCAGATGCCTGACGAGATTGTAGATGAATACTGATAAGAAGTTTTAAAATAGAACGAAACATTTATCATTTTTAATGATTGTTTATGTGAAATTAATGATTTGTGAAATGAATCCTATCCAAGTTGAACAATTGATAAAAATATCTCATCTAGTTTTTGGTTGAGATCATGAACCGATTGATGTTAGACCGTCGTTGGAAACCTGTAAGCACTGGACGGATGTTTCGTCCTATTGTGAGACTCCTCGGCAGTGCGCAATTTCGTGGATTGGTTGTTGTTATACACTAACACCATTGGGTGCCGGCTAAGTGGTCCATTAGGTTAAGCGTTCGCACGTGAGACTGAAGGCCCTGGGTTTGAATCCCGCGAGCGGGATCATGGATGCGCACTGCTGAGGAGTCCCACAGTGGGACAAAACGGCCGTCCTGTGCTTCCAAGTTTTGTTCATCCATGATGAACTAGCATTTTTGTATAAAGATATCATCAAAGTGTATATATGAAAGGAAAGAATTTGTAATTGTCAGTATAGGTTTATGGAGATTGTTGAGTTTTTCAATTAAGATCATTAACCGATCAGTGTTAGACCACCATCGAAAGCTTGGAAACACTCGAGGGCTGTTTTATCGTGGTATTGGACTCCTTAGACGTGTATAATCACGATTCCGCACGGGGAACTCGCGCAAACACTTAACTTTCAGACCACGAAGCTGTTATCGAGCCGTGTTAATGTCTAACTTCAACCAATCCTTGAAATTGTGTCACCGTCCACCATTGTGTTCAGTGAGTTACTCATGAATTCAACCATTGAATTACTACAATTTTCACAAAACTCCCTTTCTGATAATAATCATCATGTGCTCAGTAGTGACTGGCTTCAAGAGGTATTTCCTGGAGTCCTAATGAGAAGCTGTGACCAGTAGAGTTCAACTGTGTCTGTTGTGAGGCAGCTGACTTACAAATAGTACAACAACATGCAATTCAACCCTGTAAAACGCTATCTAAACTCTAAATTTTCAAATATTATAAACGAACAATTTATTGACTTGCTTTGAAAATTTCAAATGATCTAAAGCGTTGAATGAAGACACTTCATATAATCTAAAACCTTGATAAATTTGTTAGAATGGATAGAATATTGGACAGGTTGGGACTCTTAAGTGTGATCTATGCTACTTATTTCGGTAAATCTAAGTAGCATGTAACATCAGTCAGAAGTAGAATGCCTGGTAGCAGAAAGTTGAGAAGATCCAATTGAGGAAAACAGGAAGAGCAACAGTGAGTAATTGTAATAACAGCAGAAATCAAAGAATGATGAAAGATGTAAAAGACAACTGATGAAAGATGTACTAATGAAGTATCTGATGTATGGTTTTCATATTTTAAGAAAGCGCTCTGTAATTCTAGTATTTCCCATATTACGGCTTCCGTTTACGCATAAACTACTTTAGCCCCGATCCCATAAGTTACAAACACATTTCGTCATGTAGAAAAATTATTATTTGTTTCGCTTCATGGTTCGGTAATCCATGTATATAAAGCTAAGAGTGAGTTATAACCATAAACACTGATGAGGGGTTTATATTCCTAATGTGTTTAGCTTCTTACTGTCTACCGGTTTACAGAGAATTTACTTGCTAAATTAATAGATTTAGAGGTGGACTCATATTGATTTGTTGTCGGTCAATGCGTGACATTGGTCAGTGTATAAGTTAGTAGTCTACCAGGCGTTAATAATATTCATATTACTGAACTACATTTATTTATTTATTTGAATACATAAATATTGGTACAAAGCGGCACCGAATACATACGCGCCACACAAGTCACGGGTGATGCTGCACGAGTGCACAAACCAAAGCAGGTGGCTTTCTTAGGGGCAACAACCCTAGCCTTAGATCTAAAGGTGTGATCCACAAGGCAGTGGAGCAACGTAAGGAGATGCAGTCTCATAGTGTGACCAGCAATAGGTTCATACACCATTTTTTCCTTCAGGATCATGGAGCTCATGTTCACTATTGGTTTGGAATGAGGGTTTTCCAACTCCCCTAGGTGGATTCTCTATATCCGCCAACCTGGTTAAATCCCCTGGCGAACATTGGCTTTTCGTCCTCATAATTTCGTAAGCAATACCCATAGTGCGAGAAGACAGTGAGTAGGACTTCCCTTGAAGTGATTGTACGCACATGGCCATATGAGAGAATTTGGATAGGGAGAGTGGACTATCACCATTCTCGGTTGTAGCAGGGTATTCGAGGGCAGTGAACTATAATTCCGTGACATATGATAAGACTGAAGATCACAACAGAATTCAAATTTAATTAAGATGTTCACACTCTAAATCATGTACTGATCTTAGCCAGTGCATTAGCAAAAACCTAGAAGCACTCGAAGGAATCCTATACTAAGAAGAAATAACTATCCAGTGCTTCTGAGTCTAAGATGAGTTTATGATGTTATGTATGAAAATTTTACAATCTCCACAAATCGCCAAGATAAAGACGCCTTGTTCTTGTTTTTGTTCTTCTTCTTCTTCTTATATAATAAATAGACTTTTTATTGATGGAGGCAATTTTTCAACTATTGAAGCCAAAAAATACACAATCACATTAAATCAATTAAGTAGAACAATTCAATTATTTGAAGAGGAAATTATTGGTCATATAGAATCCATTGAAAAAGAACGTCAATTAATAACCGATAATAAATTGAAACAATTTGACACTTATTTAAAACCATATTTAGCTGATGTTATTTATATGGAGAATATGATACGTTGTATAACCAATACACAAGTAAGTTCAAATTGTTTATGATGATTCTCTCTCTTTTATTTTATACAATCGAACATGAACAACATCTAAACACCATTTTGAGATACTATGATGCTTGTACCATTGGAGACTTTTTGATGAACACAGTGTCGAAGGTCAATTCTCTTGGTGTCACCTTTTCCTCTGATCTGTCTTGGTCTTCTCACGTTTTATTGTTATCGAAGAAGGTTTTCCGTCTGAATTACTACATAAAGAGATTGTATGCTCTCGGGATTACTCGACATTTTGCTCTTACAATTTGTCAATTCTTGTATATTATCTATTATTCCTTTCCGGGCATTTGAGAAATGACTTTGCTGTATTGCAGAGAGTGCTGAAGGCAGTTAGCAAGGTGTGCGGTAAATCTTTCGAAGTCATAATTAATATGGTTGTGGATAGACATCTAAAGTCATACAAACTCCTGACAGGTGTTATCTTATCACATACTAGCCATCCCCCTCACCCTTATCTTTCTCCTTGTATATCTTCTGGCAGAACAAGACGTCAATGCATTAAAATTCATACACTCAAGCCAAAATATAAATGTTCTATAATACCTTACCTAGCCAATATACTCTGTGACGAACAGGTTGTTAGAGTCAACCTAGTCAATAACTTGCATTCTTAAACATGTCCTTAATTCTAAAAGTTGTACAGTTTTTTCGGGATTTTTTTAAAACCTTTTTTCCCCTTTTTTCGTCTTTGTTTTTTTTTTGTGTGTAAGTAACTTGTTGAAATACTCTGTGCTGAGAATTTCTATATTGTACTAAAATATAATATTGAATAAAGTCATTCATTCTTGGAAACCAATTTCACTCGACAATTCCCCAATTCAGAACACAGTTGAACAGGAATGAAATCACATCCCCAATAATAAGGTTAAATGGAAGTAAGGAGCACAGTAGGAAAACGTTAGTATATTTATAGTTTTTCACATGAGAAGATTCTAGCGTGTTCTCCATGTATCGACTAGCACTGATTGGTTAAGAATTAGTCAATCAGCGTGCACCAACGCAATCGTACATCAAGTATGGATCATGAAAAGGATTTCATAGTGTTTTTATTTTAGCTAGAAAAATATTCCGATTTATGAATAAAAGTAGAGTCTAAGATTCAAATTTCATTCTATTTGAGACTTATCAGTTATATGTACATTAATTCTACTGTTTATGTACACAATAAAACTCGAATGCAGTTCAACATGTTACTTACTTACTTACTTACGCCTGTTACTCAACGTGGAGCATAGGCCACCCACCATCATTCTCCATCCAACCCTGTCCTAGGCGATTCTTTCTAGCTCTTTCCAGTTGTTATTTATGTATAGGTAAGTTAGTGGTTAAATGTACTCAATAACATAGCGGATAACGCGACTGAATTTGAAATTGGATCAAGTTTCAGCACCCACGGACCTCCCAATCAATGTTGGCCCACCAACAATTGAAGAAATCAGCATGGCCATCAGACAAATCAAGAGTGGCAAAGCAGCAGGACCAGACAATATTCCAGTAGAGGCACTGAAAGCAGATGTAGCAGTAACTGCAAAGATACTCCACATTCTCTTCAATACGATTTGGGATGAGGAACAAGTACCAACAGACTGGAAAGAAGGACTCCTGATCAAAATACCAAAGAAAGGCGATCTCAGCAAGTGTGATAACTACAGGGGCATCACTCTTTTCTCAATACCGGGAAAAGTCTTCAACAGGGTATTGTTAAACAGGATGAAGGACTGCGTAGACGCCCAACTTCGTGACCAACAGGCTGGATTCCGTAAGGATAGATCGTGTACAGACCAAATCACAACTCTACGGATCATTGTGGAACAATCAATTGAATGGAATTCATCACTCTACATCAACTTCATTGACTACGAAAAGGCATTTGATAGCGTGGACAGAACAACACTATGGAAGCTTCTTCGATACTACGGCGTGCCTCAGAAGATAGTCAATATCATACGGAGTTCATATGATGGATTACACTGCAAAATCGTGCATGGAGGACAGTTGACAAAGTCGTTCGAAGTGAAGACCGGTGTTAGGCAAGGTTGCTTACTCTCACCCTTTCTCTTTCCCCTGGTGATCGACTGGATCATGAAGACGTCAACATCTGAAGGGAAGCACGGGATACAGCGAACATCTAGGATGCAGCTGAACGATCTAGACTTCGCAGATGATCTGGCCCTTCTATCCCAAACCCAACAATAAATGCATGAGTAAACGACCAGTGTAGCAGCAGCCTCAGCAACAGTAGGTCTCAATATACACAAAGGGAAAAGCAAGGTCCTCCGATACAACACAGAATGCACCAATCGAATCACAATTGACTGAGAAGATTTGGAAGATGTAAAAACCTTCACATATCTGGGCAGCATCATTGATGAACAGGGTGGATCTGATGCAGATGTGAAGGCTCGGATCGGCCAAGCGAGAGCAGCATATTTACAACTGAGGAACATCTGGAACTCAAAACAACTGTCAACAAACACCAAGGTCAGGATTTTCAATACAAATGTCAAGACAGTTCTACTATATGGGGCAGAGACCTGGAGAACTACGAAAGCCATCATTCAGAAGATACAGGTGTTTATTCACAGTTGTCTACGTAAAATACTTCGGACCCGTTGGCCAGACACTATCAACAACAATCCACTATGCGAAAGAGAACAAACCAGATCCCAGCCGAGGAAGAATTGAGAAAGAAGCGCTGGAAGTGGATAGGACACACATTGAGGAAAGCACCCAACTGTGTCACAAGACAAGCCCTCACATGGAATCCTCAAGGCCAAAAGAAAAGTGGGAGACCAAAGAAGACATTACGCCGAGAAATGGAGATAGACATGAGAAGAATGAACAAGAATTGGATGGAACTAGAAAAGAAGGCCCAGGACAGAGTGGGTTGGAGAATGCTGGTCAGCGGCCTATGCTCCATTGGGGGTAACCGACGTAGGTGAGTAAGTAAGTAAGTAAGACGAAATGAACATTAAAGATTCCACTCCATTTATTGTTTCAACTTTAGCACAGGTAAACCAAAGACGGCCACATGAAGATATTTCATCAATCTTATGATTGATTGATTGTTAAAATGAATCCTATCTGTACATTAAAACTTAATAATTGGGATGCACAAAATTTATTAGATTCTTCGTTTGTGGACATTCGAGAATATAACACAAAATCACTGGTAGTAGATACTGTTACATACAATTTTATGATCTCTACCATTTCATGATCTGCAGTTTATCGTGATTCTGTCCTTTGGATTCTTTAATCTCGTCCGTTTTCTTTAAGATATATTTCTTGAGTTCAGCTTCCCATTAAAGTGATCACTACTATCGTTGTTTTCACTTGTCTATCTTACATCTGATCAATTTCCTCCTTCATCTTTTTTCATATGTACGATGTACGATAAATTTAACATATATTCATGTTCGGTCTTATGTTTTGATGTTATTCGGTTAGAAGCAGTCAGCAGGAAACTATGGAACGAGATGCCCTGGTGTTTTACACTTATCAGCAAGGTGTTTTTAGAATCTCAAAGGAATTGATACTCCCGGTGTTATGATTTCTCTTATTACGACCTAGCCACTCTTATTACTTAAAATTCTTGGACACTACTTCACTCAAAAAGTCCCCAAATTAGAACACGGTTGAACAGGAACGTAATTATATTCTTAATAATAAAGGTGGATGGAAGTAGGAATTACAATAAGAAAAATTGTAAGCATATTTGTAATTTTTTAGATAAGGAGATTCTAGAATCTTCTCCAACGATCCACCCTAACACAATTCTTCACGGAACATTCTTTAACCCAATCTGTATCGCGGTAAAACACAGTGTGATTTGTACCCTTGTCAATATACTTTACAGATTAAGATGTTAACACTGAGATTATAGGGCACTAACTGACTTCCAGTAGGAGAGGTATGTCGATATATTGTTTGTGACTGATTGTTTTTAGTTCAAGTTTTGTCATACACTACAAATGCATATATGTTTATATTAGGAAGAAATCCTTGCTATGTATTCATAACAGTTCACTTCTCTAAACTTTTCTCCTCTCTACGGCTTTGAAATATTATAAGATCTCTCCATATGTAGCTTGAAATATCAACTACTCAACACATTCATCCAAGAATTGGTAACTTCATTTAGATTTTTTCTTACCGTACTGTTTCGTTTAGTGTTATATTTCAATCAGTCAGTCAGTCAGCTACAACGTAGGGACAGGCACATATATGCATCGGTACAAGTTGCCATACCTCACTCATTAGCACAACAAGATAAACACCACATTCGTAGAAGTAGTTAATTCAGTGGTGGTAATATGTAAAAGAAAGATTTTATGTAAGGATATAGTACAGGGAGAAAAAATTAATTTGTAAAAAGAAAGTTTAAGGGAAGACAAAGAGTGTATACACCTACGACTCTGAGCCATATCACACAGAGTCTCCGACCATTGGTTACGACAGTTACACGGATCCCAACCAAATAGTGTGCATCTACCAACATATCTCAGACTAGAAATTAGTAACTTCAATGACTGATGCCACATTGTGGTTTGGCCACCCCTAACTTTCTTCCAACCATCTCTAACACTTGTCAGTATTACGCGTCATGCTGATCGATGTTCAAGCATACGTAACACATGACCTAATCATCTTAGTCAATCAAGATTTATATGTATCTAAACATAACATTGATTTTATTCATGATTTCAACAAAAAGATGTAACTCTCTCTCTCTTTCTCTCCTTTCCTTCTTCTCTCCATTTGTGTATATATATATTAACTAGGTACAAATCAAAGCACAAACTGAAGATAGTTCAAGTCAATCAAAATTATTAATCGGTCAAATTGAACAATTTCAATGTTTATTAAAATCGCTTAATGAAACAAATCAAATTCTATCAAATACATTATTGAATATAACATTAGCTACTACTACCAATACTACTACTACTAATACTAATAATAATAATAATAATAATACATTACAACAATTAAATATGGAGGAGAGAATCATGCAAAAAGATTTAAGTAATAAAGCAATTGAATTACTGACTAGAATTTGTATCAATGCATCAGATCGTTGTGTATTTTTAAATTGTCTACGTAGTCAATATGTCAATGAGGATTATGTTGCAACAACTGATCCAAATGAATTATCCTATGAGAATATAATTGGAAATAATAAAGATAATTTAGTAAGTAATATATAGTATTGTATAGAAATAAGTTATTGAATGTATATGGGAATGAACTACTTTGACTAGGAGAAAACATTCGACAGCGTGGATAGCAGAACTATATGGAACCTTCTTTGATACTATGGTATCGCAGAGAAAATCGTCATCATGAGGAATTCATATGAAGGACTACAGTTTAAAGTGTTGCATGGAGGACAGCTGACAGATACATTCCAAGTGAAGTCATGTGTCAGGCAAGGTTGTTTACTCTCCTCCTTTGTCTTTCTTATGATGGTTGACTGAATTATGAAGATCTGAACATTTGAGGGAAAGTACGGAATACAATGGACAGTTTGAACAACTCTGTTCAAGTAAATCAAGGATTTCAGTTAGAATCGTAAAAGTTGCTATGATAAGATAAAAATCAAGAAGGCCGTTGACTAATTACACAATTTCCTTTACTTTCTAATCACGGAATCACTGTCTATGTAACTATTGCTAAAGTGATTATGCTAAGATCAAGTACACAGACACACACAACTTTATAAAATATGAAATGACTTTGTCACAGCTAAAGTAGTTGACTTTTGAAATGACTTCTTAAAATGTAAAGAATGGTGAAAACTGTAACTGATCGAGTTTATTGCTATAAAATAAAGTATTCTACAAACTTAATTACTCTTGTCACCTCTCCTGGAGGAGCATAGACCTCCCACCAACATTCTCCATCAAACTCTGTCCTCAGCAATCATTTCCAGTTGTTTGCAAGTGCTACTTATTCTTTTGATGTCTGCTCCTAACTTCCAAAGTAATGAATTACTTAGTCTTCCTTTTTTCCACTTCCCTTCAGGATTCCATGTCGGTGCTTTTCTCGTGATATCAGTCTGATAGTTTCCGAAGTGTATGATCTATCCATTTCCAACATCTTTTCCTAATTTCCTCTTTATCTGAAAGTTGGTTTATTCTCTCTCACCATAGGATGTTGATGATGGTATCCGGTTAAAAGATATTGAGTATCTTATGTGGACAACTGTTTATAAATACTTGCACCTTCTTGATGAGGGTTGTGGTAGTTCTCGAAGTTTCAGCTCCGTAAAGTAGAACTAACTGTCTTGATGTTCATATTAAAGATTTTGATTTTCATATTGGTAGATAGAGAGCTGTTTTGAGTTTTATATATTGTTCAACTTTAGGAATGCTGTCTTTGTTTTGCCAATCCTTACCTTTAAATCTGTATCAGATTCTCCTTGATCATTGATGATGTTGTCCACATAAGTGAAATTTTCCACCCCTTCCAGAGTTTCTCCATCAAGTGTGATTGGATTAGCATTATTCATGTTATTATTTGAGGATGTAGGGTTTTCCTTTGTGTACACTACACTGATTGGTTATCTTGACCCTCATTGATTACTACTATGTTTCCTATAATTTTCTTACTTTTTCATTTCATTACTAGACATTGAATAAAACAAAACTACAATCGGTATCACAAAATCCTTCCATAAATATTCATTCCATTAAAACTGAACAAATCAAACAACCAACTAATCAATCATCATCATTATTATTAACTAATATGAATATACAAAATGCATTACAAATTAGTCGACCAGGACGATTATTCACTGATGATTCATGTATTCAACTTGTACAAAATATATTCAATGAACACAATTCAATTGATGAGAATAATACGGAGAAAATGAAAAATATTACACCAAATCAATTGATTGACAATACGTCTAAACGTAATGATGATAAATCATGTAAGTGATTTGATGTTGTCAAGAGATGATCATTTCTAGGCGAGACTCTAATTTTAAGGACGAGCCAATCAGAAGCGGTTTAGAGATTTCAAGGTTACAGCGCCAACTTCAATGCTTCATGCTAATGTACGATCGGTTCATAGGGAATTTTGTACAAAACGTGATAATTGAGCGGCTATAACAAATAAAACGGTGTGACTATAATATGTGGACGAATCAATCAGGTATAAGATAATAGATCTCGGATTTGGGTGCGAAGGCGTTTCATCTATTTGACTAAATAAATTTCTGGCATTATAATTGATGTCAGTTTGTGATGAAAACCCTATATATAATTCTTAATTAACGCAAATTATGACAATTATTGCGAACTGGATAATAAAAGCACCAGTAACACTGGCTGCATCTAGGTACTACAATATATGCGGATGATTGAAGAGCGTACAGACTCCTACATAGGCTTGGTTATGTGAATCGTGTCGTTATCCACAAGTTTATTATTTATTTATTCCAACACATAAATATTGGTACAACAGGCGACCAGATATATATGCGCCACACCATATTTGTGTGTGTGTGGGCTGTGATACTGCCCGGGTGCCCAGACCGAAGCAGGTGGTTTTCTTAGGGGGCCATACCCTGAGCCCTTGACCCAAAGGTCTGATCCACAAGGCAGTGGAGCATCGTAAGGAGGTGCAGTCCCATAGAAGCCGGTGACCGACAATTGGTTCATACGCCATTTGTTCCCGCAGGATACTGGAGCCCATGCACACCATTGGTTTGGGATCCGGTTAAAGCACCGGATATTCGCTTTTCGTCCTCTCATTTTCGTAAACAACACCCCCGCCACGAGAAGGCAATGAGTAGGACTTCCCTATCAGAGGCTGTATACGCGTGGTCGTATGAGGGCATTTCAGGAGGGAGGGCGGGCCCACCCCACTCTTGGCATACCAGGGCATTTGGGGGCCAAATAGGAACAATAACGGGGCGGATTCGCATGCATATAGCATAAAATTGTCTTTGAATCTAGCACACAACATTAGCATCATGCACTGTCCCATCGCCTTTGGCAGATCAGGCATCTCGAAAGTCACGAGAACACCATCAGGGCATACGACAATCCACAAGTAGCATTTTGTGTACTCAACAATCGGATTGCACACAAACAATATGTAGTCGGGGTTGAAAGAGTATTTGAGACTTTATCATGACTCCAGAGGTCGACTATTCTATAGCCGTACGGATGAGTTCCTCTGCTATATGCGTTATGAATTTGGAGCCTCTGAGCCTCTTTCTAACCTTGACAAGTTTTTGAACCACGTATAAGAAGTGTACCCACTTTCTTTCTTTGGTTTTGTATAATATATTTTTACTCTATACTGACCGTTTGCTAATTGACTAATATTTCTCAAGGTCACTTAAGAATCATTCAAAGGTCATCCATAAATTAAAGTCTCGCCCATTCCTAGCATCAAACAGAATTGTCATGAAGTCTGGTATGTAAGTTAATGTATTAACTCAAGTCAGTTTACTAAATAAAGCATGAGGAGATGAAATGCTTTGATACGGCCGAGAGTGGGGAGAGTCAGCTCTCTCCCTATCCATATGCTCTTATATGACCACATACATACAACCACTCCAAGGGAAGTCCTATTCACTGTCTTCTCGCACAATGGTTGTTGTTTACGAAATTGAGAGGAAGAAAAGCGAATATCCGGCGTTCTAACCAGGTCAGTGAATATGGAGGATACACTTAGATGAGTTGAGAAACTCTCATTCCAAACCAATAGTGCACATGGGTTAAAGGATCCTGAAGGAACAAATGGTGTATGAACCTATTGTTAGTCACTGGCTACTATGGGACTGCATCTCCTGACGTTACTCCACTGCCTTGTGAATTAGACCTTTAGGTCAAAGGCTTCGATCGTGCCTCCCTATAAAAACCACCTGCTTCGGTTTGGGCACCCGGACAGTATCCCAGCCCTCACATAAAATCTAATGATTTATTGCCTCCTTGTATCAATGTTTATGTGTTTAGATAGAATAAATTAAAATCACGAACTTATCTAAGTTGGACAAGCATTGAGAACCTGTTAGAACTGAATAAGTGTCTTGTTCTAGTATGGGACTCCTCAGCAATAAACCGCCCAGTACTTCGATGCTTCGAATGGTAATCTAGCTTGGATAGGCTTGTGGTTTCAATAAACGTCAACAATCTCTAGAACTCCATAGATGTAGTACTGAAGAAGATCAAACATTGAAGAATACAGTTCGAAAAGAAGGAATTAATTTCAAGCGAATAAAAAGTGTACAATAAGATTTGAGATGCGGAACACGTACCAACAGACTGGAAAGAAGGACTCCTGATCAAAATACCGAAGAAAGGCGATCTCAGCAAGTGTGATAACTACAGGGGCATCACTCTTCTCTCAATACCGGGAAAAGTCTTCAACAGGGTATTGCTAAACAGGATGAAGGACTCCGTAGACGCTCAACTTCGTGACCAACAGGCTGTATTCCGTAAGGATAGATCGTGTACAGACCAAATCGCCACTCTACGGATCATTGTGGAACAATCAATTGAATGGAATTCATCACTCTACATCAACTTCATTGACTACGAAAAGGCATTTGATAGCGTGGACAGAACAACACTATGGAAACTTCTTCGACACTACGGCGTGCCTCAAAAGATAGTCAATATCATCCAGAACTCATATGATGGATTACACTGCAAAATTGTACATGGAGGACAGTCGACAAAGTCGTTTGAAGTGAAGACCGGTGTTAGGCAAGGTTGCTTACTCTCACCCTTTCTCTTTCCCCTGGTGATCGACTGGATCATGAAGACGTCAACATCTGAAGGGAAACGCGGGATACAATGGACATCTAGGATGCAGTTGGACGATCTGGACTTCGCAGATGATCTGGCCCTCCTATCACAATCGCAACGGCAAATGCAGGAGAAGACGACCAGTGTAGCAGCAGCCTCAGCAACAGTAGGTCTCAACATACACAAAGGGAAAAGCAAGGTCCTCCGATACAACACTGAATGCACCAATCCAGTCACAATCGACGGAGAAGATTTGGAAGATGTAAAAACCTTCACATATTTGGGCAGCATCATTGATGAACATGGTGGGTCTGATGCGGATGTGAAGGCGCGGATCGGCGAAACGAGAGCAGCATATTTACAACTGAAGATCATCTCGAACTCAAAGCAACTGTCAGCCTACGCCAAGGTCAGGATTTTCAATACAAATGTCAAGACAGTTCTAGTGTATGGGGCAGAGACCTGGAGAACTACGAAAGCCATCATCCAGAAAATAAGAAAGAAACAAAGTGTCATTCCGTTTACTTAAATGAGACTAAGTCTAAACTATATTACCCAAAATATTTAACAATTATCATATGAAGAATTGTACCCTTAAATGCATATGTATTGGTCATTAAAATTTTCCGAATGATGATTAGAACTATAATTGATCAATCTCTTTTGGCATATATACAACCTGTTCGGATTGCTTTGATATTTCCATCAAGTCACAAGCATTTTAAGCAAAAATGGATAATGGCTAGCTGTAAAATCCAAGATGTGTGTTTTATCCTTTTTGGTACTGTATTCCAGATTGAGTTGATGTTCATTTGAACCCAGTAGAGTTCATTTCAAACGCCATCGTCGGTGACACTATAATTTATGAACGACCTTTAAGTGACGCTAAAGTAACCTTCAGAGTGTCCACATAATAACTAGGACCATATGAGGGTTATAAACCAGTGTGAGGAGTTAGAATTATGATTTACAGTTGATGGTTAGGGTTAGGAATCAAATTTTGGGTTTTCATCATGGACTGACATCATCTTAAATCAGAAGGGGTTTTGTGGAGACTGTAGTAATTTCAACAGTTGAGATCATGAATCAATTGAAGCTAGACCATCATGGAAAACCTGGAAACGCTGAACGGCCGTTTCGTCCTTTTGTGGGACTCCTCAGCAGTGCGCATCCACGATCCTGCCTCGCGGGATTCGAACCCAGGACCTATCAGTTTCTCCGTCCAGTGCTTCTAGGTTTTTCATGGTGGTCTAGCTTAATCGACTCATGATCTCAGCTGTTGAAATAATCTTAAATGCCAAAACTCCATTTCGCCAAATGGATGAGTGAATTTCACACAAAAATCCGAAACCTGTTATTTTATACGTGATTGGTTCGTCCATTAAAATTATACTTTCGCCTCACCGTGTTATTCACCTAACAATTGGGTCTAACTAGTCACTGACTTGTGCAATCGGGCGAATTTTGATTCGTATATAATATTAGTTATTTTAGTCTTCCCATCGATTTTCAGGATTGTAGTTGATCATTGTCTACAGTTGATACTGTGTTGAATTCAATTTAGACATAATGAGAAAGTAAGACAATTAGCTTTTGTTATACACAGTTCAAACAGTGAGACCTCTTAAATTTTCTGAAGAATTTTGATCTATTAAAATGTAATCATTGGTTATGATGAAAAATATTAGTCCTTACAATGTTGTACTGTTCGGCTGATATTCTGTAGGATATTTTAGGTTTCCAGGTTATAGTCTCCAGACAGTTAGTTGGTTCATTCCTTCTGATGTTTGTCGAGAAACGTTTTCCAGCTTGCATCGCTTATAGTGCAAGCGAGATGTCTGCCTGTCAACCGAAAAACAACTGAACTGCTCAAAATTCTGCTCTGGTACTAGTATTTAATCATCGATTTTTCCGAAAGATTTTTTGCGAACCACGGTACATCCGAAGAAGTATTCACCATGTTTGAGAGATTAAGATATCACCTAGGTCCGGAGAACGGGTCGAAAGTTAGAAACATAACAGAACAAGCTAAGCTATTTTCCCTACGCTCCAACCCTGATAACCAGAGGAAGAAGACAAGATTCAGCCGGGAAAATATATAATCCGACAAACAGATGGGAGAATCAAGAAAAAGCATACAACTCATGCGTATATATATATAATACAAAAATGTCCTTGAAAATCGTCACAAGAACAAACCGAAGGTAAAATTGAACGCTTTTTTCGCAAAGATAAGAAATATAAATTTCCATAAACAGGTTACCAAAATAAGAAGTTTGCCAAGGGATATTTGAGGATCTAGCATCCCCGACAGTTGTGTTGAGATGAGGTTTAAGGTATTAAGCAGCGATAACAAGTCAGTTGGTAGGATAGTGAATCTTCATTGACTAAAGCGGTTGGGACATATTTCATGTATGCGCAACCCTCTTCCTGCTTTGACTGATAACGCTGGTTAGTGTAAAAGTAAGTACTATGAAAACAAACCAAAATGTGGCATTATTCCATTAAGTCGTTGACCGTTAGTCTAAGTCGTGTAGGTAGATCCAGACTATTAACTTGGCGAGAAGCCAAATCAAAACGTGGAATTAGTGCTTGAAGTCACTAACTTGTAGTCTGGGGTCCGCGTGACCATCTTGACCAATGGTTGGAGACTCTTGGTGACATGGCTCAGAATCGATCACAATGGTATAGGTGTATACACTCTCTGTCTTCCCTTAAACTACAAGAGTAAAATCACTTCATATCTTTCTTTCTACGAACTAATTCTTTCTCTCTGTACTATATCCATCCTTATGTTCAATCTTTCTTTTATACATTACTACCATTGAAGTAACTACTTCTATGAATGTGGTGTTTATCTTGTTGTGCTAATGAGTGAGGTATGGCAACTTGTACCGATGCATATATATGCCTGTTCCTACGTTGCAACTGACTGACTGACTGACTGACTGACTAATTAACTTGGATTCTGTACAATAACTAAAACTAGTGCATGAAGATACTGATTGGAATAGTTCAAAATCTGTTATAATGGCTCAGATGCATTCACTGAATATTTCACATTAGATTTGCTTTCATGTATGACATTTTCATTTTGTACTATCGAACCATATTTTTCTTTTAACTTTTAGACCTTCTCAATATCTTTATTATTGAATCTTATTGATTTGATCATGTTGTTACCTTAATATAGTGTGTTATTATATAAACTAATGCATATTTTCACCAATCTGTACATTGATTAATCACTAACTAATTTGAGTTTTATGAATATTTCTGGAACTTGTAAATAATGTTTGCTTGTTTGTTTGTTTGTTTGTTTGTCTTTTAATTATCGATTTAAGTCTATGATGAGAGAAATTTCCTTGAGAATCCTGTTAGTTGATCAATAATTATGAGATGATAGAGTATATTTGTAGTTCAGAATAAGAATGTTGTAAGGGTTATGATAATTGTGAACTGGATAGTTTCGTTATGAAGCAGTCAGTCAGTCAGTCAGTCAGATACAACGTAGGATCAGGCACATTTATATGCATCGGTCAAAGTTCTCACACCTCATTAGCTCAACAAGATGAACACCGGATTCATAGAAATAATTAATTCAGTGGTGTTAATATATAAGAGAAAAATTGTGTATGAGGAAATAGTGTGTGTGCTACTTATACTGACATAAGTAGTATATGATGTTAGTCGCGAACAGAATGTCTGGCAGCAAAGAAACAAGAGGATCGAACAGTAAACAATGGAAACAGGATGCAATTTGTATGAAAATGCAAGAACAATGAAGTCTGAGTCATTTTGAGACAATTGTTGGACATTTTGCAAACTAAGCATTTACTTTACGATTGTTAGATTTTATGAACAAGTCCTGTAATTTTATGTTAAATACTTTCGATTGTCCAAGCTGGTGTTCTTGTTCACTACAATAGTACAGGAAGAAGGCATTAGTTCGTAGAAAGAAAGGTATAAAGCGATTTTAATCTCTCAGTTTACAAGAAGACAGTGAGTGTATACACCGACGCCATTGTGATAGATTCTGAACCATGTCACCAAGAGTCTCCAACCATTGGTTACGACAGTCACGTGGACCCCAACCAAGTAGTCTGCATCTACCATGACTCAGACGAGAAGTTAGTAACTTCAATGACTAGTGCCAGGTTATGTTTTAGCCGCCCCTAACTTTCTCCCAACATTCCAAACACTAATCAGCATTGCACGTCGTGGTAATTGGTGTTCAGGCATACGTAACATGTGGCCCAACCATCTCAGTTGATGAAGATTCACAACCTCATCAACTGATTTGCCATCATCATTCCCTAATACCCTATTTCTAACCTCACTATTATTTACCCGGTGATCCCAGCAGATGCGAGCAATATTTCTAAGACATCTGTGATCAATTACTAGTAGCTTACGAGTGGAGCACTCATTGTTTGTAAGTTTAATTGGCTTATTTTCTTTCCTGACTTGATTTTTGGGATTGCAATTGCTAATCCTTTTACTTAATGACTAATGAATCTGGTTTATTTCGATTTATTGATTAAATTATGCTTCGTTGGAGTTAACAGAACAAGATGTTAGTTAGTTAGTTATGAAGAAAGATTAGTAATTCAATTCTCTTTGAAGTACATATTGATGATATTGTTCCGAAGAACAATGAAAACTTCAGAAACAAACTGTCCAGCTCCCCACAACATTTCCAACAGTCTCATCCTGAGCTATAAATATTCTCCATCACAGAAAAATTGACGGATTCTGTGTCATATTATGACTGGATGATTGCTTACTCCATTGCTTAATTTAGCATGATTCCAGATGTTTCCAGAGTACAACATTTATCAATAGATCCACAAATTTATTATTTGAATTCATGAGTCGATTAAAGCTAAACCACCTTGGAAAACCCGGAAGCACTGGACGGCCGTTCCAAACTCAAAACCATAGGCCTTGCGCGCGAACGCTTAGTCTCTAGACTACTGAGCCTGTATCCGATGGTGTTAATGTTTTACTGCAACCGATCCATGATCCATGAGACAGGTATCTACCTCAGACAATTTTTTATATACAAATGAACTGTAGACAACCTTGAAGAATTCTTAGTCAGATTTTAATTAGTCTGAATAAAGCTTTTGTAAATAGAAGAGAAAACAATAATCTTACAAAGTGTTAACAGATTTTATTTAACTAATGAATCATCTCAAGTCTTCTACAAGTTATTCTACCTGTATATCGTAAAAATAGTTATCTAGATTCATTTCAATGAATAAAGATTTCCGAATTTCACGAACGCTTTTAAGAATCTGACTAGATTTCTAAGACTCCCGCACAATGTTCTCAGTTAGGATTCGGTATTTAAGGTAGAAATCAAAAGTATAAGGTAGGAGTTTACATCACTCAGTCAGTCAGTTACTCAGCAAGAACGTAGAACTTCGTACGTACGTACATCAGTTCGAGTTGCCACACCACATTAGCACAGAGATGCAGTGGTCGATTCAAATCCCATAGTCGTAGAAGTAGTAAAAGTATAAACAGTCATCGAAAACATTAGGTTTTGAAGATGTTACTCAAGGAGTATAATCCAGTGAAATAAATTTAGAAAGAGAAAAAAAGAAACAAGCAGAATTCAGGAGATTAGAATTTGGGAGAACACAAAGAGTGGATGCACCTGCGCCATTTCAAATGCTTTTGAGCCATGTCATTTAAGGTCTCTAACCATCGGCTGCTATCATCTCGCTGTCCCCAACCAGGTAGTCTACACCTACCAACATGGCTCGGTCCACTTTTCAGTGACTTCATGGATTTGTGCCATGTTTTGGTCTGGCCGCCCCTAGCTTTCTTCCAACCTACTCCTACACCATAAAACACCACTCGTTGGGACAGTCAGTGGTTGGGCATACATAACACATATCCCAGTCATCTAAACTGATTGGGTCTCACTACTTCATCAATTGATTCGCCATCCTTACCTAGTACCCGTTTCCTAACAACTGCGTTACTTACTCGATGGTCCCAGGATATACGAGCAATATTTCGAAGACACCTATGATCAAATACTAGTAACCTACGAATATCCTTTACTCTTACCGGCCATGTTTCACTGCCATAAAGTAGGACGGAACGAACTGCTACGCAGTAAACACGTCATTTGGTTGATAGACGGATATCTCGCCTATGCCATAAATGACGCAAGTTGGTAAAAGCTAGTCGAGCCTTCTGTATCCGTGCTGAGATTTCGTCACACACCAGACCACAAAGTCAATGAGACTCCCAAGATAAGTGAAGCGGTTGACACGCTCAACTATTTCACTCCCTATAATTAGTTCGGGTGTCGATGCAACCCAATTCTGAAGCAATATTTTGCATTTCGAGGGAGAGAATCACATGCCGAACATGCTTGCATTGTTGCTTAGAGTGGTCAAAAGATCCTGCATTTTATCACTAACAGACCTCAGCCACTACACAAAAATTTATATAACCATAAGAATGAATGGTTTTAGATCAAAAACCTAACAGGAATCGAGAAATACACAAAGGTATTTTTACAGCTCATTCTATGTAAGTTTTTAATTTTGCACAATAATGTAAATGTTCTTTTCATGATTCTGATTTGCTCAACCCTATACTATACATTTATATATATATATACATATACTTATTTTGTTTTACCGGGCTAGATGAATCGACTAATTTGAATAATAATAACAACAATAAACAAGTATTATTGGATGATAATCAAAAATTAGAAACACTCCCAGTTAATACATCAATAAAAAGTCATCGAGGTAAACGTGAGATGAATAGTTCAACCACAAATGGAATTGTACCTAAAACTAATAGACGGAAGAAAAAGTAAGCTTTATTGTTATTATTATAGTATTGCATAGAATGATATTTGGAATAAACTAAGATGAATTTCCAAGATTTCCATTACATCTGTGTTATAATCCCGATGAGAATTATAACTGTCGGAATCTATTTATGGACCATTACGATACGTATATTTTTTATTGTATAGTTGTTATGTAACTAAACTATGTATAATCATATTCCTCTGATTATAAGCTTTATTTTGACTTATAGGCTGTTATTATACGATTTACCATTCTTGAGTTATGCTCAGTCTATTAATTACAGTCTCCCACATTCACAGCCACATTTGACTAAATCTTGTACAAATGTTGTTTCCTGTTTTATGGTACGATGTGGTCTGTCTGGTTGCTACGTAAACCCAGTTTGTTTGAAATAAACGATTCATATCGTAGAGGCTGAGATTAGTGTTCTGGACTCAACAAGACGGGAAGAAGGACTGATAATGACTGTAGACTGCTCGTAGGGGTTTCTGCGTATGGGTCCGGTTGATGAGTTACTGTTCTCTAATTGGCGGTATCATTACGTCATATAGGGCAAAAGGCCACAAATTATATCAATCTCCTTAACTTTCCAATAAATTTGTTGAATGCAACTTTGTAGGTGATTCATAATTTTCTGTAAATCAATTTACGATCATGAAAAAGATCTGTATGATGCTGTAGTGACATATTGATTAAAGTTGAAAGACTGATATGACTTTTTAATAAAACAATCAATAAGGTGGATTGGTTGAAGTTAGACATTAAGATCGTTGAATGACGGCTCAATGATCTAGTGGTTAACCGCTCGCTTGCTAAACCCATAGGTCCTGGTTCGAATCTTGCGGGGAGAGATCGTGGATGCACACTGCTGAGGAGTCCCATAGCAGGACGAAACGGCCGTCCAGTGCTTCCAAATCTTCCATAGTTGCTTATCTCTAATTGACTCATGAATTTAACTATTGAATTAATAAGTTATCTAAATCACTGTAATCTTACAGGTTTCATTAATTTTAAACTGAAATACACTTGTACAGATTTCCTTCTCATTTTCTGGATAGTGGTTTTAACATTATAAGGTCATTCTCAGCATCACCTATGGTCGAAGGTAAAATGCCGTTACATTGTAGAAGAGTAGTATGGTGTATTTGTTGGGGAAATCCAGTAAATTCCTCGGAAAAGGCCAAAAAGTCCCTGAAAATGTTGAGAAACACCTTATCCAATCAGCGTTCGATAAAAGTTTTGCTAGAAACATCTAGAAAGTGCGAAATGACATGTCGAGTTTCTGAAGGGATAATTACCTATTCTGCTACTGTGTTTAATAGCGTTCCAGAAACTTCCGGAAGCTCAAGACCATTTAAAATGCCATAAATATCCTGGATTTTCTGCACATAAACATACCTTAGAGTACAGCATTCTTTTCATGTTTCGCACCTTTTCTCTCGTGTTTAAGTCGCTGTGTAGATTTAGCCTGAGAGTTACTAAAGAGCTTAAGAAACCGAATCTAGAGCTCAATTAGAAGACTTATCAATACTGAACAAGGTTTAGACTACTCTTACATGAAAAATTTGAGTAGAGTCTTATCTCCCCATCTTAATACAGTCAAAGGATTTAGCCACAGATGTTTGTTTTAACCCATTACGTCAAGCTAAGTCAGTAGGACCACATGCAGTTTCAACGCAACGGAGTAAGCAAGATATAAATATGAGGCAGACTACTTTGAATAAGTAAATGCTTCACCTTTAGTGAAAATCACTGTTCAGTTGTTTCTTTTTGTCAGTTTATAAACCTATGAATATGCATTAGCTGTAAAACGTTGTTATTTGGCATTTACCAATGAAATTTCTTGTGTGTGATGGTTTGCCTTCTGATAACACAGATGATTCAGAATAATCTTCTCTCTCTCTCTCTCTGCGGTATACTGCACTAATATTGGTGATATCGTAATAAAACTGTACAGGCTGACCGAGTTTATAATACCGCTAGATTGAATACTCGAACAGTACATAATACAGAGACTAGAACCCGTCATATCAGATATACGATTCACGATTAGGAATAGAGAAACCACAGTGACTCTTGACAATTCTTTATTCTACACAACTACAAGCTGTGATTGCTAATGAACCGGGAGTAGAAATCAATGAGAGGACATGATACTTTACTAATATAATAATTGGATTAGTTGTAAAAATTACCGACATGAACTTATGCTTAGACTCAGCATTCTCTTACATACATGATGTCCCCAGACATAACCGACTACTTCTTGACTGATTATGTGAAACTGTATCAAAGAAATAGTTGTATCATTTATACAAAAAATATCCAACCGAAATAATGGTACATAAAGGTAGAATAAAAACATTTTCTGTTTGACACAATATATCACTATTATACGACCGGTGATCGAAATCATATTGCCACTAGACTAGATAGTCGATCAAAACATTATACCCCAACTGGATCACGTTATAAAAAAAACACGATTCATCAATAAAATGGGAAACCAGAGTATAGGACAGATAATAGGTGACCTTTGAGCGACGTTAAAGTAATGTTGAGAATGTCCATCTACTTACTGGGGTTAAGTGAGAGTTAGAAACCTGTGTGAATAATAAAGATTATGATTTACAGTTGATGGTTAAGGTGAGGAATTAGAATTAGAGTTTTCATCACGAACTGACATCAGCTAAAATGCTGTTTAACCAAATGGATAAATGAATTTCGCGCCGTAATCCAAGACCTATCATCTTATATCCGATTGGTTCATCCATAATTTATAATGTCACATCCATAATGCTTTACTCATCATTTGATTTATGTAAGGGCTAAGATACTGCCGAAGAGCTCAAACCAAATTAAATCAAGTGATGAAGTGTGGCACATATACATTTGGTACCCCCTTGCACTAATGTCTATGTACTTAAATAAATAAATACTTTACTCAGGATGATTGCAAACAATTCAGTGTAGGAAACAATAACTAGAAGGTAATCACTTATTCAATAATCAATAAGCAAAGTGTCTGTCTGTTCACGCTTACTGTCCATTCACATTTTAATTTTCCTCACCATAGGTCAATATGATAAAATGAAAATTCCTGAAAGTAACCCAATACTACTTTATTAGTTTCAAGCATATCTATCATAATGATTACACTTTAACCGTATTGTCAATGGAACAACCTATTGAATAGAACATATATATAATGAATTTAAAGAATTTCAAAGGTCGGTTAGATAAAGATTCTTTGAAATTCTTAAATGAAGGGAATAAAAAACGTGACAAACTTGAACCGATGCACAATATAGGATTCTCTGTACAGAGTACTTCAACAAGTTTCCATTTCTTATTTCTTGATTAATTCTGACGAGAAATATTGGATAATCACCAGTGAGAAGTTAGCGGTCCAGTCAATTGACATCAGAATAATGTACATTCTTTTCGTTGCAACCACGATAACTCTGATTTGGCCCTTTTGTAACTTATACGACGACAAGTAGTACATTTTTCAGAAACACACCTGAATAGTTTATGCTATTAATAGCCATAATGATATATTAAAACTGTTATATCCGAGCAAAGATTACATTACGAGTAACGTCTGAGACCTATTAATGGACTAATATTATCTGTACATTCTCATGGTATAATTATTCAATAATTAGATTATGTATATCTATATTCCCCTTGTTATATGCTTTATTTTGACCTATAATTTATTATTGTACGACTTACGGTTCTTAAGTTATGTTCAGTTTATTGACTACTGCCTCCCACGTTTACAGCCACTTTTTGGCTTTATTATGTACAAATGTTATTTCCTATTTTATGGTGCGTTTCGATCTGTTTGACTGATATATAAACCTAGTATGTCTGAAATAAATGATTCGATTCGCATCGCATATTGGAAGCTGGTATTGGTCACAATTGATTCGTCATTGGGTTGTGATCAATGTCATGTGTGTCAAGTCCTTATTTAGTGCAGATCGAATACTATCGACCATGTTGCAATGTGGCCACCAGTCTAGGTGACTCGACACTGCGGGCACTATATATTGAGATTCGATGGTGGTTGGAGGTAGTCCACAGGAAACCCTGGACCCGGGTTTCGTGCTACTTGGCACTTATCAGCAGGGTGTACCTGTAATCTGGAGGGAACTGGTGCTCCCTAGCGGATTCGATCCCGTGTAGGTCGCGGCCCGGATAGCTCAGTGGTAACGTCTCTGATGACTGCCAAGTAGCACAAAACCCGGATCCAGGGTTTCCTGTGGACTACCCCCAACCACTATCCGAGTTGGTATTGGTGTTCTGAACTGAAGTGGATGAGTTAGGCGGATATAGGGTCAATAAAGACGCTAAGCTGCCCATACCGGTCGAACGTCATTGGTTTGTCAAAGTGCTAAGATTGTATAACAAACAAAATTAGATAACTTGTCAAAATATCTAGATGGCAAAGATGTTCAAGCAGCCCACTATTTTTAGACTCAATGATCTTCTAGATTTTCAATGATGATCTAACTTCGATTAATTCATGAATTCAAATATTAAAATTACTGCAATCTTCAAAACTCTCCCTATTTGTTTTAAAACTTTGATATTTCACAGTAATTAAAGCAATTAATCCCTTTTATAAATTTCAATAAAGCGATTAGAAGACAGAGTTGATCTAGAAGCAGATATGAAATGTTTATGCGATATATTTCAAACAATCTGGTCACATATATATGCTTATATGGAAATTAATGAAAGTCAATTAAAATGACTTCAGTATTACCAGGGTAAATTCAAAGTTACAACAAACTGTTTTTGTACATCTAAGGGGGGGGGGGCTTGATTGGTTTAAATTTACAAATGGCTAAGGCTTCAATATAAACCTCAAAATTCGTCCTCGACAATTTCTGTGTAACATTTTAAACGATGTATTGATATTAACTTTTTTTACCCCGTTTCAATGATATGTCTCGCTATTGATGAACATGATTGTCTACATCCCACATTGATCGGAACACATGAAGACATCTAGGGATATGTTCAAGACCTTTGATTGTATTATTCGATTATTCCCTCCTATGCATATGTGTCCACACAAACATGTAAAATCGTTATGATGGCGATATTCACTGAGGTCACCATGTAAGTGTTAGCTCATTAAGAATAAATGTGAATGGGTAACGAAATGTTTATTATGAAGAACAGATTGATGATTGTATGTAAGTCTCTAGATGGTATAACGTGAAAAATAAATGCTCCTGATTAAGGGGTAGCGAATTATTGATCGGACCAAAGACGCGCAACACACGTAGAACGACCTAGGGTTCTGATTGGTCTCGCTTCCCTGTCTAGCCCAGCCAGATGAGTCCAGAACGCAAGTCACAGCCTCGGATATATGAATCATTATATTTCAAACATACTTTGTTTATATACCAGTCAAGAAGACCACAACGTACCACAAAATAGAAAATAACATTTGTACAATAATGGCCAATAGGAAAATGACACGTTAAATAAATATTGACCAATAAGATGATACCATTTCATGTCCAAGGATAGCATTAGGCTTAACAGGATAATTTTTGGGATATTTCCCTGAATATCCCAACACTAGAGCCATTTATGTCCACCAGAATCATTTATGTACACAGTTATTCCAGGTATAATATATTCACTAATTAGAAGTGTAATTATATACTTTCTAAAAGTAACCATTTGACAATGATCTATCTCAAATATCAAACATGATAATTAGAAAGCATACTACTTAACCATTCTTCCTTAATACTCGTTTCTCTATCACACTTTTACATTCTGAAGATAGTTTCACTAATTTCTAAAACTTTTCAATACATCCAAACTTAAAGATATCAAAGCGTACTCCTAAACAGTAATGGTACCATTGCACAGAAATCACTTTGGTTACATTCATATAAAAAGACAAACTGTAACATCTTTTTATCTCAAAAGCCTAGAAGAATAGAAACATCAATCTGTTCTAATGGATTATTTTTAACTACCAAGAATGACATCTTAAAACGTACCCATCTTGTTTCTTCTCGCAAGCATTCATGTTCACCTGTTTACTTGTAATAAATTGTAACCGCCGATTAGAGGGCAGTGAATTATCGATCGGACCAAGGACGCGTAAAACACGTACGAGCAGCCTAGAGTCCTGATTAGTCCTACTTTCTGTCTAGTTCAGCTTGTTAAGTCCAGAACACCAATCTCAACCTCTGCAATATGAATCATTTATTTCAAACATACTGGGTTTATATACCAACCAAACAGACCACATCGTACCATAAAATACAGAAAATACACATTTGTACAAGATTTAGCCAAATGTGGCTGTGAATGTGGGAAGTAGTGATTATTAGACAGGGAATAATTCAGGAACTGTAAATCGTATAGTAACAGTTCATAGGTTAAAATAAAGCTTATGATAAGAGAGCCATGAATATGAATAGTTTAGTTAATAAATAATTATACGACAAAAATATACGTATGGTATTTGGTCCACAAATGGATCCCAAAAATTACCACTCATTATTCTTACGCGACACAACATTATAATGCACATCGTATGAATGCTTTTATTAATCCATAGCGTTGTCGGTGCCAAATAATGACATCTTCATTAAAATAACGAATAAGTTTGTTAATCGTCAGGACTTTCAAATAAAAAAACAACAATCGGACATAAACTGAAATTCATTTCCTCTATTTTAATTGGTTCGTCTGTATACTATACTTTCATTGTATTCATATAAACGTATCCGTTTCATTGCCCCCAAATGATCTGGTATGGCCGAGAGTGGGGACAGTCCGCTCTCCCTCTCGAAATGCTCTCACATGGCCACGCGTATATAGCCTCTGCCGGGGAAGTTCTACTCACTACCTTCTCGCACCACGGATGCTGTTTACGAAACTGAGAGAAGGAAAACCGAATGTCCGGCGATTTAACCGGGTTAGTGGACATAAAGAGTTCACTTAGGAGAGTTGTAAAACCCTTATTTCAAACAAATGATTCACATAGGCTCCAGTACCTTGAAGCAACAAATGGCATATGAATCAATTGTTGATCACCGTCTACCATGGGATTGCATCTCCTGACGTTGCTCCACTGCCTTGTGAATCAGACCTTTAGGTTGAAGGCTCCGGGTGTGGCCCCTTAAGAAAACCACCTGCTTCGGTTTGGGCACCCGGGTAGTATCAAAACCCTCACACAAATCAAATGAGACTTATATAGTGCATATGTATTTGGTGCCTCCTTATACCAATATCTATATGTTCAAATAAATAAATCCGTTTCATTCATGTTACTTCATATTGATTGTTGAGTTGTTTTTTTTTGTCTCTTCTATTCATTTGTTCAAGTATACCACATGCAACTACAAATAAGACAGTTGTAAAACATAATCGACCTCAAGCATATTATGATGTATTCGGTAAAGATGTAACATCTTTAGGAGATTCTGCTGAAATTTCTAATTCAAATATGAAACAAATCAATATTGAACAAGTAACATATGTTGGTCGTATTCAAAAAATATGTCGTGAAAATCTTCATAATGCATTACATTTATCTGAAGTAATAATCATATTAATTGTTTATTTCATTAAAACTTTGAAGAAGTTACATTACGAAATAAATAGTATAGTTGAATTTATAAGTCAGTTGAATCTAGGCCATCATTGAAAACCTTAAGACAATGAACGGCTGTTTCGTCCTAGTACAGGACTCCTCAGAAGTGCGCATCCGTGATCCCACCTCGCGGGATTCAAACCCAGGACCTATTGGTCTCGTGCACGAACGCTTAACTTCTAGACGATTGAGCCGGTATCCAACCGTGGTAATGTCTAACTTCAAACAATCCACGAAATCGCACCACCGCCCCCGATTGTTGCAATTGCGCATTGCTGAGGAGTTCTATACTGGGACGAAACGATCATCCAATTCTTATAGGTTTTCCATAGTGGTCTAGCTTCAATCGACTGATGAATTCAACCATTCAATTACTATAATATCCACAAAGGCCTCTTTCTGATTATAAATGATTTTATAAATACAAAAAAACGACAAAACTATCATTTAACGATATTGAATTAACAGATGATAATTTGAAGTTGGAAAGAAGATAGAAAGTTTACGGTAGATATTGTTGTGAATTAAGTCTATTGACCAGTATGACATGATAAAGTCATAAATCAGAATTGTAATTCTCATTTTGTCTATTTTGTATTTATTATTTCTTCTATAGTCTTGTGTTCCAAACTTAATGAATGATATATCTGACTAGTATCGTTGACTTTCAGTAGACTTTGATAAATTCCTATCAATCCACTATTTACTAGCTTTCCTCAGTGCCTTGATTTGAGTCTGGAAAGTCAAAGTCCAATTTCTATTGTCATTATATGTCAAACACACATCTGTTCATACACAAGCATACTGGGTCACATTACACAATAGCGTGAAAAATAACAATTATAAATAAACAAGCCAAAAGTGACTATGAGTAGAGCAAACAATAAATGATCGATTGACAAATAAATAGAACTAATAAGTAGTTCAAGAATAGCTAATACGCTAAATAAAAGCTTGTGATGATCTGAATAAATATGCACAACAATCCAGTGACTGAGTAGCTATACAATAACCACATATATAAGCATATACATATACATTAACACCGTTGGATGCCGGCTCAGTGGTATAGAGATTAAGCGCTCACGCGCAAGACCGATAGGTCCTGGGTTCGAATCTCGAAGGGAGAGGTTATGGATTCGCACTACTGAAGAGTCCCATACTAGGACGAAACGGCCGTCCAATGCTTCCACGTTTTTCATTGTGGTCTAGCTTCAATTGACTCATAATCTCAACTATTAAAATTACTAGGATATCCACAACACCCCTTCTGATATATATGTATGATAGTTATCCAAAAATTAGTTCAAGAAGTTACCATTTCTTCAGTTTTCGTTATGATCTGTCAGATATAAAGTCAGTCCATCACTGTGACCAACTAGTTTTAAGTACTATAAAATAACTTTTTCATTAGAATTGCTTATTAGATTATTTACAGTAAGCAGTTTTAGTTCAAATATGCTTTATGACCTTAAAATCTCTAACATGACAACTAATAATCAATTACTCTAATAGTATAGGGGTTGTGGAGATTAATACGTTTTTGATTGATATCATGAACCGATTGATGTTAGACCATCACAATTGAAAACCTGGAAGCACTGGACGGCCGTTTCGTCCCGTCGTGGGACTCCTCAGCAGTGCGCACCCACGATCCCGCGAGCGGGATTCGAACCCAGGGACTTCGGTCTCGCGCGCGAACGCTTAACCAATTGAACCACTGAGCCGGCATCCAATGGTGATAGTGTCTAACATCAACCAATCCATGAAATTGCGCGACCAACTTCCGTTGTACTGAGGTAGATACCTGTCTCTACCCGACAAGGATTAGCTCCACTGGTCACGGCTTCTCACTAGAACTCCGAGAATTCCCGCTCGCGGGATCGTGGATGCGCACTGCTGAGGAGTCCCACAATAGGACGAAACGGCCGTCCAGTGCTTCCAGGTTTTCAATTGTGATGGTCTAACATCAATCGGTTCATGATCTCAATCAAAAGATTACTCTAATGTTGTTTAAAACAACTTTACAGTAAGATTTAGTTGGAATGTGTTTTTGTCCACAGAAATCTTAACTTCTTTGTTACATTTTTGTATATACATGATCTTCAAATTGATTTTCCATGGTTGTGTTAATCTTCCGTTCATACCAATGATTATTAATGGATTAGAATGAACCATTTTGCATAAGACAGTGGTTACCTGGACTCATTCTTGCGCATCCAGCTGAAGAGTTTAAAACAAAGAAAAAACGACGCTCATTCTGATGGAGTTTTGTTCTCTCATCTGGATGGTTTGATTGTAGAGCTTTTATTATTCTTCTGAATGACATTATCAGCACAAACGATGAAAGCTCCAAAACCAAACAATTTAGCTCAGAGAACAAAACTCCACCAAAATCAACCATCTAAGCAACAAATCTTCTCCACCAACCTACATTCTGGATTCCCTTGTTCACTACCATGTAACTGCTCAAAAATAGTCTACATACATTATACATTTACATAGGTATATTTTCTTTTGCTCAATGACTACTACTTATTAGATTATTGTACTTGTTTATTTGTTAATCCAGAATTATTATCGACAAAAAGGTATTCGACAGCCAACACATCCAGATTTTATCAAGTCCACATTTGATGATGCTGCTAATACTATTGTTACAAATTTAAAAACACTATTCACTGAAGCAGAATTATATCGTAATTCATGCGTAAAAGGTATGTACAAATGATTTGAATTTATAAAATATTTTACTGTTAGTTATAGTAATATTTTAATAGTTGAATTCATCAGTCAATTAAAGTTAGATCACCATGGAAAATTTGAAAGCAATGAACTGCCATCTCGTCCTAGTATGAAACTCCTCAGCAATGTGCAACTGCGACAATGGAGGGCAGTGGTGCGATTTCGTGGATTGTTTGAAGTTAGACATTAACACGATTGAATGCCGCCTCAATGGTCTAGAGGTTAAGCGTTCATGTACAAGACCGAAGGTCTTGAGTTCGAATCCCGCATGCGGGATCGTGAATGCCCACTGCTGAGGAGTTCTATACTACAAGACGAAACGGTTGTCCATTGCTTCCAGGTTTCCCATGATGGTCTAGCTTTAATTGACTCTTGAATTGAACTATTAAATAAAACTCCTAACTGAATTGGAAATTTTACATCGTATACTGACACTCGTTAGACAATCAATGAAAATCATGGGTAACTAAGTAGCTTTTTCATGCTGGTATAATACTCCGAGACAATCTTCATTCATGATCCCACCAGAGACTGAAACCAGGAAGTTGAGCTTCACGTTAAGTACTCAGTCTTCAAATGACTGAGTTAGTATTTCACGGTTTATATTCGTAACTTCAGTTGACTGGCTATACTTCAAGACCGTCATTCATCATCATCATCATCTAATGCCCAACATGGTTGAATTCCACTGGTTAAAACTATTCACGAGAACTACGGTAAATTCTCTCCTAAAATCAATCACTAGTAAATATTTGGTAACCGAATTTATAGAGTGTCGTGAAGATTGTTGAATTTTGAATTTCACATCCCTGATTGTCTTTGGTTAAATAACCATTGAAAATATTTATGAACTACTTATAACAAGTGGACTAAGACTAAGGGTATGTAGTTCAAGTGATGTCAGTTTGTGATGAGGACTTTAATCTTAACTCCAAGTCCTCATTCCCAACGTTGATTCCGAATACTAATCTGATAAATGAGCCGTGACCTTTAAACCATTTGCACGTTCACCATCAGCTCATCCGTACAGTTCAGATTTAGAAGAGAAGATTGTCCTTATGAAATGTCTCCAGAAACTTAATATTTTTTGAATGAATGACGATGTCTATTATTATTTGGTTCATTTGCTTAGTTCTTTGGAGTTACGTCTGACATTTACAGCGTTGACATTTGCTCATAATGAGTACGGTATTTTTAAATGTTCCTTTGTAGGTTTTGAATTAGTTCACAAGTGAATATTTGTATTCGTTCAGATTTACAATTATTATTTGATCCCAATAACTTCAACAAAGTGATATACATTTTAGGTTCATTGTTTATTGATTATTCTGAAAGATTTTGAAATGTTAACTGTAATTCCATGGCGTCGAGAATGATGAGTGATGATATTGTTGATAATATGTTGCTTTTTAAATCTTAGTTTATGTGGAATATTTGGGACTCGTCAGCTGGATATACCTGCATCCCAGAATTGATTTTCAGTTCAGGACTCGAACCCAGTACCGTTTGCTCCAAATACCATCTCGTTATCCATTTAGCTATCGAGTCAACTCTGGGATGCAGTTACATCCAGCTGACGAGTCCCAAATGGGACGAAGCTCGCGTCCTGTATTCTACTGCTAGTCACTACTCATCTTTGATCAAGAATTATTTCTATAAATATGATATAAAGTATGCACAATTGTGTATATAGAAAACGTTTTTCGACAATTCTTTAGCTTTGTATCCAGTCATTATTACAGAAACTAGTTAGATGTTTTGCAAGTAGACGTAGGAAGATATGTTCAGACGACACTATCAACAAGGAACTAGAGTTTATTCATAATATATTGGTTGAAATGGGTTATCCACAAAATTTTCTAAAAAAAACATTCTCATATAATGAACAGGAAAATAGCGACATCGATGGTTAGTAAGAAGCCTTTCTTCCGTAAGCTACAATTCAGCGGAGATATAGCTAGTAATGTAGTACGGGATAGCCTGACCAAAGCAATGAAGAGAACGTTTATCGCAGCTAACCTCTGTCTGTCGTTCTTCAGCCGATTTATAGTGCTTTCTCAACCGAAGAATAAGTTACCTGGTTGTGTCACTTCCATGTACATCTACAAATTCAGTTGTTGATGTGGAGGAAGCTAAATCAGATGTACTGTTAGACAACTGAACCAATGAATTAGTGAACAGCTCCCATCATGGTTAGGAAGGAGTATCGTTAAAACAATATGCAGCTCTGTTCTATCAAACTTGATCGATAGCGATCATGTAGTAGAAGGAAATATGTCATTTAAAGTGATTTATCATATTCCTACTAACTTACCTAATGGGGTTCGATTTCGTCTGTTATACATAGCAGAAGCTATTGGGATTCGAGCTAACAATCTAAATCTTTATATTCATAAGACATTTATGACACCCTTATCTCTTTCTTGCTCAATTATGCCATAATGAATGGTTTTGTTCACGATTATTACGCATACTCTGTATTCGTTTGCTTTGATTCACTTCACAGTTCCTTCTGTCTGAACACATATTATTACGTAATCGTTTTAATTTTTAGTGAATGTTATCTCAATGTTTTATGTTCCGAATCGTTGACCTATCTGCTATTGTGAAATACTGATTCAAGCTTTTATTATTCTTATCACAACTAGTAAACCTGTCATTACACTATCGATTTGTAACGTTTACTTATTATATTGCGTAATCTATTCGATAGATGTTACAGACTCATAGTAACTTGGTTAGTTTAATAGTTTCATATATTCGTACAAATATGTATATTTGAAAGTGAAACCTAACGAGGATCTAATTGGATTGAATGCTAGACCGCCGTTGAAAAGATGGAAGCATTGGACGGCCATTTCGTCCAAGTATGGGACTCTTCAGCAGCAACGTACCATTTACTAATGACTATATATATATATATATTCTCTCTATTGTTTAGAATTTTCTGAACAATTGGATAACATTGAACAATTAGCAAGTCAATTACCATGTTTATTATTTGAACAAATAGTTAATGAAATTAAATTGTATATATTACAAGAGATGAATATCCATCAGAATAGAATACAATTTGATTTAAATCAATTAAATGAATTACGTGTAAGTTAATAAATGGTTTTTTCATTTAATATTCAATGTGATTATTAATCTGTCTTGTAACTCTTCAAAGAGTTACTGACATAAAAATGTCAGTGGATGAGAAAAGTTGATACGCTCACGATTTGTTGAAAGGATTTTGGCCGGTGTATTTTGACAACACCTTCTTTGTATGTATGCCATCAACTAATACGTGAGATCTAATAATAATGATACTTCAGATGATGGCCACCGACAAATTACCAATTCATTCATGTGCACACCGACTCCTCCAGCAGCTCTTCTACAGTTTCCGCCTAGTTCAAACCTAGGTAAAGAATGATGGTTGGGTATGTTTTCAACAACCCTATCCAGTGGAAAACAATCTTGCTGAAAAAACGCTAACCGGAATAAATAATTTGAACCATTTAAACTCTTCCCTCCGATTTGAAGGATCTTCAGAAGAATGGTGAAACCTCATGGTAAAAGCCGAGATTCTCCGAAAGTCACAAGACTGATGCTTCTTCTAACAAACCCAGCAACACTTTATATAGGTACATGGAATGTTCTAATAATGTTGGAAACTAAGAGGACAAGTCAAATAGCTGCGGAAATCAGAAGATACAACTTGACAGTTCTGGGAATCAGCGAAACGCGTTGAACTCAAGCTAGACAGCAAAGGCAAGATATGAGAGAGATACTGCTGAACTCCTGTCACGAAGAGGAAAATGCTCCACACACTCAGGGAGTTGTTCTGATGCTGTCCGAAGAAGCACGTAATGCACTTATCAAGTGGGAATCTCGTGGATCCAGGATCATCAGAGCAACCTTTAAAACAAAGGAGGGAATCATGAAGAATGTTATTTAATGTTATGCACCCGCCTATGAAAGCGACGACGACAATAAAGATAAATTTTACGAGGGGTTGCAATCAATCATAGCGAAGCGCCGAAAAGGATCTCACCATCTTGATTGGAGATCTAAACGCTAACTTCGAAATGTACAACGATGGGCATGAAGATATCATGGGACGACATGGACAAACTAGGAGACTGGAACGAGAAAGGTGACTGTAGCTCTTCTAGAGCTATTGACGTAAAAATGTCAGTGGATGAGAAAAAGTTATATGCTCGCGATTCGTTGAAAGGATTTTGGCCGGTGTATTTTGACAACACCTTCTTTGTATGTATGCCATCAACTAATACGTGAGATCTAATAATAATGATACTTCAGATGATGGCCACCGACAAATTACCAAGTCCTTCATGTAAACACCGACCCCTCCAGCAGCTCTTCTACAGTTTCCGCCTGGCTCAAGCTTAGGTAAAGAAGGATGGTTGGGTATGTTTTCAACCCTATCCAGTGGAAAACAATCTTTGTACCAGTTTTTGTGTTCTTACTTTCGCGTGGTGGGAATCACAGTGGTTCGTCGTTTTCGAGTATAAATAATAAACAATTCCGACATAATACTCATTAACTGACCAGATATAACAAATAACGTTCAATTAGAAGACTTTTCATATACAAAGTTTAACAAATCGCATAGATTTTTATAGTTTTCAATTTATTCTATAATTCTAATTGAAATAACGTAATGATATGTCTCATATACAAAAACAGATATCTACAGCTTGACTGCATGAACATCAATTAGCGGTCAAACACCATGACATGTCCTCACTTATATCAATACACGTGAACAACTGCAGACATACATTCGACTGGAAAAATGTGGAAATCTTGGATAGAGGAAATTCCAAAAACATCAGAGAATTTTTAAAAGCTTGGCACTCAGGTCAATCAGCAATCAACAAGCACATCGAAATCAATCCAATTCATCAACCAATCAGGAAAATTATGCACAAAAATCAAACCAACGAAAACAAAGAAGTAAATAACGACAGGTTAAAGGTCGACAATAACCATTGAAGATAGAGGTCAACAGGACAAGCTATGAGTCATATATCTGGAGAAATTCGAACATCTTACTTCTACCTGACGTTTGTGCTGATGATATCGTTCAGAAGAACGATGAAAGCTACACGACCAAACCATCCAGTTCATAGAACAAAACTCCATCAAAAACAACTTAACTGGTTTTTTATCTTCTATAATTTTCAACCCTTGAATTTTCAACAAAAAACTAAGTGGGGAAAATCTTAAAAGATTTGTTTTACTTCAAAAGTTATTTGAATACGATGTAACGTTGAGGTTGTACAACCTTTCAAAAAAGAAACAACTAAAACTTGAAACAAATTCGGTTATTATTTAATCATGATAAAAAGTACACCTAATCAGTAATTACCTAGATTTCTCTTAAAAGATTTCGAAAGAATTCTGATATGTGAAAGTATTTCCAGTCATTCTCTGGTTTCTGAAGTGTTATAACTTGTGGATCATATGTCCATCTCAATATATAAATAACGTAATGATACCGTCAATTAAAGAACAGTAACTTATCGACCAGACCAATGAATCGTAAAGCTGTACGACCAGTCTACAGTCTTTATCGGTCTTGATTCCCGCCTAGCCCTAATTGTTCAGTCCAGAACACCAATCTCAGCCTCTACGATATGAATCATGTATTTCAAACATACTGGGTTTATATTTAAAACAAACAGACCATATAGTACCACAAAATAGAGATTACACATTTGTACAAGATTTAGCCAAAAGTGGCTGTGAATGTGGGAGACTGTAATTGATAGACCAGGCATAACTCTCGAACGGTAAATCGTATAATCATAGTGTATAGGTCGATATAAAGCTTATAATAAGAAGAACAAGAATATGAATAGTTTAGCTACTTAACAATTATACAATAAGAATGTATGTATAGCATTAGTCTAGAAATGGATCCCAACAGTGACCATTCATTATTCTCGTTGGGATATAACATGAAGAATTATGGATGGTTTCTGACTGACGATATTTTTTTCTTTATTGCATTGTATTTTCCAATTGTATTTTAACACATCTCATTTGTAACTATCCAAATAACAATCTGCAAACTTGTATTCCAATATTACTTATCTGACATTTATCTTTAACTGTAAACGTTACTGATCACTTCCATACAGTATATAAAGTATTTAATGCATGAAACCTACGGTATTCATCTATTGTTTCTCAATAGAATAGACAAGAAAAATAACCTGATTATTATGGCGTTTCGGCGAGATTATAATTTATGGACAAACCAATCAGATTTAGGATAAAAAGACCATTTAGGTAAATAGAGTCTTGGCATTATAGCTGATGTCAATTCGTGATGGAAAACCACAAATCTAATTCTAAACATCTAATCTTTATTCTTCACACAGGTTTATAACTCTTATCTAATCGTAGTTAATAGATGGACATTCTCAAGGTCACTTTAGCGTCGCTCAAAGGTCGTCCACAAATTATAGCTTCTTGATTGATATCATGAACCGATTGATGTTAGACCACCTTTGGAAACCTGGAAACACTGGACTGCCGTTTCGTCCTATTGTGGGACTCCTCAGCAGTGCGCATCCACGATCCCGCTCGCGGGATTCGATTCGGTTCATGATCTCAATCAAGAACTTAATAATCTTCACAACCCCTATACTAGTAATTATAGTTTCACCGGTGTTCCCACTTATATTCTATAGTATTCAGCATCATGATGAATTGTGAGCTTTTAAAAAAACGTGTGAATATTTTATACAAAATACATACATAATTACTCTGTTAAAACAAAGATAATATATATGAACATTTATAACTGTAACACCAGTTGTCGATGGTCCGGAGAATCTCACAGGAGAATTGGTTCTCTCTTAATTCTTAACTGCCTTCAACTAACTAACTAACTAACACAGAATCACTTAAACGAATTCCAATATTATAGTTTATTCTATAGAAATTGATTTACACTATTCATTACTGAGTGATGAATTGTGATAAACATGTTTTTTCTTTTATTTATTTGTTTGAACATATAAATATTGGTACAAAGTGACACCGAATACATATGCGCTACATAAGTCACCTGATTCATGTGAGGGCTGTGATACTGCCCGATACTGCCCAGACCGAGGGTCACTTCTGGAGCCTTCAACCTAAAGGTTTGATCCACAAGGCAGTGAACAACGATTGGTTTATACACTATTTGTTCCTTCAAGGTCCTGGAGCTCAATGATTTGGAATGATAGTTTTCCAACTCTTAGATAGTGGTTGGAGGTAGTCGACAGGAAACCCTGCACCGGGGTTTGAGGGAACTGATGCTCCCTGACGGATTCGATCTCGTGTCACCCAGCTTCACATTCAGAGACGTGATCACTGAGTTACCCGGGCCGTGACTAACCTCCTGTAGGACTGAGATGGAATCACAATTGATTGATCACTGGGTGGTGATCAATGTCATGCTTGTCTAGTCCTTATTAGTGCAGATCGAATGCTATCGATCATGTTGCAATGTGGCCAACAGTGTAGGTGACTCGACACTGCGGGCACTATGTATTGAGATTTAGATGGTGGTTGGAGGTAGTCAACAGGAAAGCCTGGACCCGGGTTTCGTGCTACTTGGCGCTCGTCAGCAAGGTGTACCTGTAATCTTGAGGGAACTGATGTTCCCTGGCGGATTCGATCTCGTATCACCCAGCTTCACAGTCAGAGACGTTACCACTGAGCTATCCGTGCCGTGACTAACCTCCTGTAGGACTGAGATGTAATAACAATTGACTGATTATTGTTTGGCGCTCAATGTCATCAATGTATCAAATCCTTCTTAGTGCAGATCGAATCCTATCGTTCAAGTTGCAATTTGGCCATCAGTCTAGGTGATTCGATACTGGCATGCACTAAATGATCAATCAATTGGGAGTTTTCCAACTCTCCTATTATTATTAGTAGTAGTATTAGTATTATTATTATTATTATTATTATTATTATTATTATTATTATCATTCAATGATATCCACCTTTAATATAAATCTCATCTTTTCATTATAGATGAAATATAATAATCAACTTCGATTAGAATTATGTAATTTAAAAAATCAATATCAATTAATGATTTTATTAAAACAAGAAAATGAACGTCAATTAAATTTTATTAAATTATTAAATAAATTAAAAACAATTAAATTACAAATTATTCATAAAGGTAGACAATTATTTAATCAACGTTTATCTTATTTAACCGATTATTTATTTATTCGATTAGATAGTTTAATTGGATCAGATCAAATTGATCATTCAGGTAATTTTGGATCATGAAAAGAAAATTTTTTTAATATTTTTATAGCCCAACTAGTTATCATGTCATTTATTAACCAATCAAAACACAACTTACTCATTCATGTCTGACCGGTCTGATCAGCCTAGTATCTTATTGGTCGGTTGCTTGTCTAGCCTATCCAGTTGACAGATTGAAATCATGAGTCAGTTGAAGCTAGACCACCATTGAAAACCTGGAAGCACTGGACGGCCGTTTCGTCCTAGTATGGGACTCTTCAGCAGTGCGCATCCACGATCCCGCACCACGCGGGGCTCGAACCCAGGACCTACTGGCTTCGTGCGCGAGCACTTAACCATTAGACCACTGAGCCGGCACCCGACGGTGTTAATGTCTAACTTCAACCAATCCACGAAGTTGCGCCACCGTACACCATTGTCATCAGTGAGCTGATGTCTCACAACAGACCTGGTTGTACTCCAGTTGAGTCAAGTATGTTAATCACAGCCTCGACTATGCAAATCATCTATTTAAGATATAATGAGTTTATATATTAAATCAAACAGACCTCAACGTACCACAAAATAGAGAACAACATTTGTACAAGATATAGCTAAAAGTGGCTGTGAATGTACTTATTTACGCCTGTTACTCCTCGTGAAGGAGCATAAGCCGCTCACCAGCATTCTCCATTCAACCCTGTCCTGAGCAATCCTTTCCAACTCTTTCCACCAGTTGTTATTCATCCTTTTCATATCTGCTTCTATTTCCCGACGTAATGTGTTCTTTGGCCTTCCTCTTTTCCGCTTCCCTTCATGATTACAAGTTAGGGCTTGTCTCATCATGCAGTTTGGTGATTTCCGTAATGTAAGTGAATGTGGTAGATAGTAATTGATAGACTGGACATAACTCAAGAATGGTAAATTGTAAAATAATAATAATAATAATAATAATAATAATCTATAAGTCAAAACGAAGCTTATAATAAGGGGAATATAGATATACGTAATCTAATTATTGGATAGTTATATCATAAGAATATATAGATAATAGTCTCAAAAGTTACTCGTAATTTAATCTTCACTAGGATATAACAATCATCATCATGAACTTCTATTTCGTTAGACAACTATTGGGAACTGGGAATCACTGGATAATTGTCTTGTCCTCATATAGAACCCTTTAAACAGAGAGCATGTAGAATGCCATTAATGATTGAACTCGAAATTTGGAAGTTTTGCGGTGAGTAATTAACCCTAAAACGACTGAATTGATATCGAACGGTTTAAATATTTTGATTGATTCCTACATCAGACCAATCAAATAATTATCAAAGTTCAGAGTGTCATCTTTTAAGAAAAAAGGATTCTAAATGGAAGTTAATCTTTTTGACTAATCGATTATTAAGTTTTTGATTGAGATCATGAACCGAATGATGTTAGACTACCGTTGGAAACATGGAAGCACTGGAAGGCCGTTTCGTCCTATTTTGGTACTACTCAGCAGTGCGCATCCACAATCCCGCTTGCGGGATTCAAACCCAGGGCCTTCACTGAGCCGGCATCCGATGGTGTTAGTGTCTAACATCAACCAATCCACGAAATTGCACGATGATCTCCTATTGTACTGGGGTAGATACCTATCTCTACCCGCTCCACTGGTCACTGCTTCTTACTAGAACTCTGAGAATTCCATCACGAAGCTAGTCACTAGTGTGGAGTCCTGAAATAGGACGAAACAGCCTTTCAGTGCTTCCAGGTTTCCAACGGTGGTCTAACATCAATCGGTTCATGATCTCAATCAAAAATCTAATAATTTGCACAACCCCTATACTGATAATCGATTATTGTTTTCTATTTTACTGTTCATAAACTATAAATGAGTTAATGATGAATGTTTTGATTATGAATACAGTGGTCTTGAGTGCTGTTAGAGGTATGAGGGCGGTTATCACTTCCCGGTTGCCCACACCGTGGAAGGGTTGTTACTGGAGGTACCTGAAAAGGACTTTGGATTAAAGGTGGTCTTAGTGACCTGAGAGCGTGACCGCAGTGCCCAAGGGACAACTGCTTGAGGTCGGTCACACACGACCTTGTTATGGGTAATTTTTCTGTTAGCTCCGTACTTATTGAGACCTTACCGCCGGAGACGGATATCCGTGGGATAAGGCGAGGTGTGCATTTTTAGGGTCGAGCTTTTCTAACCCTACCCCTCCTTGTGGGAAGGCAGCATCGCTGTCATGCTGGTTGTCTGAAGGAAACACCTTACTGCTGTCACACCTCTGTACAGTCAGCAGTACGACTTCGCCTTCAGACCTTGAGTTTGTTGCTTTTAGTCTTACCGCTCTTCAACCGACCTATCTGACATGGTAGGACCTTGTTTCAGCCAGTATAGTTCGATTGGTTCATCACGATAGGCAAGCCCGACCACCACGTCAAGGTGGTAACAACGGTCAGGAATGCATTTTCTGGAGGAATACCCTAACAAAGACCTGTGAAGAATTACTGGTTGAGTGAAATAGTCACAGTCAAAAGTATCCATATATTTATTAATGTAAGTCTTCAGAAATGTCGATAATTGGAGATATGTGTCAAAGATTGTTTTCTCTTCTATAATTGAACACAGTAGTTTAGACCTATTCTCCCCCGCTGTAGCTGCCACATTGACTTGATAATAGATATTGCCTATCATGATGATCCAATTGAGCTTTATTGGCTGGAATACATATCCTTTTACATCCTACTACTTCCAATAAGTCTGTTGAAAGGCGATAAAACTAAAAAGCAGTAAATCTAAGTCCTAATATTGAATTCTTACTATCAAATCTTATCTGTTCTTTTTTTCTTAGACAATAATCATGATTCTACTAAACCAAAGAAATTAATGATTCATATATTAGATAAATCATTAACTCATTTAAATGATAATCAAATATCTACAAATGCTAAAGAAGATCTAGATCGTGGTAAACGAACATGGGAAGGTGTCAAATTCTCTGAACTTATGATACAAACAAATGATCATTTGGAATCAATGAACAATTTAACAAAATTCAATTTAAACAAACCATTAAAACAAGAAAAACAATCCATGTTAAAAAGTTCACGTAACACTTTCAATAATAATTCTACAGAATTACATAATACTAATCAAGATGATAATTATTGTATAGTTAGTGCTAAAACTACAAAAGCTCATATGTCCACATTAAAATATCGTGATATTGCTGTTGTGGTAAGTGTTATAACTGGTGGGTCTTGTACCCCTATCAATATATATCACAATTGATTGATCATTGGGTGGTGACCAATGTCATGTGTGTCAAGTCCTGGTAACGTCTCTGACTGTGAAGCTGGGTGACACGGGATCGAATCCGTCAGGGAGCACCAGTTCCCTCAAGATTACAGGTACACCTTGCTGACGAGTGTCAAGTAGTATGAAACCCGGGTCCAGGGAATAATGGACTTATCGACCAGACTAATGATGCATAAAACCCATACGAGTAATCTAAAGTGCTTATCGGTTCGTTGTTCTCACAGCCCATCCAGTTGAGTCCAGAACATCATTAACAGCTTCCACGATGCGAATCATTTATTCCAAATATAGTTGGTTTATATAACAGCCAAGCAGACCGTATCACGCCATAAAATAGAAAATAACATTTGTACAAGATCTATCCAAATGTGACTGTGAATATGGAGGACTGTAATTAATAGACTGGGCATAACTCAAGAATGGTAATTCGCATTATAATAAATTATAGGTCAAAATGAAGTTTATACAGAGAGGGATGTAAATATGCATAATCTAGTTACTCAGTAGTTATAAACTAAGAAAAAAAAATATATATATATATATATATATATATATATAGTATTAGTGATGCCTACCCCTAGGTAGCATGGAATGACATCCGAAAAGCTGTGGAAACAGTAGTGATATCTGCTAGTAAGGTAAAGCATAAGGTTAGGTAGAAACACTGGATCTCAGTAACATCTACCGCACTGATAGATGCTCGAAAACCCATCCCATCTGGCTCTGAACATGACGAAGAGCGGAGTCAACTTAAACACAGGCTGATAAGATGCCTACGCAATGATCGTGAACAGTGGTGGGTAGCGAAAGCAAGAGAGATGGGAAACGTAGCCGCAATAGGGGAGTTAGGAAACCGTCATTACAAACCAATAGTAAACCTGGGTTATAAGTCTTGCTAATTGAACGCTATATTCGGTTCCTAAGCTAGTCTCGTAACCCCCAAGCTAGAACTACACATCGACCTGAACACGAGAGAAAAGGCGAAAAATATGCAAGAAGCACTCTACTCCAAGTGTTAGTTTTAGTACAGAAAATATAGGGTTTTTATAGTATTTTAGATGTCCTTGGGTTTCCCGAAAATTCTGGGACGCTACTAAACATAGTAGCAGTGTAGTAATCAGCCAATCAGGAACTCGACATGTGACTCTTCACTCTCTTGGTGTTTCTGGCTAAACTTCTAGTGAACGCTGATGGGATAAAATGCCTCTTAGTGTTTCTTGAGCCTTTCTTGGCTTTTGCTAGAAGTTTTCTGGATCACTCCAACAATGAGCTCTAAGATCCTGAGGGAACAAATGGTGTATAAACCTATCGTTGGTCACCGACTACCGTGAAATTGCATCTCCGAACATTGTGTCCACTGCCTTGTGGACCGAATCTCTAGATCAAAAGTTCGGCGAGTAGCCACCTGTTTCAGTTTGAGCACCCGGGCAATATCCAAACAGTCACACAAATCAAATGATTTGTGTGGCGCATATATATTTGATGCCTCCTTGTACCAATGTTATAATGTTTAAATAGAATAAATATCAAGTGATAATGATTAAGACTAAATAATCGTATGTGTGTGTGTGCGTACATACTGTTCTGAAGAATCTAGAACACGAATAAGAGACCTACTCATTTAATGATTGCTGAGTTGTTGTTGTGTTTTTTTTTTCCGTTAATACTTTGTATCATACAAATTAACTCTATGTAAACTTTCTTTTTTGTTTTCTTTTTTTTTTTCTTTTATTTCATTATTGTTAATGTCATAATACAGGAGTTTCGTTTATTTACTCAAAATTTATTAGAATTAATAGAAATGGAATTTATTCATTCAATGAAAGATAATGATAAACATAAACAACAATGGATAGAAAGTGTAAATCTTTTTAATAAAACTTAATTGAATCATATAAAATAATGATTATACATTGTTCACATATTCTTGTATACCATTATATATATATACTCAGTCAGTCAGCTACAACGTAGGACCAGACACATATGTGCATCGGTCCAGGTTGCCATACCGCATCAGCACAACGAGATGATCACCGGATTCATAGCAGTGGTTAGGTCAAAGGTGGTAATATATAAGAGAAAGATTGCATATAGAGATATAGTACAAGAAGAAAGAATTGGTTCGTAGAAAGAAAGATATGAAGCGATTTTAACCTCTTAGTTTAAGGGAAGACAGAGAGTGTATACACCGACGGGGATCATATATATACTCAGTATATTTTCAACTTGGAAAGTTCTTTTTCTTATCAAGTTAAAAGGAGATCACTTAGAACATAGTTAAATTCTGCACTGATTATGTTCTGCAATTCGATTCAACTACAATATATGATCCAGTCAGCTACAATGTAGGATTAGGTACATACAGATAGGCATCGGTACAAATTGTCATACGTCATTAGCACAACAAAATGAACATCGGATGCATAGAATTAGTTAATTCAGTGGTGGTAATATATAATAGAAAGATTGTGTATAAGGATATAATGCAGAAAGAAAGGTATAAATCAATTTTAATCTCACGGTTTAAGGGAAGACAAAGAGTGCATACACCTACTATAATATACACTTATGTCCTCCAAATGCCCTGGTATGGTCGAGAGTGGGAAGAGTCAGCTCTCCCTCACGAAATACTCTCATATGGCCATGTGCATACAACCACTCCAAGGGAAGTCCTACTGTTGTGGATGCGGAGGAATAGACCAATAATTATGATGTTAAGTCCAATGGTGTCCTTGGACTTTAAATGGACATTTCCTATTGGTCGATATCTGTTCACTCGTTGAATATTGTACAAAATGTTGTTTTCTATTTTTATGGTACGATGTGGTATGCTTGGTTGGTATATAAACAAAGTATGTTTGAAATATAATGATTCATATCTCCGAGGCTGGACTCAACTGACTGGGCTAGACAGGGAAGCGAGACCAATCGAGACTCTAGGCCGTTCGTTCGTGTTTACGTGTCACTGTAATCGATCGATAAGTACGCTGCTCTCTAATTTTTCAGTCAAGGACACAACAATTAGCACAGGGTAGAAATCGACCGCAACTTAAAGTCATAACACCTACTCATTGCCTTCTCACGATAGGGGTGCTGTTTACGAAATTGAGAGGACGAAAAGCGAATATCCGGCGCTTTAACCGTGTCGGTGGATATGGAACATCCACCTAAGGGAGTTGGAAAACCCTCATTCCAAACAAATGGTGCACATGGGCTACACGATCCTGAGTGAATAAATGGCATATGAACCAACCGTTGGTCACCGGCTATCATGGTATTGCATCTCCTTACGTTGCTTCACTACCTTGTGGATCAGACCTTTAGGTCAAAGTCTCCGGGTGTGGCCCCCTAAGAAAACCACCTGTTTCGGTTCAATCACCCGGAGAGAATCCCAGCCCTCACACAAATCCGATGATTTATGTGGCGCATGTATATTTGGTGCCTCCTTGTACCAATGTTTATGTATTTAAATAAAATAAAAACACTTATTACGGTTTGTACCAAATCCACTATACAAATGAAAAGACTGAAATGAGTAGGAAGATTTAATCGGAAAAATTGTAATGTGAGTAAATCATAGCATATATACATTCTTTGGCTCGTACACGTTACGGATACTCAGCGACTGTTTGTCGATCATCAGTATCCCCGAAGGACTGACCATAGTTACTGGTGATACCATGAAAGTGATGCAATATGTGTGTCGAGGATCTTGAAAAGCCATAAACACCTTATGCTAATTGTTCATTGTTTACCATAGTTTTAAAAACATAATTAAACCGAACACTTTATACATTTATTTCACAAACACATGAAGTCAGTTCATTAAATTAGTTGGTCAGTTAGTAAGTCAAAATTACGGGGTAGGCAAAAAAAAGAAGCCTTCATATACATGCAATAGATATATACAGTATTATCACATATATACACACACAATCAGTTCAAAACAAGACAGTATGATAAATATAGACTCGACTAAGGATAAATCGTTGAAGAAGAGATAAAGCAGGATAGAAAAACAAAGTCAGATTGTCAAAAGCTATTCAACATTGTCAAATACATAAATATCACTTCCTCAAACTTTTGTCAGTTAGTAAGAATCACAGATGGAGACTTTATAATCTGCGTCTTTCAACTTTTTGAGCTTTTCTGTTTGCTGTCTGACGACGTTGTTCAGCTTTTTCTAGTTGATGTTTACGTTGTTCAAGGTTCTCCTGACGTTGTTTAGCAGCATTTAGAGAGGCTGCCTTTCGAAAATTCACTTCACATTCTATAACACGTTCACGATTACGTCCACCTTCAGGTAAAACAATATCTTGTTTGAGAAAGCGTGAAACAGAAAACAACGATGTTAGGATTATGGACACATCAAACCCGATATAACAAATGAAGTGTGTAATTAGAAAAAAAGCATTTTCGAAGCACACGAAAAACGTTTCATCCAATTTTGTGGCTCAACAATCAGAAGCCTGCAAATGACAGAACCCACGACCTAAGAGCTTCATGAAAAATGAACCTATAGTCTAAGGAACAAGTTTATCGTCTCATATGGGACCCACTTGGATGTGTCTGCGCTTCAGTACTGACGTCCACATTTATACTTGGACCCAGTATTTATCGATACAAAAGATAATGACTTATCGAGACACTTGCTTAGGACACACATATCCCAAAGAAAGAATTCGGCCTTAAACGTCAACAACAAGATAATTCTAACTCTCACAAAAAAACTGCACTCGTGAAGCAAGTCAGTAGCAATATAGATTCAGTAGTTCAGTGGACAATATGTTGGTATTTAAAATGAAAGATATTGGGCTTGGCTTGAGTCTCTGTATGGAAATCAACTCTGGAATGCGAATGCTTCCGCCAGACGAGTCCCAAATACAACGAAATCTGTATTTTAAATTATGCTGTTAGCTACAATCCAAATATACTATAACTGTGTGGTACAATGACTTAAGCACTGAGTTTCACTCATTAAGGGGTCGCAGATCAAAACTTAGAAAAAATATGTTACTTTGCAACGCCCTTCAATATCTCTAGTGTTTGTATTACTTCGTCTGAGAGATATAATCTTGATACTAACTTTTACTGAAAAACTGCTTAGACAGTTACTTTTAACAAAATTAACAAAATGACTCGGCAAATCACATACATGTGTATACATATACCCATATTTTAAGAGTTTGCTTTGGAAGTCAATCAAGAACACTGTATATGGGTGACCAAACTGAAGAAGTGGAATGGTATTCCGTAATTGTTAAAACATAGTAACAGAAATTTAAATATGACAACCATTAAGTTGAAGAAGACATGAGATCAACTAATTTTATACTCATACATAACATAGATGTGCACTAAAATACACTTGTGTTTACACTGGATACATTCAAAAGCTATAAGTAATGATAGAAAGCATTCTTCCTTTATTATCAATCACACAACAAATTACTGACATTGTTCTCATGAATCGAAAAGGTCATTGAAAGGTCTCTTAACTGAATGACTGACCTTCATTAATAGGTTCTGGGTGAATATCCGAATCTGTGAATAAAAATGCCTCCATATCTTCACGTTTACAACGAGACACCTTAGGATCTGCGTTATCCAAACTTGAAATGAGTGAAGCTTTCGAATTGGTATTGTGTTTGTGTTTGGCTTCAGCTTGTGCACCAATTCTTGCAATATGTTTGGATGGAGGAGGGCACTTTTTAGACTGTTTTTGACGTGTTGAAGAGATTCTCTGAGACTGACTAGTTGATTTATCGACTAGATGTGATGAATGAGAATTACGTATGCTCATTGATGATGATCGAGATGATGTCTCCTTGACTTGGATGGGATTTTGAGAAGTGTTGGATATACTCAGCCCACATGACGGTGATGATGTGAGTGAAGTTAAGATAGACAGAGCACCTTCAACTGTACCAGGTTTCACATCATCCCTGAAAAAAAACAGAAGAAAACAAAACACAACACTATGTTGAATCACCTTATAAAATATCCAAGCTCGTGAACAATTCCATACCATGGTGGTGTTTTGCTACTATGGAAAACGAATGTTGGACCATTTTGAATTGGCACAAACTACCATAGTCATTAATTTACCCCCCGTGTGTACGCATTTTTGTTTAACTGTATGCACAAAACTTGAGTAACGTATTTGAACCTAATCTACCTCATATTGTTGGGTGTGCATGTAAATGACAATAAATGAGACATATTATCTTCCAGAAATTATCCACTGAGAGAAAAGTCACTACGATATGTCATAATTGTTTACTTATTATTACTGCTCTTGTTCTCATCAATTGCGGTGTTGAGAACATATGCATTATGCACCTTTGATCATCACCATCATCTATTAGGATATTCAATTTTAGTTGGTGCATGAAATAGGCTAGAAGCTAGGGATGGTCAAATCAAGACATAGCCGTATTCGTAAGTGCAAACTATCTGGTTGTGGCCTATGTAATGATTCTGGTTAGGAGAAATTAGGTACTATGTTCTAAAGTCGATCACAGTGATACAGATATGATTAATACTTTGCTTTCTTTTAGACTTGTCCTATGAATTCATTCTGTCATTTTTGAACCATCTTAACTGCATTTAACTATTTCTCACTATCACTGATACCGCTATTATTTCCAGTTCTTAACCATTTATCATGTTAATTTTATCTTCTTATACTGACGTACTGTGGTAACTTGAACTGATGTACATATGTACATACAAACCAGATCCTAAATCGACTATGATTGATTGAATAACTACTATTCTTGCCATTATTATTATTATTATTATTATTACTATTATCATTATTATTCTGAACTGATTGTGAGAAACCAATCGATTGTCAAAACGAAAATATTATTGAATGAAAGATTTTCCTCAATGTCGGATATATTTCATTTAATTGTCTCAATAGGAAAGATAGAAGAAAAAAGGGTTAGTAGTAATATCCCATAAAACAATATAATATCAGTCAGAGACAACGAGGAACCTGGTATGTATGTGTATACTTTATTCAGCTCATTCGCCAAGTAGTATATATGTTAGAGTAACTGACTTTGGGCTATCATTTAAACGTGAAGGCTAATGATACCACTCAGTTGCTCAAACCAAAGTAGGTAGAATGGGATTTGAACTTGTAACTTTGTGGTTGAAAGTTAAATGTCTCCACCATTGGCTTACTGCTCTTACATATGCATCAGTTTAAGTTGTTACACCACATTAGCATAACGAGATGAAATTGCTGTAACTGTGACGGCAGCAGATTAGAGGACAGCGAATTATTGATCGGACCAAAGACGCGCAAACACGTAGAACGGCCTAGGGTTCTGATTGGTCCTGCTTCCCTGTCTAGCCCAGTCAGTTGAGTCCAGAAGACAAGTCTTAGCCTCGGATATATGAATCGCTATATTTCAAACACCCTCGGTTTATATACTAATCAAACAGACCACATCGTACCATAAAATAGAAAATGACACTGTACAATATTGACCAGTAGGAAAATGACACGTTAAATGAATATTGACAGATGGGATGATACCATTTCATGTCCAAGGATAGCATTAGGCTTGACATAATAATTTTTGGGATATTTTTCTGAATATCCCAACAGAAATTATCAGAAAGAATCTTGGAGCAGTAGTAGTAGAATCAGTGATAGTAAAAGAAGACTAGGGATGAAAATGACCTGATCTAGAAATTGTTCACGAAATAAAATGTATGACAGAGTTTTGAAACTCAGGATCTACGGAAGGATACAATATGTTACCATGATATTCTAACAGTACATTATGAGTAATATCACTTCAGGTAAACAAAAGTGACTAACAAGAAAACAACTTACTTTCTTCCATATTCACAGAAACTTTCAATATCTTCCAAATCAGTGTCGGATTCATCCTCACTATCATTGCCGATGCCAACTTCAACAAATCCATTTGAACTGGAACCAGTTGTCAATGCACCAACAGTTGGATTTGAACGATTTTTATTGATAAATTCCGAATTAACCATTGCCACTTCCAATTCACGTTCTTCATCTGAATTCTTTTGATAAGCAGATACACCAGTTGAACGTAAAATTGCTTGAGTGTATGGATCTCGATCAGAATGATGATCTGATTTCTTAGTTTCAACGATACGCATACAATCAGCTTGCATTAAATTACGCATTTGATCTTCAACAGATTGAATATCATTTGTAGATGACAATGATGATTCAACTTTATCTTTGCCCAATACGATTCCATCTTTAAGGATATAAAAGAAACTTAGTCTCAAGACTACAGATCATACAAAGAATGGAAACTTTAAAATTATCAAGTGATTTAAGCAACTTCACAGTCTCATTGATAGAAATAAAAATTCTCCCACATGCAATCTGTATGGCTGTGAAACACGGGTTTGAAAGCAGAGGACATGAGTAAGCTACTAGCTTTTGACCATAGGTGCCCTAAAGGCATTGATTGGGTTTCGTGGAATGACCAAGTGGGCAGTGTTAAGGTAAAGCATTGGGTACCTAATAAAGGTGGTACAGTGGTTGACGAAGTTGTAAAATCACCAACCGAGATGACTAGAACGTGTATTACATACTGTTACCATTGACAAACTGTAAGATTTGATGAATATTGAAAAAGCAACTACTACTTACAGAAATCCATTGATAAGTAATAGAAAAAATAAAGACAAAAAGTCAGCTGTAGATACAGTGAATAAAAAACAAATGTCTAGCCATCTGAACTTCAAAAGGGATAACGTCACAAGCATAATCAACAGGATGCTTTACTTTGCACTAACCAACACCTACTCTACATCCAAATTATTAACCCTGCATAAAACGTGTTCAATAATTCAAAAACAAGTTGGCAAGTACCCCTTTCATGTTACCAACAACTTTGTCTGAAAATGTACATGTACGTACTAAAGTAGCCATATTAGCAGAACATAAAGGGGGGCACGTGCCAGGTTTTTTAAACATATTCCAAAAAGGCTCTGAACAAGATATATATATATAATGCAACTACTAAAGATCTCTTAGACATAGAGTATCAGGTCGATACGCTGAAGTCTTGCATGGTAATTTATCAGTAGTCAAGCTCCAGTCGTTTGGATTTTCCTAAACCCATTATTATCAGGCGTCAGAAACCTAATTTATGTGTTAAGGAGAAGGTTGTTCACTTACACAGTGACACAAACATTTCTTCATCAGTCAGTCAACTACAACGTAGGACCAGGCACATATATGCATCGGTCCAAGTTGCCATACCTCATTAGCACAGTAAGATGAACACCGGATTCATAGAAGCAGTTAATTCAATGACGCTAATATATAAAAGAAAGATTGCATATAAGGATATAGTACAGAAAGAAAGACATAAAACAATTTTAATTTCACGGTTTAAGGGAAGACAAAGAGTGTATACACCTACACCTAGCCGTCATGCAGAGTCTCCAAGCATTTTCTAAGATAGTCACAAGGACCCCGACCAAGTAATCTGCATCTTCCAACATGGTTCAGACCAGAAGTTGGTGATTATGGACTGATGCCACGTTTTGGTTTGACCACCCCTAACTTTCTTCCAACCATCCCCAACACTAATCAGCATTGAGCGTCGTGGTAATCGGTGTTCAGGCATACGTAACACGTGGCCCAACTATCTCAGTCGATGAAGATTCACAACCTCATCAACCGATTTACCATCATCATTCCCTAATACCCTGTGTCTAACCTTACTATTACATACCCGGTGATCCCAATAGACCCTGGCAGTATTTCTAAGGCATCTGTGATCAAATACTAGTAATTCAAGAGTATCTCCTACACTTAATGGACACGTTTCGCAGCCTTAAAGTAAAACATAACGAACTGCAGCACAATATACTTGTTCTTTTATTGATAGACAGATATCTCACCTTCGTCATAGGTGACGTAAATAGGCAAAAATTAAACAAGCTTTCTGAATCTGTGCAGAAATTTCTTCAATATATCACAAAAAATTATTTAACACCTTTCAACTAATTATATTATTACATCCTTTTTTATTTCGATTACCTTCGATATTAATAATCTTATTTGAACTAAATGAACTTCCACAGATTGAAATCATGAGTCAATTGAAGCTAGACCACCATGGAAAACCTGGAAACACTGGACGGCCGTTTTGTCCTACTGTGGGACTCCTCAGAAGTGCACATCCACGATCCCGCACCCCGCGAGATTCGTACCCATGACCTATCAGTCTCGCGCCAAGCGCTTAACCAACTAGACCACTGAACCGGCCGGTATCCAATGGTTTTAATGTCTAACTTCAACCAATCCACGAAGTTGCGCTACCGTATACCATTGTCTTCAATGAGCTGATATCTCACAACAGACCTGGTTGAACTCCACTGGTAACGGCTTCTCACTAGAACTCCAGGAGTATCTTTTGAAGTCAGTCACTAGTGAGCAAATGATTATTATCAGAAGGTTTATGGAGATTTCAGAAATTTCACAGATTGAAATCATGAGTCAATTGGAGCTAGGCCACTATGGAAAACCTGGAAGCACTGGATGAGCACTGCTGAGGAGTCCCACACTACGACGAAACGGCCGTCCAGTGCTTCCAGGTTTTCCATGGTGGTCTAGCTTTAATTGACTCATGATTTCAATCAGTGAAATTTGTAAAATTTTCACAAACCCCTTCTGATAAATGAACTTTGTTTATTCTTACTTATAATTATTGTTCTTCATTACATAACTACTTGTGTTTTTTTATATTATTATTATTAACGTTGTAGAATGGTTTTTTATCACATAGATACAGATATATAATATCTGAGCTAAAAAAAAATCTTCCCAACCATCTTACGATACTTCATTTAATCTATTAAATTGATTTATGTATTACTCTATTGATGATATGTGATCATAAAAGTTTTCAAATGAACCCATTTGTATCATTAATTTTAATCCATTTTATAAGGATGATCTTTTCTTAAATAATACAAGTTGTAAGTAGTTGATGAAAATTAAACAAAATCAAATGAATTTATGTTATTCTGCCTAAATCTTAGTTCTTACTTTCTTTGATAAATATACAATGTGTGAATACTCTTATTTTGATTATTCCTGGTAGAATCAGTATGTTTAGATACTAAGCACAGTTACTCTACAGCAATTACATTCTTGAGTATTATTCTTTTAACTTTTTACGTCTTTAGCCATTTGTAACTCATTGAAGTTAGACTTACACTCGAATGCCCTGGTATGGCCGAAGGTGGAGAGAGTCAGCTCAACCTCTCGAAATGCTCTCACATGACCACGCGTATACAGCTACTCAAAGGGAAGTCCTACTCAGTGCCTTCTCGAGCCAAGGGTGTTGTTTCAGAAATTAATAGGGCGGAAAGCGAATATTCGACACTTTAACAGTGTTGGTGGACACGGAGGGTCCACCTAGAGGAGCTGAAAAACCTTGACTGCAAACCAGTGGTGCACATGGGCTCCAGGATCCTGAGGGAACAAGTGGTGTATGAACCAATTGTCGGTCACTGGCTACCATGGGACTACACGTCCTGACGTTGCTCCACTGACTTGTGGATCAGGCCTCTAGGTGCAAGGTTCCGGGTGTGACCCCTAATAAAAACCATCTGCTTCGGTCTGCGCACCTGGGCAGTATTACAGCCCACACACAAATCAAGTGACTTGTGTGGCGCATATGTATTCGGTGCTCCTTTGTACCAATATTTATGTGTTCAAATAAATAATAATAAATACACCACTGGACTCCGGCTCTGTAGTGTATAGGTTAAGTGTTTGTGCGTGAAACCGAACGTCCTGGACTCGATTCTCAGTTGCAATGTCGTGGACGCGCAGTGGTGAGTAGTCTCATACTAGAATGAAACAGCCATTCAGTGTTTCCAGTGGTTTTCTAACTTAGATCGGTTCATGATTTCAATAAGATTCAACAATCTTTACAATTCCATATTGACAATAGAATTCCATTTGATCCGACAAAGAAATAAGGACAAGACAATCTACATGTTTTCGAAAGAATAGAGAGTATATAAACGTTTAAATCTAAGTCATATGAAAAACATCTATGTTGTATACAATCAACTGATGAGTGTTTATGAGGATTAACTTACATGAAGAGGATTAAATACTTGTCTAAAATAATTCCCCTCGATGTACTTTTAGAGATAACACTTTCCTTGTCTAGATTTCCAGGGGTTGAACTCCTACCGGGAGGTTCACTTGTTGACTTGGAATATGCTGATGACATAGTTCTATTTGGTGAAGACGCTGACAAAATGCAGGGTCTTCTGACCACTCTAAGAAACAATGCAAGCATGTTCGGGATGCGATCCTCCCCCTCGAAATGTAAAATGTTGCTTCAGGATTGGATTGCATTGACACTCGAACTAATGATAGGGAGTGAAGTAGTTGAGCGTGTCGACCACTTCACTTATCTTGGAAGTCTCATCAGCCCTTGTGGTCTGGTGTGTGACGAAATCTCAGCACGGATACAGAAGGCTCGACTAGCTTTTACCAACTTGCGTCATTTATGGCATAGGCGAGATATCCGTCTATCAACCAAAGGACGGGTTTACTGCGTAGCAGTTCGTTCCGTCCTACTTTATGGCAGTGAAATATGGCCCGTAAGAGTAGAGGATATTCGTAGTTTACTAGTATTTGATCATAGGTGTCTTCGAAATATTGCTCGTATATCCTGGGACTATCGAGTAAGTAACGCAGTTGTTAGGAAACGGGTACTAGGTAAGGATGGCCAATCAATTGACGAAGTAGTGAAACTTCATCAGTTGAGATGGCTGGGACACGTGTTACGTATGCCCAACGACCGACTGCCTCGACGTGCGATGTTCAGTGGTATAGGAGTAGGTTGGAAGAAAGCTAGGGGCGGCCAGACCAAAACATGGCACAAGTCCATGAAGTCACTGACAAGTGGTCTGAGTCATGTTGGTAGGTGTAGACTACCTGGTTGGGGACCGCAAGATGATAGCAACCGATGGTTAGAGACCCTGAATGACATGGCTCAAAATCGTTTGCAATGGCGCAGGTGCATCCACTCCTTGTGTTCTCCCAAATTTTGATCTCCTTATTCCTCCTTGTCTCTTTTTTTCTCTTCCCAAATTTATTTCACTGTATTATACTCTTTAAATAACACCTCCAAACACTAATTTTCCTGATTACTGCTTATACTCTTATTACCTCTACGACTACGGGATTTTAATCGACCACTGCATCTCTGTGCTAATGTGGTAGGGCAACTCGAACTGATGTACGTACGTACGAAGTTCTACGTTGTTAATGACTGGCTGACTGACTGTTGCACTGTATCTAGAATCCCGGTGGCGGAGTCGTGGAGAATAGGCAGATGCTAGTTCTTTACAGCTTTCTTTTATACCACGACGCTGACCACCTATGATAATTAGAAGTATTCGAGTTAACGTACTAACCAGGAATTCCCGAAATAGTGCGGTTTACAGCAAGTAGGGCTAGATGAGCACAAATGAACGTATTATATTTAGAATTCGTAATCAGCGGGCCATTAAGTACAAAGGAATCGTTAGTTCGTACAAATACCACACCACCTCTCCGCTTTTCCAACTAGTCAACGTCGGTAAATAATCTACTATGTGCGACTCACTGGAACGACATTCGTAGTACATGTCCAAGCCACCAAAGCCGATGTTTCAAGTCAGTGACACTGCGAAGATGTTAATCAAAGAAAACGCTTTTGATCGCTGATGATGCATTCATAAACAACTATTACAAGTATGAGATAACTTTGTGAAGAGTTAATCTTCCTAACTATTTGAACGATTCATAAGATATTAGTGACCGGTTGTGAATAGTGCTGACAAGTAATACTTCAAAATAAAGGAAGCCATAAATATTTCTAAATCATCTTATTTTTAGTGTCTCCCTATTAATATTCACAAGCGACTATTGTTAGAGTCCCATCAGCTAAATAATAAACCACCATCCATGTAGGACCTAGTCTGAATGTGCCACTATTTCGAATTAGCGCATATCACATCCCATCGGCACAATCAATTAATCATGCGAAAGATAGAACCTGGCAGGTCAGTACACATAAAAGTAACAAAATTCGAAGCAAAGGAAATGTAACCTACACAAAAGAAATACACAGTCCAAGAGGAACAGATGAGAGATTGAAAGATGGGAAGTTAATTATAACACTTAACTGGAGATTTGAAAGATAGTGAATAAATGAAAATGTGCCACTTCTATCAGTTTCGTGATATGACACCTGTGAATTTCATTCAACACAAATTATTTTGAAAAGGGACAATTTTGTACTGTTTTAATACAAAAACTATACTGACTCGCATCTACATAAACGATGATTACGATGAACATACACACACAAAAAAAAACATACCATATTTTGATATAATCTCAGTAGCAGCATACTCTGATTTTTCAGAAGGCTGTAAAGTAATACAAAACACTGTTAACACAAATAATTTATACCATAGACAAGCTACATATATTATGATATTACAGCACCAGCCAACAAATATGAAATGATAGCAGTGAGAATTATTAATTAAAGAATTATTAGTTTAACACTGAGATGGATACTATGTGAACACCTAAATAAGCAAGACTAACATGTAGCATATACTACCAAAGTATTCGCTACTTAAAAGCACGATTCGCTATATTGGCTAATATAAGAATATGTAAAAAGGCTAAAGGTGGTTAGACTAAAGCATGAAGCAACGGACTATTGCTTCAACCTATATTATTAATTACGAATCCTTTAATTAGAATTGGAGAAATATCTACTAGTCTAAAGTTGAAAACTTTTGGTTCATAGTTTTAAACCTGTCATTTACAAGATGTTATTGGATCTAATGATAGATGTTATAGTCAACAAATAGTACTGTAGAAACAGAAAAGTATGACTCAAAATAGCTAAAGTAAGAGTGCTCTAAAATATGAGCGTCAGAATCAGACAAGGAACATCTTTATACAGGAAACAAAAGGAATAAAAGTGTGATGTTCCAGTGACTTCAAGTACAATTTTAAGCCATTTGTCTCTTCTTTGCAACTCCAACCATAGTAATTAGCTATTGAGTTTAGTATGCTTATGAATTTTTGCGTGAGAAAAATGTTATGATAAGTTACAGATGGACTAATGTTTGGGAACCGATCACAAAAGAATGATAGCGGTGTAAGTCACTACGATTATCTGGGAAAAATTGTAAAACAGTCTTAGAATAATAACAAAGCGTAGGACAATAATCGCTACAATTCTCCAATGTGATTTTTTGATGAGGCTAAAACGATGTCCAGTAGATGCCAGTCATAATAAAAGTTTATCAACCTGGAATAACCATAATGTCTTTAAGCTAATTTACCGTAATTTGGGGCTAGCTCTCTAATAGTATCACATACCAGTAATATTTAGGCAGTAATATGTTTCCTAGATTTGATCAAATGTTAGAATACTTTGGTGAAAAATCATCTAGTCAGGTATTTTTATTAAGATTTAAAACGACGAATTTTGCGAAAGTGCAGAGATAACCGTTATTTACATCGAGTTGTAGCAAAACCACTGAAAGAGATGAAAGCTAGGCATTAACTTCAAGATATTAGTGAAATTCGGTGCGAATCATGGTGCCTAACAGGATTCCGTGTTTACATCCCGAAAAATTAGATATTGGTCAAGTGAAAATGATTTAACAAATGACCACTTAACCAAGTTGGAGTCGACACTTAACTATAGGCCCTTGCAAGGTTGAGGGTGGGAAGTCAGCTTTACCTCTCCAAATGCTCTCATATGGCCACACGTACACGAAATTGAAAGGACGAAAAGCGAATGTCCGGTGCTTTAATCGAGTGGGTGGATACGGAGGATTCCTCTAGGGGAGTTGGAAAACCCTGATTCCAAACCATGGGCGCATATGAGCTCCAGGACCATGGAAGACTAAATGGTGTATGAACCTATTGTTGGTCACCAGCTACCATGGAACTGCATCTCCTGACGTTGCTTCACTTTCTTATGGATTAGACCTCTTATTAAAAGGCTTGAGGAGTGGCTTCAAGAAAATCAACTGGGTCGGTTTTGGGCACCCGAACAGTATCCCAGACGACACAAATACCATGATTTGTGTGACACATACGTATTTTATTACACTTTTGTACCAACGTGTCTAAATAACCAAATAAAATATATTTTCCTGCAGTAAACCATATTTTAAACACTTTTAGTTCATATTAGACACTAATGAGATTATGATATTAATAGATATAAGCCTATTCAGTGGTTGACAAAGTTCTTACTATAAACCCGCATAAACACAAAAATGTCTGGCTGAAACCCACATCTGTAAGTTCATCTACAGGAATTTTGTAACTCACAAGGTATGCTGACAGTAACTCCGCTATTTCAGAACGTGATTCTGACGAACCATGAGAAACATTTAATATGCCACAAATATATTCACCAACAACCTCAGCATCAATATCCTTTGACAAATCTGTGAGGAAAGTAGCAACCCAATCAAATTGTAATTCATTTGAAGACATACAGCATGCGGATAGATTACTTGTAACAGTGGTAAATACCAATATTTAAAAGTTAGAAGTTCGACAGAGTATTACGGTCTAAAAAATAAGAAACAGAAGTAACAATGCAAATCAATGGTTAGCTGATATACAAGATTGTAGCAGGCTATTAAGGTAGTATATTTGTTTTGAGTGACTGACTCCTACTTGAGAAAATACTCATCCGTCTGGTCTGAAGGTTTTATTTCACTGAAGGCGACAAACAACTGGAAGGAGCTGCACAGTGCACAAGATGTGAGGTAAAACAAATGTCAATAAGAACTCATCCTTTTGAACATTAAATGTAGATGACCAGTTACCTACAGGTCGTGGATAGAAGCTTCGATAAATAATAGGGGAAAACTGTTATGGCTTTGGAAACAAGCCCCGTGTGGTGGACCAGACAGGTCTATCTCCACACCCGAAGCAATTTGATGAGACGTACAAATTCCTATCAATGGAGAAGTATGTTAGATGAGCCGTCTACTGGTAGTACTTGGAAAGACATAAAACATGTACCCGCTACTCAGCAAGCAGTCAACACGAATGCGTTCTAAACAGGTAAAATATTATGTTATGTTTTTCTAATAATAATCATTAGATCTCTTAAATGTGCGTGCCTATTATCGTGAGAACAATGTTACATAAGGAGTGAGAAAATATTTTACTGAAATTCTGAATAAGTCATATATTACCGAGTATGTGTAAGTACGAATTTACACCTGATCGGAGAACTATTATTGGTTGAGAGAGCGCGGGAACTGTATGTTTGAACCGGCTGTGTCGAAACACGTGTTAGAGTTTATTTGGAAACAGGAGAGATCTAAAACAACAGCATACAAATCAGGGTCAGTGAACGTCTGGGAGGAGGTGCAATAACACGATGTGCTAGCACAAACTATATATTTTCTCAGAATGGTGTTTGCGGTGATTGTATAGTCCAAATGGTTCAAATGGTTCAAATGGTTGTGGACGGAATAGAAGAAGCTTTCGCTTAACAGGCTTCCGTGTCTAGTAGCAGGGGATCACCAAATCCTCCAGGCAGGAACCTAGGTATGTTAACAATAAAAGAGGAAAAGAAATTGGTAAATCATAGTGCGATGCTGTCCTTGGTCCTTAAGAATAGGTCAAGTTGCCTCTTGAAGGACTCCTGAGAAGTCGCTTGGACTAGCTCGGCCGGCAGCAAGTTCCAGCTTTTGACAACTCTTAAGGAGTAGAAGCTGTGTCTACATTCCGTCTTGCTATGTTGTGTTTCCAGTTTCTGGGTGTTACCCCTTAGGTTATTGTTCGAACTAAGCTTAAGTAGGTGTTTAAGAGGATGTCCAGAAGTGTTAAGAATACTATAAGCCATTAATAAATCACCTCTAAGACGCCTATATTCTAGTGGGTAAAGGTCTAGTGAACGGAGGCGTTCTTCGTAAGGCTTAGATTTGAGTCCTCGAACTGATTTCGTGGCTCGCCGTTGGATACGCTCCAAAGTGACCTTATCCTTTTGGAGTGAGGGGGGAGTACTATGTTTCCGTACTCTAAATGGGGACGGATGAAACTATTGAAGATTGTGTGGAAAGTTCTTCCGTCAAACTGACCAAGAATGCGCCTCAACGTTACCAGTGCAAGGTTTGCTCGGAAGGCATTTTTGTCACAGTTAGCGTAAGACTTTAAGTCATGAGGCACCAGGACTCCTAAATCTTTTTCGACTTGGGATACTACTAGAGAGGAGTTTCCTAAGTTGTAACTGTAGTTTGCGACATGTCGCAGATGGACTACTTTACACTTAGAAGTGTTAAAGGTAAGTCCGTTATCGTCTGCCCAACTTTGAAGTCGAGTCAGATCCTCTTGAAGTGCCTGTATATCGTCTTGGTTGCGTATCTCTCTCCAAAGTTTCACGTCGTCGGCAAAAAGTAATAAGTCTGACGTTACCTGTTGAGGAAGATCATTTATGTAGATCAAGAAGAGAAGAGGCCCTAGTACTGAGCCCTGGGGGACCCCACTAGGATATTCCATAGCTTGAGATAAAGTGAAATTAACCCTAACCTTAAAGTGTCGATTTTTTAGGTATGAAGTAAGCCAATCGATTAGAGGTGGTTTGATACCTAGTCGTTTGAGCTTGTTGATAAGACACAAGTAGTTAACCTTATCAAAAGCTTTTGAGAAATCAAGGTAAATGACATCAACCTTTCCCTTGCGATCGAGGATGCTTGTCCATCTGTCCACCGCAGTCAGCAGGTTGGTTATACAAGAGTAACCCTTCCTGAAACCATGCTGTTGGAGTGAGAAGAAATTTAAGGACAGTAGATAGTCGTTTAAACCGTCGCATATCAGGGACTCCATGAGTTTTGAAGGTAACGACAGAAGAGCTACCGGCCGATAACTTGAAGGTTCATTGCGTCGACCACCTTTGAAAATTGGTGTGATGTGAGCCAACTTCCAATTTTCCGGTAATTTGCCTCGGCTAAGCGAGTGTGAAAACATCACGCTAAGCGGCGTTGCCAGGATTGAGGCTGCCTCCCTCAGTATGGTAGGATGAACCATATCCGGGCCAGGAGAAGTTTCAAGTCTTAAGTGCTGCAGTTTCCGGAACACCAAGTCAGCGCTTAGGTCCACTTCAGAAAGTCCTGTGGAATTGCAGATGAAACCGTCGTCAATAAATTTGATGTCAGCCGGTTGAAATGTTTGAGAGTAATGGGCCGCCAGAAGGTTTGGTACTGAAGCCTGTCTTCTCTTATAGCCTTCGTGCATGTGTTCCTGATATGTTTGTATTGCCTATACGCTCCATCGTTATTAGTTCGTTTGTATTCCGCCCAACAGTGCCGTTTGCGGCTTAGGAGGCGAAGGGTACGGTTCTTGATTACTGTAGGTGGCTTGAAGCTTTTGGGAACCGTTTGAGGAACTGAATGGTCTGGAGCACATAAGAGCGTGTGCAGTAAGAAGTCCCAATGACCATCCACATCGATTTGAGGGTGAACATCCCAAACCACCTGTTGTAGATGGTCATGTAGAGCTCGCACATTCAGCCGTTTAAAATTCCATCGCAAATTATTGTTGGGATACATTAGCTTAGTTTTGATGACAAAACTGAAGGCTATGACGGCATGATCGCTTTTTCCCAGAGGAGCCAGGATTGAGAGGTTGTCGACTAGGAATTCTTCGTTAGTGAATACACAGTCTAAGCGCGATGGTGTCTGACTGTTTCTCCAACGAGTTGCCGACCTCACATTTTCATATAAGCCCAAGTTATCGATGAGGTTGAAGAACCGAGCTTCAGTTGAGTTGTCGCCTCCAGTGTACGTGTGTTCCGCGAAGTTGACTCTAGGGAGATTAAAGTCCCCTAGAATCAGGATGTGTGTGAAACCGAGACGGATAGAGCGGGATAGTCCTTCCAGCATACGACTATCGTACTCGGTGTCGGCAGTTGGCTTCCTGTAAATGACTCCGACTAGACACCTGGAAGTACTAGACAACCTTACAGAGCACCATATGGATTCCTCAAGATTGTTAAACTCGAGGTTGTGAACCTGGTGCACCTCCAAGCAAGAGCTTATGTATATGGCTACTCCGCCCCCAATTCCTATTTTTCTGTCGTTGCGGAACAAAGTCATCCCAGGCAATGCCAACTCTTGATCCGAGAACTGAGAAGATGTCCAGGTCGTAACAGTTGAATATATTTCAAAAACCGCGTAACGTGGTTCGGCAGCAAAAAGAAACGCTTATATACAAAATAGTTCCATCCATTATTTTGCAAGTCCAGGTTACTCAGAACTTGTTCCTCTAGCAGTGCGTTAACCCTTTGTTACCCTTCAATAAGGAAAACAGATTCATATTAATATCGTTTTTATTTACTGTTGCACTACTACCTCACTCCTTGAGACACCGTCTCAAATGCTTAGTGGTGGACATGTGTATACCGTACCTTTTTCTGATGGTAGTTCCTAATAGCTGGTGGCGGGCGAGTGTTAAAACAGTAGGTATCTAAAATGACCGTCGTTCTGTTTGGCTTCAACTGCTTATAGTGTATTGTTACAACGTCACCTTGTGGTCGCTGAAGGTTACGTTGCACAAAAGTAGTGGGAGACTAAGCAAACACTATTTCGTAGGGACCTTGCCAAGAATGGTGGAACTTGCTGCATGTTACTGGTGGAGCCACATGGCAATGTAGCCGAACTCGATCTTCAGATCTATACACTGGCCCGTTAACTTGTCAGTCGTATGCGTCCCTTTGGTGTTTGTTGGCATTCTCTAGACTGCTTTCGAACAGGCGATGCGTGTCAGATAGATGGCTAAGAAGATTGAGAATTTATGGTACGTGCTCCTGAGACTCACGTGGTAACAGCGATATATGTATCTGAACAGGAAGATGTAATTTATGCCCAGAAAGTAAAGTAGCAGGTGAGGATCCTATGAACCCATGCACTGATGCACTATATTCTAAGAGACATTGAGGTATCTCATCATCCCGATATTCAGTCGACGATATCTGGCATACCTGAGCGATAAGATGACCTTATAAAGCTACACCTTGGTCAGAATGGAGTAAGAATGGAGCGTCATAACGAGAAATTCAATGATCAAGTGAAGCTCGTAGAACCGTGAGGGCATCTTGTCGTGGAATGGAAACGGCTTCATACCATTTGCTAAAACAGTCTACCATCACCAGTATGTAGTGGTTTCCGCTCTTCGTTGTTGTAAGCGACATCATAATATCAATGCCAACTCGCTGATGTGGCCCTTCTGTTATCATTGAGGTTAACAGTGCACGGAGTATTTGTTAGGAAGCTTTATGGTGTGACACGCTATGATTTTTGAAAAATTCCGTTCTATCTTTATGGATGAATGGCAACTAAATCTCTGGCGAATTACATGTTGGGTCTTTCGTTTTTCCGAGTGGCGAAGATCCCAATGCACATGCTTCATAATATTCCGGAATTTTACACGACACTGTAAACAGGGGTTGTTTCAACTTATTGACCAGAAATAATATGTCACCACATAAATGGTAGCATAAGGATGAGGTATACGGGGTAGAGGATCTGCATTATATGTCGCCTTCGAGGTCAGTGACCGCACGTAAAACCGAACTATTTCAACCTCTTCTTCAATCACGCCACTTGACCTTCTGGCTTGCGAAACAAACGAGGCAACTGAGGTGCACGATGGTCTGTTTCTTCACGCAAAGAGCTTTCCAGGAGATGGCAAAAAAATGATGCAGAAATGTTACCAGTGTCATGATCTCTCAGCACATTGTAGGATATCTCGTTTCCCTCTTGTCTAACCACCAACTAGTATACACGAAGGCCCGCTCATGTCCATCTTGTACTATTTGAGACAGGACTTCCCCGATATTACGCGAGCTAACGTTCGTGTCAAGTTTAGACTCACACATATTGGACGAAATGTCCGGAAAAGCTAGTATGTGTCGGGTAGTAAGGCATGACTTCAAAGTTTTAAATACCTATCGACAGTCTATGGTCAACAAATACTTTCGACCTTATACGTCAGGAGATGTGAAGGTGCTGTCGAAGATGCGAAACTCTGTACAAAACGTCTATAGTTGGAAAAGAGTCCTAGAATGCTGCGAACATCTTCGACAATCTTCGGCTGTTTCTAGCCAACGATGTTGCTAATTCTTCTTTCTTTTCTTGATCCTTTTGTCGCGATCCGGCGTCCCGAGAAGAGCACCCGTTTCTGCGAAAATCGACACTACGATGGTTTCGTTTTTCG